AGTGGCGATGCGTAAATCAAACCGAATGTTAGAGTGGCGATGCCGTAAATCAAACCGAATGTTAGAGTGGCGATGTCGTGAATCAAACCGAATGTTAGATTGGCGATGTTGTGAATCAAACCGAATGTTAGAGTGGCGATGTCGTGAATCAAACCGAATGTTTGATTGGCGATGTCGTGAATCAAACCGAATGACCGGTAAGGAAGGAAATACTAGTATAAGGTTTTGGTATCGAATTTTCTTAATGAAAAATAAAGGCTGGAATAATGATAACCATATTCGAATAAATGTCGGTTTCTTGATGTATTTTTTTTTCTGAAGCTAAAATACCAACTTTACAACGTTATATTTAAGGAACTGATTTGCATTGTTCGATATTAATTGATATATATTTTCTGCGAAAAAAATGGGGAAAAAAGAGAAAAAAAAGAATTTAATATGACTTGTTGTGCTTTGGTGGTTTCTAAATATGCATTTAGTTAAAGTGAAGGAAAAAACATCAAGTCATTTGAGCGATTAAAATTAAGAAACATAAGAAACATAAGAAGAAGAAAAATGCATTTTGCTGTCAACAATCAGGTAAGCATTTCAAGATGTTTGCTCGTGGTTACAAGTTCAAGTAAGTTTACTCTCACCAAGTAAGTGTGTTTTTTTCTTCAAAAGATATTACGTTTATTAAATCTATAATATATCTGTACGCATTTATTTCTCATAAATGTTTTCATAGCGGAATATAATCCGATTTACTTTCACCAATTATTGTGTTTTTTTTTATTTTTCTAAAAATATAAGAAAAATAAAATTGTACGTTTATTAAATCCGTAATATGTCTGTACGTATTTATTTCTGATAAATGTTTTCATATCGGAATATAATCCGCATTATTTCATGTCATTAAAAAACAAGAATTATTATCATTATAATTATTATTTATTAATATTAATATAATCATCATCATCATCATCATCATCATCATCATCATCATCATCATCATCATCATCATCATCATTATTATTATTGTTATTATTATTATTATCATTATTATTATCATTGTTATTATTATTATTATCATTATTATAATCATCATCATCATCATCATCATAAGTATCATCATCATCATTATTAACATCATCATCATCATCATACAACTAAAAAAAACGATTTAGAAAAATTAGAAAAATATAGATAGTAATAAATAGTTAACCTGTTATTTATGCGTTGTTTGTATCCAACTTATTAATGAAGTTAGCAACAAATGCACGTTCTTTAATAGGAACGGAAGAAAAAAAATCGCAAACTGGTTCCCGTTGTGTACATAAATAACACCAATAAAGAATATGAAGCTACTTAAAGCAGGTCACCAATCTGTTAGTAGTCCTACATCTTTATTTGGCCATTGACAAGTCATATTAATAAAAACATAATGAATAATAATAATAGGTTTTGTACGCTATCTGGTCGTATAAAAGTTATTAACGTTGCCGCGTAACGCATAGACGTATATTTAATATAAAACAGGCGCGTGCAACATGACTAAATAAATCTCAAACTGACGTTGTAGCGTTTTAAAGTTATCAACACAAGTAATTAATATCATTTAAAGTGCTAACAATAATTAATTCTATTTTAAAACGTCTATATATACAGACATGTGCACCGGTTCTTCTCAATGATTCATTGTGTGCATAGAGGCGACTTTTTACACTCAACGCACTGAATAATTCATAACGTTAACTTACTGGTGATAAATAATTGAAAATGATTCCCGTAAAACAGTAATTTTACTGCACTGCGTATATTTTAAGATGCTACGTACATGTATATGTCCAGATGGTTTACCATTGTAATTTAAATTCTTAAACGAACCCTGTTTTGACACTTAAACACTTATATCCTTGACTGACTCAACATGAATTATTACCTCTATCACTTTATTAATGTGCTGTTTCTACGGAAAATAGCGCCTTGGGAGAAATAAAAAAGAAGAATTAAACTCCACAAAACGATATGTAAACTTAGAGAATGTTGATACTTTGAATATTATCCAGCTGTCGCCTGTCCGACCTGTGTTATTATAACATTCACCCCGAACTCACCTCTCCAACCGATATAAAAAGTGCCATCAGTTATACTAAAGTGTCATGCATAAACCCCTCGGCCAACTTTGTGCTGTTCCAGCCTTGCTACAAGATCTATACAAGGTCAATGTCATATACCTACATTCATGAAATCATACGTAATTTGTGAAAGATTTCAACGGGCTTCCTTCCTTCCTTGGTACAACCCGTAGCTTCTTAGTAATTGTATAGTGACTATGCTCGTGTGCCTTCTAAAATTTGAGGAAAAGTAAAAATATTCAAGATTTAAGTTATAATTTACATGTTGTGTGCGATTAATGACTTTTTTTACTAATAACCATATTTCTACTGCGTTACTAAAGCCATTATGTAGGTTTTGTCGTGACGCGGCTCATTTGTGCTAATAGTTCTTTCTGCCTTTGACAATGATAATCCTGTATTCATTGTCTTTATGCTGAACAATACCTTCGTTACTAGAATAACGCTTTACATGTATAATGCCTTCGGTAAAAAAAAGAAAGGGAAGAAACAAAAAAATCCCCACCAATAAAAGCTATTTCCAACAAAAACTAGTCTATTTCTCTTTATTTTACACAGAGTACGCCTTCATTATTTAATTAGACACTCGAATATTTTCTTCAGAAAATACGACTTTCTCCTAAACCAGCGCTGAATTCTAAAAATCTGTCACAATTCTTTATAACAATCGGATTTGTATTCAACGAGCAACACTCATAGCGCCTCTTATAATGCCCAACTGTAGAATTAAGAAAATTGGGAATGCTCGCCAAAATGACACTGCCACGTAGATAATTATTGGGAAAGGAATTTTAATTCCCAAAAGACCGCTAAAAGACTTGTAGTCATTCGTGTTTAATAATAGAATCCTCATGCACGAGACTGTGTAATGTAAAGTATTGATAGTGTAGTAAAGTACGGCATTTATTGGACGAGGAAGATTAAAATACCTAACTTGCACGATTTCCACGTGTGCGGTTAAATAGAAGCGATATAACAGAGAGGAGCAAGTCGTAAGTCCCTGAACTATTATTAAAAGCCCTGTCACACTAGGACGGCGTTCTCACGGCGTCCAAAGAAAATTCAGAACGCCGAGGTGAGCGCAGTAAGATCGCAAACATCGCCACAGCATCGCCGTAGCATCGTAGTGGCATCGCATAGAACGCCGACCAACGGCGCGCATTTTGAACATGCTCAAAACAAACGCCGTCGCTCGGCGTTCTAAAATGAGCGCAGTAGCATCGCAGTAAGGACGCCGTAGTAACTCATTAGCATCTCCTACAACGCAACAGGAGCGCTGCGAAAGCGCAAAAGGAACGCCGAATGAACGCCGTGGTTATCCATGGCGCTTGTACGGAGACTGTGCTACGTCTTTACCGCGCTTAAACTGCGTGTGTACGGCGCTTTCATTGAGCTTTTCGATTTCAACGCAGTGTGAGTGCCGCGAGAGCGTCGTATGAGCGCCGTAAATGCGCAGTGAAAGCGCAAAGAAGGTCATAGAAGCGCAGTCCGAACGTAGACAATCGCCAACTAAAACGCCATCGAAGCTCCGTAGCATCGCCATGATCGCCGTGAGCACGCCATGAAGACGCCGTGCAGTCTTCATGACATCAACAATATAACATTTTTTATTGCGACCTCGCGGCGCTTTGTTAAATTTAACAACGCCGTGCGAACGCAGTGAAATCGCATTCTAGTGTGACAGGGCCTTAACTGAGAAAGCTATTTTTAAGCCAGTTGACGAAACATCCATCGTAACGCTTAAATTGAATTAGTCAGGGCTTTGAAAAAAAAAAAAAAACAGATATACAACTGCGATCACAAAATTTCCCCTACAATAGAATGCCCTTATTAATTTACTGTTCTACATTTTAAGTTCATAGTCGATTTTTTTTATAAAATATATAAAGCATATACAGGAATTTCTAGAAAAAAAACAACTTACAAATTAACTTATTATTGACTGGCTACAACTCTAAAGATATATGAGCCGCGTCACGACAAAACCAACATAGTGCATCCGCGCAGTCTGATCAGGATCCATGCTGTTCGCTTACCAACTCTATTACAAGTAGAGAAACTGATAGCGAACAGCATGGATCCTGATCAGACTGCGCGGATGCGCAGGCTGGTCTGGATCCATGCTAGTCGCAAACCCATAATGTTGGTTTTGTCGTGACGCGGCTCATATATCAGCAACATTCACAACTAGCCACTGAAGTTAGATTGGTAACATGGATGATTATTCAACTGTTTAAATTACTTCATTTTCAATCTGACAAATTAACAGTTGTTGCAAACTAGGATGACTGTTCCCTGACTTTGTTTTGATTCAAAGCTATAAACACAACTTTACTAAAAGGCAGTATAAAATGAAAAACTTACAGCTTCAATTATAAGTAGATGTCAAAAGGAAGGTGCAAACACACCAACTAGCTATATAATCAGAAAATGCTGTGAGAAAGGGTAAATTATTGGGAAGGACAAATTGACAGAAAAAGAGGACATACAATCATTAATATGCTCCACAAAGTTTATTTTGTTTGTTTGTATTGGGTTTTACGTCACATCGGCACAGTATAGGTCATATCGCGATGTTCCAGCTTGACTGGTGGAGGAAGACCTCAGGTGCCTTTCCGTGCATTATTTCAGGCACGAACTGGCACCCGAGTAGAACCAACGACGTTCCGTAAGCTAGCTGATTAGCTTCCTCACATGAAAGAATCCAAAGTCCCTGTCCGGATTCGAACCCACAGCGGTGAGGGGCAAGTGGTTTGAAGTCAACGTCCTTAACCAATCGGCCACGGACGCCCCTAAAATATCTAAAGTATATAATAGCATTGTGCACACTGTGTGTACATAAAACCTGATAAATTTTGTTAAAAAAGAAGATAAATACATGTATTCCTTTGTTTTACATTTATTTATTATTGAAATTTACACCTCTGTTACAAATAAGTTATCTAATACACATATCTACAATCTACATATTAACACACTCAAATCTGGAACAATCTAAAAGTCCAAAAATAATGTATCAACACTCAAATAAATACTAAATGCGTATCTAAACCCTTTGAAAAAATGACCACCTTTATAGTCTGTCCGGCCAATTCCGTAAAGTCCGGCCAATATGTCCAAACAGTTTGACCTATATGTCCACAAGTCTGGTCACATGGTCACATGGGTCTAGCACTCTAAGGTCTAAAAATAAATGACATAATTTCCTTTACAGTAATATTTTAATGCTTAAGAATTTGAATTATTCAACGATTTCAGCATATAAAATACACAGTTTTTCAAATATAGAAAAATTCATTGTACTCAAAAAAGTTCGAAACTCAACTAAATCGTACATAAACAATGTAAATAAACAAACAAATATAACAGAGACAGACATTTAAATACACAACAAATAATATCACAGAAATTTCTTCTTAACAGACCATAAATACATAGCCTGCTGACAGCAAACTGATTCAACCTATGCAAATAGTGCACACCAAGATCAACTAATATCTTATCATGATTTGCACTGTTTGCTATTCAGAAAGTACAAATTTTGAAATTTTCCCTAAAAATGAGGAATGATTTAGTCCATATTAAAAGATGAACAAGTCCATTTTAACTATTTAGTGAGGTAAGGATTACTTATTATGAACTGTTACAATAATGAAATTTCAGTCTTTTGGTTATAGTTTGAAACTACGCCAGGTTGCATAATAGGGCATTATGACAAAGTTCTATATTGCCAACTGGCAAATTATCAAAATTTCACGATGATATACCTAACTATTGATAATGAACTGTTCCAAAATGACAGCAGACAAATCCATGTATGTGTATACAGGTTTTTTTTCATCTAAAATATTTGAAACTTAAATTTTAAACAATTTAATGAAACTTTAATTTGTAATTAATTATGTGATGCACTTTGTATGCATTATTTATTATCAATTAATTACTGTAATTTGCTTTTTACTACATAATCTAGAAGATGTTTTAACAGTATTTGCTGTAGGCAAGTTGATTATACATCACATTAACACCGGAGAAAACGTGTTATTTATGTTTTGTACTTTGAAAATTAAAAAAAAAATTTGTCTACTTTGGTCTAAAAGGAGCTAAGACAAGTTGAATGTTAACATAGTAGTGTGGGGGAGAAATTTGTTGATAATTTATTACTGAAGATGTATACATGTCATCAAACATGCATTCCTTGCTTTGTTCAACGAGTTTTAATACATGTACATACATATATGATTTATCTATCCTAACTTGTACGAAAATATAAGGCATACATAAATTATATGAAACAATAATAAATACTAAATCACAAATTTTCCACGTCACTGATTTCATACTGTTAAACTTCAGCATTTCGTGTATAATAAACAAATTTGAATTTTATTTCTCTTTCATAAACATTGAAAGCTTTATAATTGATTTTCCAATGGAACTACTTAAAAACCTTCATAATTTTTAAAAACGACTCTGGTAAAAGCTCTTGTATCTATTCAGCTGAAGGTCATTGAGTCTAGAAAAATACTTTCAATTTTTGTTAACATACAAAATCTTGTCTAAATAATGGCAAGTACTTTCAACTTAAATTATTTTTTAAATCAATAGTTTGTCAATTAACACTTAAGATAAAATCATACACTGCAGTTTTGATTTATCTCTAATAATTACCCACTCAGCAAATTGTTTTATCAATATTTTTTTTTTATTTTTGCCAGCAGTCGAATATCTCAGGTCAAAGTATTTGTTTTCCTTTCCAGTGAGTAGCTGCAGAAGGACGTTTAACAAGTGGCGTATATCTATTTATAGGCAAAATAACAAGAGGAAGACTCCCACATTTATCACAAAATCAATTTCCACTCCAGCGCCGTTCTGTTTATCTTCCCCACTTCTCTGCTTTCACTAGAACCTTTTTTTGTATTTTCTGAAAATAAAAAAAGCTAATATAAACATCAGAATCAATATAGAGTCGGAAGAATTCTATTTACATTATAGCCATGAACAAAGATTAAAATAACATAGCCGATCCAGTTGTTTTTTTGTTTTTTTAAAGAGTGGCCGACTTTGAAAGTTACATACAGTCACTATTAAGGTTATATGGTAACTTGCCAGTTTTAATGGGGGTAGAAGATCTTAAATGAGCTTTAATGCATTGTTTTCAGACACAACCATTCAATTTTATTACCCTTCCAGATTTTTTCCGCCTTTTTGATTGGATATTGATCACCCGAAAGAAATTGATATAACCGAGCCAGACGGGTAATATACACACTAAATTTCCCCGTTTGGTACCCAACGTTGTAAACAATATGCGCTGAGGTGATGCGCGTACGGTTCGATTTTACGCGGTGTAAATTCCGATTTAAAAGCACTTTTTAACTGTCAAATGATAAATATTTACCAAAGTAGAGTAATGATGCATATAATCATCAGTATCGAAAACAAATATGACCTTGTGAAAGCTTGATATTAATTACAAAAAAGTGTGTTCAACAGACTACTCCTTTTCTCTTGTTTACTTTCGTAAGGTACGGGAAAAATACGTCATGTATTTATGTGACATCATGTTGTGACGAAGTGGTATCCTAAAGGGAATCTTATTTGATGTTTCATTTGAAACAGCAATGATTTTTTAAAAAATCGTCTAAACTCGGCAGGGGAAGGGTAATAAAATTATTATTTTGGTTTTGGAGTGATATATGTGGATATATTACCTGCCAAGATAAAATATCACCCTCGCCTAACGGCTCGGGTGATATAAAATCTTAACAGGTAATATATCCACATATATCACTCCAAAACCAAAATAACATATAATGTAGCCAGTTCCTTCGATGAAAAAAATAATATCAGCGGAATCACGACAAAACCAACATAATGGGTTTGCGACCAGCATGGATCCAGACCAGCCTGCGCAAACGCACAGTCTGATCAGGATCCATGCTGTTCCCTTACCAACTTTATTACAAGTAGAGAAACTGATAGCGAACAGCATGGATCCTGATCAGACTGCACGGAGGCGCAGACTGGTCTGGATCCATGCTGGTCGCAAACCCATTATGTTGGTTTTGTTGTGACGCGGCTCAATTATCAACCTAAACCATCTCACTATAGAGGGCTCATATAGTGTGAATTGGTATGAAACATTCAATAAATTAAAGCAGCACGCCTCCAGATTCATGTTAATTTTCATGAAAATTTTGGAAATGTATTTAAAAGTATAATATTGTGAGGTGAACAAATAAATCAATTTACATATTGCAAATGGCATAACAATCCCAAGAAAATTAACAAAAAGTGGTCAACATTAAAAAAAACATCCCTTACTGCATTAGTAAGCAGTAGAAATATGGTGATAAAATACTGCAAAATCAGTCTTAAACCGCACATAACATGTAAAATAAAATACAACTTGGATCTTGAATGTTTTTACCTTTCTTAAAATTTAAGTACATTTTTCTCAATATTGATTTTCTTAAAATATTTTGGCTCATATGGAGGCATACAGCTTTAAGACAATAAAATGGACTACTATTTTATAAGTTACTAGGGATATGTTCATTTAGAATATTTACCCTATTGAATAGGCGAGCTTTAACTCTATTGAGCGAATATTCATCCTGACGTTTCTTCATTTTTTGTTGCTCCAACACCTCCGGTAACTTTTTGTAACGTCTGAAATAATTAATACATCATGTGTAAATTAATGACTAACACAACACCTGGAATAATATATCAGTAATTACTGACTAACATACCATCTAAAATGATGTATGTGTAATTAATGACTAATTTAATTGTTATGTGCGACCAATATTTTACATGATCAATATAATATAAGCAATGGTGGCTGGAATAACAACTGGTATAAGTCCCCTTCCAGTTCTGACTATTCAGTAAATTTTCATTATCTTATTCTTGGATGGCTATAAGCGAATAGAAATGGATAAACCCCTTCTTAAAATAACTTCATACTATTTTCTTCCAGAACATTTTATATTTAATTCTGTTTATATACATGTGCAAAATTCAAGTGTGTCTATAACAGAGACATATTTATGTGTGTTTATTAACATATTAACACAGACATTATATCTTTCAACTTGAGAATTGACCATAAGCTTATGGAAGCAAAATAAAATCACCTTTTAAATTATAGAATTTATATAAAAAAATAATTCACTAGATACAGATGCATATACTTTAACAACAATTTATCTTAAAAATTAAAAAAAACAACAACCAACTAAAGTGAACATTCTACATGCATCCATTACCAAAATATTCGTACATATTTACATTTATATCAAATAAATTTAACCTAGCTTAAATACACGCTGTTTGAGATATTGGTCACAGTCAATATTTAAGAGCCTCATTTTGATTATTTCTGTTACCATAGCAACTGCAGAAAAATATGAATTACCATTCAAATCAGTTTCATAAAATCATGACTATACTTTTAGGCTGTTATAGAATCAGTCTTTTAAGGCATTTCTTTAAAATATTTATGTTACTATAGTAACCAAAACTACTGTGGGGGCTTAAAAACCTATAACATTATATTTAATGAAGACAGGTTGAATTGTCTTGTCTATCAAACAAATCATATAATTGACAGTTGATGTAATAAAATTATATTATGTTCACACCTTAGTCACTACACTTTATGAATTTTATGTCATTAACCAGCAGGTCAATATTATAATTTACTACACAGTTAGTGATATACTGATATAAAACTTGACTATATCAAAGACCTGAATTTAATGGTTTGGCCATGCTAAACACAAGTACTTCAGACTTAAGACACTCTAAACACAGAAATGCCACAAACCTTGCATTCATTAATTAGATGACCTCAAAACTGAAAATGCCACAAACCTTGCATTTATTAATTAGATGACCTCAAAACTGAAAATGCCATAAACCCTTGCATTTAAAGACGACTTAAAAACAGAAAAAATGCTACAAATCCTTGCATTCGGACATTTTTTTAATGGTAATAATACCTAAACTAGGCAAATGTCAAACCACAAGTTCAAGGATTAAATGGTGGCACAAACAATGCATTCAAAGTAGTTAGACACCCCTTCAACTCAGAGAATGCCTTGAGCTTTCCATACAGTGATTATACAACCACGCCTAACAGAGCACAAGAGTTTGTATGCCTGATATTTCTAAGAACTTTGGTGGTGAAAATTTTTTATGTCATCAATATACATTAAAGGCCAGCTTGCAAACTGGACTAGACTCACAAGATTCTCTCAGACTCACTGTTGGTGTATAAAAGTTTTTACTTTGTTACTTAAAAAAAAAACATTGTTTTAACAATACACATTCAAACACCATGAAAGTCTATGACAAAATACAATAGTTTAATAATATTTGAATATAGGATGTTCTTACTTTTTTGTCATTTCCTTCATTTCTTCCTTGGTGATCACCCTTCTAGTTGGCCTGTGGAGGTTATCTATGAAAGAAGATTGAAATTATTTCATATATATAACTTATCCATTACCAGATTATCACACTGCCAAATATGTTCTTTATCCTGCAAGCCATACTCAGTTTCCCCATATTATATGCCACAAGCAGAAATTAAAAAAAGAAATAAACTGCTTGATTCAAACCTTAAAATCACATAAGTAATTATCTCATTTTCAAATATGATCAAATTAAGTGGGGGCTAAGGAAAAAGTTGTATATCACAATTATATAGTAATTATTTTTTTGGTAGATGGACAGTTTTGGTCTGAAAACAGGAAAACTATATTTTTCCCCTAATGTTTGTAAGGTAAAAAAAAAAAAAATTTGCATGGAAACGGTTAATCAAACATTAACTTTCTAACAACTTTTTTCAATACTTTTACCACATCATATGTCAACACTGCAATCTATATAAAAATCTAAGTGAAAAGACAAAATTGTTTTGTAATGAACATAAAGGCCCTTTAAGACAGATCTTCTATGTACAGTCTTAATATTGAGATTATTTTTCAGCATAAGTTTTTACTGTGTAAAAAAAAATGAAATTTAAAGCTTAGACTGTATCACACTGTTTTGCTTTATAAAGTTTTACTATATAATATATAATGTATACAAGTCTATTTTTTTTTTACCACTATAAGGATGAGCATCGGGGTTGGCTTCTTTTCTTCTCTCCTCTTGGAAGAGTCGGTCTCTCTCCATCTGTAGGAACACCTCCATCTTCCTCTGTTCTGCAGCTAGGTTTAACCTCTTCTGTCTCTCACGTAACCGTGATATTGTGTTCGCCCTTCTTGCTTGAAACGCTTCCTATAGCAAAAAAAAAAGAAAAAATTCTAGTATTTCTGAATAACAATAATAAACAGTCATTGAAGAAAATTTGTTTCCACTGAATTCCATAATTGCAATTTAATTAACAAATTATAAAACAAAGAGGAAAATTAATCTTTTTGATTAAGGTTAAACTGACCACTAAAGGCAAACATATCACACATTTTATTGTAAACTATAGTTAAAGAAATAATAAGATTGAATGGAATTTATACCAAGCAGACTTGATATATATCAGTGTGTTCTTTATACATACTTCAAGTCTAAAGATCTGATCAACAAAATTAAATGATTTATTATCTGTTTTTACTTTTGAATTTTATAAATATCACGCATGTCAAAACATTGAAAGTTCTTACTACACTGACACTTTAAAATTCTAGTATTTAAGTGCATCTAACCTGTAGTGACATTTTATTCAGTGGTTTTGATCCAATTACATCAACTTCCTCCTCAGAATCTGTCAATGTGTCATCTTCTCCCATTGGCTGACCCTCAGGGTCAAGGTCAAACTTTGTGTCTCTAGAAATATCATTTGGATCTCCTTTGTCTTTTAGGACATCACCATGGATAATATCTCTCCATGTAGACTGTGACACAGATTTAGGTTCCCAAGCCTCTTGTCTAGCTGAGAAAGCTTGACGCTCCTTCAAAGGTTGTCTCCATGGTTGCGATGGCTTCATAGAGATAAACCAGCTCTCCGCTATAAAAATTATAATAATAAAACTCAGTAATCAAAAGAACAGCAGTAAACTGGATATATAAAGTCTCTAGATTAAATACATCTTTCTTTCTTGAAATGAGTCCTACTATCTTGCAGAAAAAAATAAACATAGCTTAGTTAACAACAAAAACCAAGAGCTATCAGTAGGACAGTAAGCTCCACTATTCTTAGAGCTTAATAGTAAAACAAGAGACTGGATAATATACAAAGTTCAAAAAGGGGCATTATTCTATCAAAATCAAAGTAAGAGTTATAGGCCTTGGACAGTGACCTCCAAATATACTCTGAAGTGTGTGAAGTTTCCACCTATTCCCTTCAGTAGTTTTGGAGATACAAACTTGCTCACAAATTTTTTTAACAAAGTGAAGCAGTAGCGCTGACACAGATGCCAGTACAATAGCTTCCCTTGTTCTTTGAACGGACAAGAAAACACAACTACAAAGTATTACCCTAATTATTAAAAGATAATCTTGTAAGTCATATTTCAAGTAGTCTACACTTACCTTCCTTTTTATGTTTAGTATTGGGAGCAGTGTTTTCATCCCCTTCTGGTGTGAACATGCTGTTTTCTGGAGGCACAGTTTCTGACTCTGGCTTCCAAATTGGAGACTGTGCCTGCCTTCTTGTGATTGGTGGGCTAAATCTTCTCCTAGGCGCAACAGGAGACCTTGAAGTCTGTCTAGTAGAAGGTGATCTTGATGTTTTTCTTGGAGGAGATGTTGAAAATGAAGTCTGGACTGACCTTGAAGGTGATTTTGATGGCCTCCTTTTGGAAGTTTTATTGTTTTTCTGAGACATATAAGGCACTGGTGCTACAGGAACCTCATCATAAGCATGAGATGGACTTGACGACCTTAATGCTGGACTGGTTTGGATAGCTTCTGACTTCATCAGTACTTCCCTCATTCTTCGTCGTGATGGTGGACTTACTGTAATAGGTGAAGGATACATAGTGCTGGCATCGCACATACGGCCATGTTTCTGTGGTGACAAATAGTTCTCGACCCTCATTCTCATCGCCCGCTCTGGCGTCATGTAGTTCTCGTAACGCTTTATCTGATTCGCAATGTCTTTCTCTGTGAACTGTACACCAAATACATCCTTTCTTTTCTTATCTTTCTTATCTTTTCTGATTTTATTACCGTACTCATCAACTCGAACTTTCTTTCCTTTGGAAGATGATGATTTTTTATCTTTAACTTTCTTTTCAGACTTTCTTTCAGGCACCCTTTCAACAATTATGTTGCTAAAATCGGATGTCTCAGTGGTATCAGAATCAACATAGTGCGTTGCTCTTTGACCTCTGTATGCTTCATTTGGATATTTCTTAACCTGTAATTTGATAGCACTATCTAACGTACTGTCTTTTAGAGTTGTAGAACCTTGTGATGATAAGTCGGAATCAATAGGTGTGGAATAACCCGTTATAGTTGAATCTGACATTCTGGAGCTTTCTGTCTGACTTACACTTGTTGTAGAGGACACATTACCTAATTCTACATCAATAGCTTTGTCTGAGAGTTTTCCTTTTGTTTTAGCATTCAGTAACATTTCTAACTTTTTAAGTTTCTCAACACGCTGCAGTTCTTTTCTTCTTTCTTTATCAATTTTCACTCTCTGCATCTTAATTTTGTCACGTAATTTCTTCATCAAAGGATCAATAACATGCCTGTGTCTCCTCTGTCTTGATCGCATCTCAGACTCTGCTTTTGTCGGAGATTGCTCAAAACTGGCATCTTCAGGTATGGAGAACAGCGTATCCATGGTGTCACTGTGCCTGTTAGAACTATTTCTTGCTCTTATGTCTGTCACAGACCCTTCATCTTTAGTTTTTCTGTTCCTCTCTTTTTTTCTGTCCTCATTTCTTTGTTCTGGCACATTTTTACTTGGTGACTTACTTGGAGATTTATTTGGCGATTTGACTCTCCCCTCTTTTCTTTCCTTTCTTTCTCTCCTAGTTTCATCCTTCCTCCGCCTTTCTTCTCTTTTTCTTTCATTTTCCAACAGAATTTCTGAATAACTTCCGTTACTTTCTTCCTCACTCAATCCTTGCCTGTTTCTCATCTCCTGTCTCCGCAAACTCCTTAACTGAGCAGATTTCTCAGCAGTAACCTTTCGTTCCATTTCTTTTTCCCGTAACCTTTCCTGATGCAGTATTTCTGCCCTTTCAATTTCATCTTGTTTCTGTTTATCGATTAATTCTTTCTTCTCTTTAACAAATGAATTCACTTCATGATGAGTGGGGTTATGTAACAGTCCGGACAAGGCGTCCAGGCGTGTACTATTCAAACTGCTCTCTGACATGGACTGTTCCTTACGTTCTTTAAACCTGGCCCACATGTCATTAATGTTGGGAGGAACTTTATCATTGTATTCTTGTTCCAGCACTTCTCTCAGAGCTTGAGCCTTTTTACTTGGTGGGAAATTGTCTTCAAAGTTTTCCTCTTGTCTCTTTTCCTGAATTTCGTTCCTATAAAAGAGTAATAGGCGTATTGTACAACGAATCACAAAGTTAAGCAAATATATGACGTGAAAATTGAAGACTTGAATTTTTAGAGGCAAGTGATGCTTAGTTTGTGACTTTAGCCACTCAGCTATGGCAGTACATACTGGTTTAAACAAGCTCTAAGATTTCACCATAATTGAGCTGAAATATATATTTTTGAACGTATTATGAAAAGAAAGTATAAAAAAAGGACCTTAAACTTGGTTAAAAAATATATAATTTTGAATCAAAAGTTTTTAACCATACTAATGAAGGTACTTACACCTGGTCAGTCAGCTGCTTGTTCAGCTTCTCCAACTCAACTTCCATCTCCTGAAAATATTGAAAACTTTTATAACTTCCCATCCCGATACTTGTCTCTCACATATATCTTTAATAATTCCCAAATCATGAATATTTTTACACACAAACTATGAAACCTCCTTTTCAGTCACTGTACAAGTTTTATTTTTATGACAATCATTGTTCTACTGAATGAAACCTTCAAATGTTTCGATTTTTCAAGGATTTATAAAAGGGTTTAAATTGGAATCCTAAGATGAATAACTTTTGATCATTATTTTTCAAGCGGTGCTGAAAATATTTTAAATCTATGTATAACATTTCAGTATTCAATACGTAAAATACCAATGTGTCATTTATCTTTAACCGTCGACAATGCTGTAGTATTTACTATTTCTTTTCAATAATTACTTTCTACAATCAATAACAATCAATACAGTAATTATCCCTATTTTTTTTTCATGTGAACAAATGGCCTTATAAAGAAAAAATGCAATTGTATGCCTTTTTAAGTGAAAAAAAATTTTTTTCAAAAAGTCAAATTTACAGAAATTAGGGTAATGGACTTGCCTAGCTTTGACTCTGGACCTAACAATTTGAATTTTAAGATACATGTATTTTAATATCAAAGTTCATGTAATCAAACTAATCAGCCAAAATCCTAGTAACGTTGGACAGTACTAAATTGACAGAAAGACATGTTATTACAGACATTTAGCATACTGTGGGTTAAAATAAGAGTGACACTTAACGTTCAGGACCAGAAAAAGTCAGAAATTATTCAGACTGATAGTAATGCCTTAAACCAGCCACACAAAACAACAACATTATTCTGTGAATGAGAACCCTATTGCACTATCCATGAAAAAATGAAAATGTTGTCACCTTAGTGTAGTAGTGGGTTAAGTCCTTCTATATCTAATAGGAGTTAACCAGTTATTGCACAAAGGTGACAATGTATGGGGTTTTAAGTTTTAACTACCAATAAAGTGACATTTAACGTTCAGGACCAGAAAAAGTCCGAAATTATTCAGACTGATAGTAATGCCTTAAACCAACCACACAAAACAACAACATTATTCTGTGAATGAGAACCCTGTTGCACTATCCATGAAAAAATGAAAATGTTGTCACCTTAGTGTAGTAGTGGGTTAAGTCCTTCTATATTTTATAGGAGTTAACCAGTTATTGCACAAAGGTGACAATGTATGGGGTTTTAAGTTTTAACTACCAATAAAGTGATAAAAAAGTTAAAAAACCTCAACATTTGAGTATTGTTTTTACACACCTCAGGTATGATATAATCATACAATCTATACCATGAAGAAACTTTACCTTTTGTCTAACATTGAGTGGAGACTTTGCTCTATCTGTATCAGTCACTGTCCTCCTCATGTGACCCATTTTCCTAGGGTCAGCTCCAAGGTCAACTGGACCAAGGGCATCAACTGATCTGGGAACAGTTGACCTTGACCCTGCCTCTAAAGGTCGTACAGGAGGTTCAACTGGTTCTAGAGGTCGTAATGGATAGCTAGGTGGGTCAACAGAGGTTTTAATGTCATCTCCTGCATCTAAGACCGGTCTAGAATAAAAATATATAGGGTCCTAATTAAATTTGTAACAAATGACCTCCGAAATTATTTTTGATCTTTGAACTTATGTGAAACATGATTTCTTTTACCGGGTAGTTATTAGTTCTCTTTTTAAAATATCATGTGATTTATTTATAAGCCGATAAGAACAAGAGAGTTTGGTCTTCTTTCCTTAATGTATTATAAGGTAAAGAAGCATAAATTTTAAATCACAACAACACTTTGTTAAAGTCATGTGGCAACTTTCAAGCTATTCCTAGTGGGTGAAAACCACCATGCATTATTTCACGCACAATAAAACACTTGAATAGAACCACCAACTTTCCCAAAGCTAGCTGGACAGCTATTCCTTTTTCACAGGAAAGAATTTGAAAGTCACTAGTGGGTTATGAACTTACAGTGATGTGGGGCCAGCGGTTTAATGTCAGCGTCCTTAACGACTCAGCCACTAAGGACAAAACATAAAAATTTATTTTAAGCTTCAAAATCACAATAAAATGATGATTACCTCCTGTCATAGACCTTGGGCAGTTCTTGCGGGGGTGGGGGTTGCCTCAGCTCTCTCTCTGCTGGTACCCTGGGGAGATCCGGTGGTACACCACCTGGGGCTCCTCTTGCTTGGTACGTTATGGAGTCATGATGGGCAAATATAGGAGACTGATGGGTAGAGAACTCTAAAAACTTCACACCTACAAGACAATGATATTTCTATATGATGTAAAAGATAAACAAAAAGTACCTTGAAATCTTTTTAAAAGGCATCAAAATTGTGTAATCCTGTGACACAGATTTCACAAATATTACATCAATATAGAGAATTAAACGGTTAAACCATCCAAAATAATCTATTCCTGCCACTCATTCTGCTATGTTTACAACAGGTATCAGTTTAAATATATACAAAAATTAATAAGTTGAACACATGCGAAAACTTTAACAGTTACTGTGATGCCATGTTGTTACAAATGACTGCCTACTAAAAATAATGTGTTTATATAAATAACTACATAAAATGGAATTTAACTATATATAATCAAAAATGGACTTCAATAATTATCAAGATTTAGTAAAATAACAGCGTCCAAATATTGCCCAATCCTCTTTAATATTTCCTACAAATGGAAACATTGCTGATATGAATTATATAACAAACATTACAGATAAACTTATCTATTTACCAGGTTGCATTGGAGAAGAATATCTCTGGTCACCCTCTGTTGGAATTGCTACTAGATCCGTTTCAGATTTGGATCGACTGTAACGTAGTCTTTCTTCTGAGTAAGCGGGTTCTGGTTCGAGTGTATGGAACTCATTCTGGTCTGACTGACGGTACTCCCACCTGCTCCCTGGGTTGTTTCCCGACTCCCCAGGATCTGACCTGGTACTTGTACCAAGAGAGTCCCTCGGTGCTTCCACTCTAGTATGCTTCGATAACACCTCCTACAAAAATAATATAAAAACTTTGATAATTTTTTAAATTTTAGTATTACAAATATATCTCAGAAAAAAGCCTAAATAAAGCAACAATATATAATCATTTAAACAACAACTTTTTTGTGAGTTAAATATGAAATGAAATTTCTCTAAATTATAATCAAAATTAATCAAAATTTCAAAATTGAATGTGATCAAAAATATTTTTTTTCAAAACTAAGATGCTTTCTTTTCATCTTATTTACAAATAAAATAATCTGTGTTTGTAGATAAAAGTCTTCTTTTTCAATGTAAGAATAATGTAAGTATTATGTAAGTGCACAATAAATTTAAATAAAAAACTAAACTTTTATCTAATTGCACATTAACAACAACAAATCTATAAAATGTAACAAATGCAGAAAAATCACCTAACAAAGTCAAAGGGAAACAATCCATTTTGTCATAAAAATAATATTAACCTTTAACTCCCTTTCTCTTCTTTCAAAATCTTTCTGGAATTCCTCTCTAGTCTTAAACCCAGGCCTCTCCAGTCCTCTTGCAGACTGACCTTTACTGTAGAGCTCATGGTCATCTTTCAGACTTGCTGGTGACCTTGACCTCACTGTCCCTGTCTGGTACCCGGTGTCAGCTGTGACTGCACTGTGTTTATCACTATTGGTTCCCAGCTTACCACTGCCACCACTGGCTGTTAGTGCTTTCTCTTTGTCATCCTAAAAATTTAACATAAACTTGGTAATAATATGTTCATCATTAAAACAAATAATTTTATAAATATCTAAGTTTTGTCTAACACCAATCCGCCGTAAGTACTGTTGACGAAGTGTGTTTCAAAAACATCATAAAACCAAACTTCTGTATGAAACTCTTGATTGGATAAAAACATTTTATAATAGAACATTATAAAAAAAAACTTGCTTCTTTTACAATAAAGCACATATTTTGAAGTTTATTTATTGACAATATGCTCATTATAAGTTTTCATTACTACTCATAGAAAATATGCTTATGTTTATGCTTATGCTTACAGCTAATTCAAGCAGGTTTCAGATACATTTTTATAGCATTAATACCATCAGATTTGTTACTCTTCATATTACATAAGGTTTTTAACGTATGTGTTCACATATGTTAAAGATAATAAGTTTACATGGCTGTGTTATGTTAAAGAGGTAATGTATTTACACAGTTGTGTTAACTTTTGTGATGTACGTTATTAAGAATGTATGGCTAGTTACAAATATACATTGTATTTAAGCATAAAATGTAAATCAAATAAATACTTTAATAAATTAAGATGATGTGTTATATTGTATGAGTTTTGATGTAAAGGAGACATTATTATATAACATGGGTAGAATTAAACATTGACAATTAACATTAAATATTATATAATTGTTATTATTTATTTCATACATTATATATTTTATATTATATAGTCATATGGCGACATTACAACTTTACTGGTGGAGGAAGACCTCAGGTGCCCCTCTGTGCATTATATCAGGAAGGAACAAGCACCTAAGTTGTAACAGTGACGTTCCATAAGCTAGCTGGATAAAAGAATCCGAAGTCCAAGCGGGCCTTTGAACCCACAATGGTGAGAGGGCAGGTGGTATGAAGTCAATGGCAAACCACTTGGTCATGGTCAGCCCTTAGGTTGAAGACCACTATGCAAACTTAGAGGATGAATCATTAATTCATAATACAATATTTACAAAACAACATTACACATATTTTTCTAGATAAATGGAACAATACTAAAACATTGTACTCTATTTCAAAGCAGACACACAATACAAGGCACAATTTGTTTACACTACTTTTTGCCAAATTGTTTTTTTTTTCCAGGCTTTCTTATAATGCCCATTTAATACAGTTTTGGTCATGTCTCGGCAGTCAGTCCATCTAAATAGCTTTCTTCATGAATTAAACAGTAATTTTCAGGTTCTTTGAAAGTGACTAACTATGTATCTAACATGATTTACGAAATCAGCGGTGATATACACATGACAATTATTACCAAGTCTAAGATCAACTGTCATGTAGAAATTTCGCATGCTCATTATTATAAAAGCATGTTTACAAAGAAACTTGTTAAATAATAAAGCCTAAAATACATAACATATATGTTCATCAATAAACACATAGGTTTATCATGTAAGATAGATATATCCTAAAACATAATAGAACAAGACTATGTTATGGTACGATAATATAACATTTATATATACTACATGTACATAATATACCTTTCTAGCAAATATTTCACGTAGACGAAGCTGAAATGTTATAAGCAATGCAAAAAATGCATATTAAAACACTCATCCACATGCTAACTAGACAGCTTCTGCTACCAAATTAGACATAAATTCACCAAATCCCATTACATTTAGACATAACTTTAATAAAGTTGCAACTCTTTGTTAACAGTAAGAAAAACAGTTAAAATATTCTTTTTAAAATCAAAGAATTTAAAGAGCCAGGCAGATCCAACCAGGCTATATACTTGTGGCTACAAAATTATGAGTTTTACCATTCAAACCCCCTTTAAAGACAATGAATACTTCCAAATTCAAAGCAAGTACAAGTAGACATTTAGAAGTGAGTTTTTTTTTTTCCTTATCACAGCATGGTGTCAAATAACAACATTAAATCAACGAAAATTTGTTCAAACTAAAACAGGCAGGAAACACATACTTAATACATACATTCATTGTATTATATGATTATTATTATGTATCCTTACCTTAACTGAGTTTTCATCAATCGTTGACAGGGCATCTTTCTCCTTGTTACCATAGATACCAACAGGATGTTTGGAAGGTTCGTCTCTGCGGGATCCGAGATACTGACTCGGAATGTAGGGTGGAGCAGCATCATCAGATCCTGTTATAATTCAAACGTAAAACTTTAAACTGAAGTTCAAAATAAACACTAAAAACAAAATAACACAAAATACAGAGTTAAAGCAATTTTACTATGAGGCAATCTGCTACATGGTAAATAAAAAACACTATAAAAATTGTGTTTTAAAAGTATATACCAATAATCATAGAAAGCATACTCATTGTAAAATAACCCTTAACCTGAACAATTTCTAAAATGGACTTGTCCAGCTTCCTTTGATAGAACCTTCCATTATCACATTATGGGGATATCAAGATGAAAAGTTTAAGTCAGTCAACAGTATCAAACCTAGTCAGACTGCATCGATGTGCAGGTTGGCCGGGCTTTATACTGGTGCTCAAAGGCTACTCACATTAGGCACCAGCATGGTAAGGGGTTAAAGTTGGTACTAGAAACAAAATATAAAACCAAACACTTTCTGATCGACAAAATTTGTTATTAAAGCAAAATCAATTGCCCATCAACACTGTTTAAAAAGCTATGTGTGGCATGAACTGTAGATGATTTTTTTTTTAAATTGTTAGGTATACAGGTGCAACATGACTGTAGCAGAATGGTGGCCCATAAATTCATAATACTATTTTTTTAAGAAAATAATTTATTACTGAATAATTTGAAATTTTTCAGTTTATGCATATGTAATAAAAAAATAATGCCCTCTTTACAAACACTTCAAAATCTTATTTATTATTCAATAAAAAAATTTACTGCAGACTTTATAGCTGTTCAATTCTATGCCTATTTAGAAAATAAAATTTCTCCGGAACAAAAATATAGGTCTCGTTTAGCCTTGAAGAAGGTAGCTAAAATATATTTCTCAATTTCTTAAATTCTAGAAGAATAAGATTCCTATACATGGGATCTATAAGTCTAATATTGTGTAAATTGCAAACAAAGAAAAATACAAAAAAGAGAAGATTGATTATGTTTAGAAGAAAATAAAATCATGGAGTGGTAAAATAAAATGAGCCGCGTCACGACAAAACCAACATAGTGGGTTTGCGACCAGCATGGATCCAGACCAGCCTGCACATCCACTCAGTCTGATCAGGATCCATGCTGTTCGCTTACAAACCCTATAAAAAGTAGAGAAACTGATAGCGAACAGCATGGATCCTGATCAGACTGCGCGGATGCGCAGGCTGGTCTGGATCCATGCTGGTCGCAAACCCATTATGTTGGTTTTGTCGTGACGCGGCTCAAATGTAGACCTATAGTCATAAAATTTGGAAGCAGATTTGATGAAGGGAGATAGAAAGCAACCAAGCTTTAACAATTAGCCATTTATGCTCCATTTGTTTTGATTAAAAGATATGTTTCTAAAAAGTATTTCATTTATACAGAATTTATTTTAGTTCGATTGTGTAATAAGTTATAAGCTTATAAACACACTTTCAAATCTGTTCCTGGAACCAATCAGTATAAAGCAATGAGTGAAAAGTTTTGGCTCAAGGAAGCTATGGCTTGCCCCTAACAGGGTTTGATCACAATTGGTCAGCAATCCTTAGGTTAATGAAAAAAAAATATTTTATAAAAAAACAAAAGTAGAAACAATTAATTATTTGAGCTGATCATAAAAGTTGACAAATTTGTTGTTTAAATATTTTCAAAATGGAAAAAAAAAAACACAAAAAAAACAACAACAACAACAAACATATTGTACATGCATGATAATTTCATCTTTTTCGTTTGTATAATTAAAAAAAAAAATCACTCAATAAATAAACTGTACACATAATGACATAAGTGAACACTGAATACAGAAAAAAAACATGCTCTTATTCAATCAACATCAACTCAAAATAAACATAACCATGCAATTTATAATTTTCAAAACTCAGATAAATAATTAAACAGGGGGGGTTACTAAATCTATATAATTATAAACCCATAACCTGCTTTAACGGTGATAAACCTTAGCTCAACAGTATAGAGCCAGGCTAGCCCGCACATCCGTGAAGTCTGTCCCGGCTCTATACTGTTGGTAGCTCAATTTTTCGTATTTTGATATTGAAATCCCTGAATGGACTGATCCAAATTCAAAGCAGGGAAAATCCATTATAAAAATTCAGCAGATTAAGGGTTAACCCTTTAAATGCTAGTAAACATAATGACTTGCCTATGACACCAAAACAGTGCTTAATTTTTACCCTAAAAAAATCAAAACCCCCTAAAACAACAAATGGACAGTTCAAAATTCAAATATGGGCAAGGCCATTATATGAATTTAGCAATGAAAGGGTTAAAGATGAAGGAGGTGAAATCTGAGTACAAACTGAAAGCCAATTATAAATCAACTTCTTCAGATATACTAACCACTTGAATCTGAAATTGTGGGTATATAACAAAAAACATTGGTAAAGGAATGTAACTCAAAAATAGATATATAACTAAAATAAATAGATATCGCTATGAGATCAAATACAATATCATATATAATTATGCATTTTAACAGAAAATAAGTTCTCCTATATTATATGCAAACAAAAAAATGTATTAATATGACATTTTTCTTAATCTTTTATGGAATTCATTTCAGTTGAAATGTATTTATTTTAACTCACAATGCTAATGAAAGCTTTTAGCTTATTAAAATTGCCTTTAAGTCCGCTTAATGGAACTACCCAGTACTAGCGCATTCTGAGAAAACTGATTCCTGACCGCAATATGCAGTAAGACTTGAACTCAGGACTTAGGGTAAGAGGCAAGAATGAGGCCATCTTACCCGTTAAACCATATGTGTATATTTAACACAAAAACATATCATGCAATCATTGCTTTTCATAACTGTAAAGTATCATGTCTTTCATTTCATATAGAAAAAAAAACGAAAAAAAAAAACCCAAAAAAACAGAATTGTCCCAACTGACTTTATATAACATGTTTTTTTAAAGAAAAAGGATAACTCTTCTGTACATATTAGATGTTTTCTGGCACTAATTTCATTTGAATTACCCCTAGATGAAGTAGATAACTTACAGTCTAAGGCATATATGCAGATATATCAAAAGCTTAACTTAAAGACCCCGATTTCAAGCAATGAAAAATGTATATTTTAAATTAGCAAAAATTGTAAGAAAAGCCCACGCAGTATAAAGTAATGGAAAAGTATATATATAATTTAAATATAGGAGCTGCACCATGACAAAACCAACATAGTGCATTTGCGACCAGCATGGATCCAGACCAGCCTGCGCATCCGCACAATCTGACCAGGATCCATGTTGGTCACAAACGCGACGGTTTTGTCATGGCGCGGCTCATATATATATATATAAATTTATTAACCTGGATGTGAACTCTCTATGGTTGTTCCACTTTCATTAACATCGTCCCCGCTCTCTGTATAATATACGTCACGTGTTCCCGCAGGTCTGAAAAAAACAACACATGTATTTATTGCCAGATATTATAATATACAACAGTACGTGTTCTTGCAGGTCTGAAAAACAACATGTGTATTTATTACGGGCTATTATAAATCAAAACAGTGCTTTAACAGTTAATTATGGAACACATTAGGCTAATTTACTGATGGTAAACTTCCTTTTATCATAATAAGATGAATTCAGAAAAGGGCACACACTACAGTAAAAAGAAATTATAAAGAATTACAATAAAAGTATCACATGAAAATTTTGTAGACTGCATTACAAGTTTGTTCCGAAGTACCAATATAAGCAGTTATTAATGTAAGAATTCAAAGTACAGGATCAATGATATAGAATAGGAAAATGTAAAAAAATTTTAAATGAATGATGTGCCTGGCAACTTTTTACAGCTGCCACAATGTATGTAAAGTCTGTCATTGAGTTCATAATGTCAGCAAAAAAATAGAGATCCTGAATTGTGGCAAACCTTACATGGCTTTAGAAAAAGTGCAAAATGTTTTGTCTTGACAAATGAGCTTGCTTAAATTTTTTTCATGGATTTGTGCAAAAAACAAAACAAAGTACATGTTAAACCGTTAAAACCATGTCCCTCTGTGAAATGATTTATTGATGTTTTGAAGAAAAACCTATAAAGAAAAATATTTCACATCAAAATTGTTCCACTGTGTGACCATTCTTACCTTTTACTGCTGTAATATATCCTACAATTACAACACAAGTAAATCTAATTACTTATTATATACCAGATCATTACTACATATCTACATCTTACATGTAAGGCGTTATTGGCTATCATACATCTGTACCGAATGATCAAACTCTTTACTGTCAATTAATCATTTTTCATCAGACTCTATACAGTCAATTAAACATTTTTTCATCAGACTCTATGCTGTCAATTAATCATTTTTCATCAGACTCTATACTGTCAATTAATCATTTTTCATAAGACTCTTAACTGTCAATTAATCATTTTTCATCAGATTCTACTCTGTCAATTAATCATTTTTCATTAGACTCTTTACTGTCAATTAATCATTTTTCATCAGATTCTATACTGTCAATTAATCATTTTTCATCAGACTCTAAACTGTCAATTAATCATTTTTTCATCAGACTCTAAACTGTCAATTAATCATTTTTCATCAGACTCTAAACTGTCAATTAATCATTTTTCATCAGACTCTCCACTATCAATTAATCATTTTTTCATCAGACTCTTTATTTTTCGTAAATTTATATTGATGTCCTTGATACAACAATGGACAATTTCAAAATTCCAAACAAAATAAGAACTTGTTTAAAAGATTTTGTCTACCAAAAGGTTTGCTGTACAAGTAAGTTACTGTACACATATATCAAAGAAACCCTACCTGTAAGGTCTAAGTTTGGTACCTCTCCTTGATCCACTAGTGTCAGATTCTGTCGGGGATGGGGAACTATCTCTTTTATCTGAAATTAACACAATTACATATATAAATATTTATACTATACTGTAATGGCAGCTCATCTAAGACTTGTCTTCTGATAATCATTCTACAATAAACTAGCATACTCAAAATAAGTCATGCACATGTGATGCAATTAAATTCAAATTACTAGCAAGTCACATCCCAACATCAATTTCTTAAAATCTAAATATCTAAAATTTTATTTTGAGCTTAATTTTTGTTGTTGTTGTTGTTGTTTAAGTAAATTTTTTAGACTTACTCAACCATAAAAAAATAAAAATCAATGCATTTTGTTTACAGATGTAGAAAGATTGAAATAACAGCAGCATTTCTTAACTTTTACAGTTTTATAATTTTCAAATCTGACTGCATAGCTTAATACTGCAATTTTAACAAACAAAATATCAGCTTAATTAAGTTATGCGATTATTTTTATTTAATAATCTTATTTCTATTATCAGTGAGTTTTCTTGTTAAACAGATACAATACATGAACACACATCAAGAAATATTATAACACACCACACATCTAACTATGCTGTCTGTAATTAATGTTTTCTTTGAATCATTTATTATTGTAAATATTATTGACACATATTCTTTGAGATTTTAACAAAGTTTTGTTGTATTTCCGGAGTTGATCCACCTTATGGGTTTTCCTGCTTAACTAACCTGTAATAACCATTGTCTCGACTACCAGTCGCTCATGATTTCTAGATAAATGGTGAGAGACAAATGAGACAAATGACCATTAGACTCAATGTCCGTGTAAAATTGTCACAGAGAAATTACGCCTCAACTGAGGATTGGACCAGTGACCCTTAGATTTCTAATCCAATGCTAGACACAGTCACACATATTACTTTAAGAATATCTAATGAACACACATACCATTAATAACATCTAAAACACATATATTAATTACCTATATTATCAAAAAGGTAATGTTAAAATTAACAGCAGATCAAAATGTCTAAACTTAAACTTAAAATCACATATATTCTATACAAGTAAAAAATTGCTGGGAAATGCAGCAATATGATTGTCACGGCGAAAAACAACAACAAAAAAAAACCAACCCCCACACAAAAAAACAACGAAAAAAAACCCAGTTAAATATATTGATAAGGTATCTCCAAATAGCATTGTTTTGTTTGACATGTTAACTTGTTCAGAAGGTTTTAAAATATCATAATCATGTAACTTGTTACAAGAGCCATGTTTATATGTAGTAGAGCAGAATAATTATCATTCTTATGTACTGCATACCTCTCGAGTGAGATTTATCCACCTATGAAGGTTCATGTTGATATCTCAAAGGCCTTTGTAGTTATGCTATGGACAAAATTAAGTATGAAAAATAACAAAGGGCAATAACTAAAAATTATGAAGGGTAGAGTTATCACTCTTTTGCACTTCATATCTGCTGAGTGAGATCTGTCCACCTTTGAAGGGTCATGTAGATATCTCAAAGGCTTTTGTAGTTATACCCTGGACAAAATTAAGTATGAAAAATAACAAAGGGCAATAACTGAAAAATAATGCACGGTTACATTGTAGTTACCATTCTAGTGTGCTGCACTTCTCATCAAAAAGAGCTATCCACCTATGAAGTTTCAAGTTGTTACCTCTACCACTTTTTTAGATATTCTCCGGACAAAAAGTAAGAACATAACAAATGTCAATAACTCAAAAATTATAAAGGTTAGAGTTATCATTCTTTCGCACAACATTCATCCTCAAAAAGATCTATCTACCTATGAAGATTGCATTGACATCTCAAAGTTTGTTTTTTTTGGTTAATTTATGCTCCACTCGGGTGAAAAATTAAGTATGAAAAATAACAAAGAGCAATAACTCAAAATTTAGAAATGGTACAGTTATCACTCTTGCATTGCACACCTCCTGAGTGAGATCTATCCACATGAAGTTTCATGTTGATATCTCAAAGGCTTTTTGCTGTGGACAAAAATTGAGTTTGAAGAATAACAAAGGGCAACAATGAAATAAATATGCAGCGTAGAGTTATCATTCTTGTGCACTGCACTTTTCCTAAATATGATTTATCCACAAATGAAGTTTCAAGTTGATACCTCCACCTATGAAGTTTCAAATTGATACTTTTTGAGATATGCTCCGGACAAAAATGTAGAGTGACGGACGGAAGGACAGACGGACGGATGGAGACTAATTCTATATCCGTCTTTTCGGCGGGGGTAATAAACATTTTCTTGTTCATATCTAAAGGAAACTCAGAATTTTGCTCACAATAACGTGACATGAATTCTGAATGAAGTTTGATGTTGTGGTAAAAACTGATTTAAGGACCAAATTAAGTTATTTTACAACCTGGTATGGTGAATGTTAATTGTGAAACGCATATAGAAAAACCAAGTCTCATTTTAGAGAATTGCGCAAGAAAAATGAAATTATTAAACAAGAGGGCCATGATGGCCCTGAGTCGCTCACCAGAAACAACTGTTTTTCAGTGTTGGAAATTATTTTTCAAAAGAACTTGCTGAAAGGCAAGTCCAGCTCTTTCGGCAGTTCAGCTCGATCAACTTTAACTTGCCCCTTTAGTAATATACTTTCACAACACTGATTGTTTTAGCTTTTTTTCTTCATAATAAACAATAGGACCACTAAGATGGCCCTAGATGACTCATCTAACCCATCATTTCATTATTCACTATAAAAATTGTAATATTTTGCCCTTATATTTTGGAAAGGATTTGTTAAAATATGTATGTTGCAAGTGTGTTCCTATGAGACTATGTAGAATAAATGCAGAACAACTGACCACTAGAGCAGGATTAATTTTGATTGGACAATTTCTAAAAACTTTTTTTGAATGAAAACACAAAATGTCACATGCAAAACATGTAAGGTGTAGTTGTTTGAAGTTCACAGTTTGGGACAAATTTTTTTTATTCATTCTGTATGGTAACATAACTGTATCTCAAAAAAAAAGACAATAGGTCAAACATTGTAAAAAATATGAAAAGTAGGCCAGTTAATATCAAAATTCAATTCAGCATCAGAAATTACACCCCTAGTCCAAATTTCAAGTCTGTATGTCAAGAACACAAGAATGAAAGTCAAATTATTTCAAAAATATCAAAAGTAGGGCAGTTGATATCAAAATTCATTTCGACATCAGAATTTACAAACCTGGTCAACATTTAAAATCTGAATGTCAAAATACAAGACAGTAGGTCAAATGATGTCAGTAATACCTAAAGTAGGTCAACTGGTATCAAAATTGAATTCAACATCAAAAATTACACAAATTACACCCATAGTCCAAATTTCAAGTCTGTACATAAAAGACAAAAAAAGTAGGTAAAGTGATATCAAATATATCAAAAGTAAGCCAGTTCAAAGCAAAATTCAATTCAGAAACAGAAATTAAACCCCTTGTCCCTTGTTAATTCAACAACAAAAAATGAAAAAATTACATTTTTTTACAAAATTCAATAAGAGAATTGAGCAGATAAACTCATCTTTGATAGTAAAGTACAGGAGAAACAAATTTTATGTTTCTTTAGGCCTATCTTTTTCCTGGTTAATGACCTACAACTGACCTTACAATGATGCAGTAGTCCGAATTCCAGAGCTGAAATATATTTACACATCATAAACAGGTCATGACCCAAGCCAATGAAATTTATGAAATTCTTGCTGAAAATGTCTTATTTGGATAAAAGAATGAATATACTATGTACAGGAAACTGCATATGCTATTAGAGGCAATGTAAAGATGGTCTTTTCTATAAAAAAAAGAAAAGAAAAGTTTTTGTAATGACACTATCATTATATTTATACTGTGACCACGAATAGTGTTAAGAGTTTAAAACATAACATATCTACTTTGTGTGATGTCAAAACACGTATATTTCATATTTATATTTATAAGGAGACTGTGTATCCATTGTCAATATTTTTTTTTATATTAAAATTAGAGCTTAGAATATCTTTAAACTTTAATTTAAAGAAACGCTAGTGCATTTAAGCTTTAGCTTTAACAGGACCAATCAAACTAATATGAGCAAACTTGATTAAAGACTACCCAAGAATGCTACAGACAAAGTTTGGTGATCATCCATCAATTGGTTCTGTAGAAGAAAATGTCTAAAGGTTTTCTATTTTAAGCCATAGTGACCCCTAAAAGGGGCCAATCAAATTAATATGAGCAAACTTGATAAAAGACTACCTAAGGATGCTACAGACAAAGTTTGGTGATCATCCATCAATTAGTTCTGTAGAAGAAGACGTTTAAAGGTATTTCTATTTTTAGCTATAGCAGCCCCTACAAGGGGCCAATCAAATTAATATAAGCAAACTTGATAAAAGACTACCCAAGAATGCTACAGACAAAGTTTGGTGATCATCCATCAATTGGTTCTGTAGAAGAATTGTCTAAAGGTTTTTCCATTTTTAGCCCTAGTGCCAATCAAATTAATATGAGCAAACTTGATAAAAGACTACCTAAGGATGCTACAGACAAAGTTTGGTGATCATCCATCCATTAGTTCTGTAGTAGAAGATGTTAAAAGGTTTTTCTATTTTTAGCTCTGCTGAACCCTAAAAGGGGCCAATTGAAATGACATGAGCAAATTTAAGTGTGACTATCACAAGGATGCTACAGACCAAATTTTAGTTAAATCTGCCCAGCAGTTTCAGAGAAGAAGATGATTGTTGACGCATGACGACGGACGACGGACGCCGGAGTATCCCCCTATGATACTAATAGCTCACCCTGAGCCTTCGGCTCTGGTGAGCTAAAAAAAGAAGACAATTTAAGTTCTTAATTGCAAATATAGAAACTTAGGAATGTAATGTTCAAAGACATTTTACACGTGAAAAGATTCACCCCGAGAGAGACATAGATCCGACATGAGAACACATTCGTCAAAATATGTCGTCCCTTCGTGTTTTCGCATTTTCGCATTTTGAGGCGAAGACGCGAAAATATTTGGATGGTGTTAATCAGCCACCATACATAATCCATTCAAGGCGAATTTCTCAAGCATGTCGAAAGGATGTCCGGAAATGTGTTAATATAAAACGCTGATATTTCGTGTGTTGATAAAAATACTGTTTAGATTCTATATGGTTTTGAAAAAAAAAACTGTTTCTATGTAACTTTTCACGGAAATGGGCTGTACAATGATTACGTAAAAACAATAAAATGTCGGCTGTATAAATCGAAAGGCATTTTGTCACGTGACTTTTGCCCATGCTACCGAAAACTACCCATCACAATATCAAGGCGTTGAGACGCCGTGAAATCATGATTCATTTAAATTTACACTCTCTAGATGGTTTAATTGAGCACATCAAAGCTGTTATTTGTGTTAAAACAAGTCCCTTTGTCACCAACATGCACATTCTTCCCTACTTACTTCCTGTCTTAATCAACATTCTATGTTGCGAATCATGTTCTTGTTTGTTTATTTGTGGATATGCTTTGTCACCATAGCTACCTATTTTACCACTCTCCCTTGCTGGAGATTGAAAACTACTACATGAAGAGGAGGAATTCTGGGAACTTTCTTGTTGTTGCCGTAGCAACTGCTGCTGTAATTCTGCTAATTTGGCTTCTTGAGCCTGGCTTCTTGTTAACAATTCATAAACATCATCAGTTGAGATGGGTACCTTCTCTACAAAACCTTGTTTAATATAATAATTAGGAAGTGACCTTGACATATGACCTTCATTAGGAAAATTGACCTTTGAACCTCTAGGCTTCTTTTCCCTAGATCTGCTGAGTCGAGAGAACTTCTGACTTTTAACTGGGCTCTCATATTCAAGGTCTTTATGTTTTTTATCATTGGTCATTGACTGACTTCTTTTTAGGTTCATATCTGGCGGAGTTTTTCGCGAATAAAGGTCATTTTCTGGTTCCCTAGCAACATCATGTAACTGGTAGCCATAGTAACGCCACATATTACCACCACTACTGTCACTTTGACGATGTGGATCGCTAGAATCACTAACGCTGGTGTAACACTCAAAAGACCACTCTGTGAGGAAAGTTTATGAACATTGTGAAACAGCACACCAAATTTTAAATTTTTTTTTTAAATTTCTGTCAATATAAATTTCATAATCATGTCAAAGCATAATTAATCTTAAATATTTTAAACCCATTCTTAAAAAATTAATTCTTTTGATAAGAAATCAAAGCAAATGTTTATCAAATATGAGCTCCTATGGGAAGAAATATAAATTTAAACAAAGTATGGCCAAATCTTTGTGCATATTTTCATACTTTTTTGTGCTAATTTTGAAATTCACAACAACTTTTGAAAATATATCACTTCTCTCCTTCTTTACTTAAAAAAAATATCATAAGTTGTACAAAAAAAGAATCTATATATTTATTTTCATGCAATAGAAAAAAAGTGTATGGTATATAACAGTATGGATATATAAATCTTTCAGCACCCACATATATCAAAACTGCCCTTATGATATAAAATCACATTTACAAAAAGACATAACATCTCACAGTCAAAATAACCAATTTGGTCAGAACAACTTAAATTCGTGCACAACATATATTTTGTTTGGTATCTTTGCCATTTTACCTATTCATTGCAAGATCATTATAAAATAATTCATTCAAAGACAGTGATATTACTCAGCATAAAGTCAGTTTTGCGTGAAAGTAAGGTGCTATAAAGGTGTGATCAGGAGAAAAAACTTCAAACCGATATAATATTCTAGGTAATTATGCAACGCAGTACCTTTCTGCTTTCGTGCAATTCTGTCATCCATTTTGTTAACTACTTTACCCTTGTCTTAAAAGTGCAAATATAATGTTACTTTTGTGATGATGATGATGATGATGATGATGATTGTAATGGTAAATATACTGATAATGATCTTGATAATGATGAAGGCGATGATAATTTTGAAGATGTACATGGTGGTGTTGATGATGTTGTTAGTGGTGATGATGATGCTGTTAGTGATATAGATGATTATCACTATTTTAATGATTAAAATATTGTTGTTATTGATGTTGTTGAGGACAATGGTGTTGTTCTTGATAAAAATGATGTTGATGAAAATGATGGTAGTTGACGATGATATTTTTTTTAGGTAATTAAAGATATACTATGCTCATCTTTGAGTAAAATATTTTAATCGAAGAAATTTATTAAAACCTATGAAATTCTTATTGAATATGTATAATTTAAATAAACAAGAGCTGTCCGTAAGACAGCGCGCTCGACTTTTTTATTGCTTGCCAATAAAAAAAGTTTTTGCAGTAAAAGGCAATACAAGAATCTCTGTATTTTTAAAGTGAACAATGGCCATGAGCATTAAGATATTTAGTGAAGAATTAAAAACTAAAAACTTAACCAAGATTCTAAGTCGATAAAAGGCCTTAATTTTTAAAACAAATCCTTGACAGAGTTACCTTCTCTTGCGTACAGATGGGGGTAATGATGTGAAATAGCATTAAAAGTTTCAAAGCAATATCTCAAAGGGTTAAGGCAATAAGTGGATTTTACCCATATTCAATGTATTTTCTAAGTCAAAAAGGGGCATAATTCTGTCAAAAACCTTGACAGAGTTATGTCCTCTTGTCTGTTGATGAAGGTCGTGATGGTAAACAAGTATGGTCAGTTTCAAAGCAATACCTCCAATGGTTTTGAAATAAAGTGAGGTGGTACAAAAAACTTAACCAAGCTCAATACACTTTCTAAGTCAAAAAAGGGCCATAATTCTGTCAAAAACCTTGACAGAGTTATGTACTCTTGTCTGTAGATGGAGGTTATGATGGTGAACAAGTATGGTAAGTTTCAAAGCCATACTTGTAATACTTCTGAAATAAAGTGGGGTGGTACGAAAAACTTAACCAAGGTGTGACGCCAACGCCGACGCCGACGCCGACGCCGGGGCGAGTAGGATAGCTCCCCTTTTCATAGAAAAGTCGAGCTAAAAATGAATAATAAACTATATTGTAAGTCACATTCTCTAATACAGGACAAGTAAAATTGGTCATTTCTTAAAAAAACAGCCAGTTTTTTTAACGACACTATATATTCATATTGTGACGTCCTATGTGTGTAGAGTTTTAAACATGACATATTAACTTTGTGTGAAATCAAAACATGTTTATTTCATATTTACAAAGAGACTGTGTAGCAATTTTCAATATTTTTCTGACATCAACTTTGAGCATTGTATATCTTTAACAGTTAGCTGCTTGTATCAATTAAACTTTTTCATTTTAATTGACCACTGTTGTTGCTTCTTGTAGCACAAATGATAAATGTATTCACAAAAAACACATACAGTGATTTACCGTGTAATGATTTTACAAGCTTATGACAGTTGTGTCTTCACCATCTGATCCTGCCATTTTTAACTACTTTACATTTACATAAGTATAAGTTTTCATCTAAATATCTATAATGAGAATGTTGTTGTTGTTTGGTTTTTTGATACTATGAAATCAGAGTGAATAGGTGCATTCCCTAAAAGAAGCAGTTAAGTTACAAGTCACTGTGTTCATAATGCAAAAGACAGTGATTCTTAAATGAGTCATGTCATGACAAAACCAACATAATGGGTTTGCAACCAGCATGGATCCAGACCAGCCTGCTCATCCGCACAGTCTGGTCAGGATCCATGCTGTTCGCTGTCAGTTTCTCCAATTGTAATTTAGTTTGTAAGCGAACAGCATGGATCCTGATCAGACTGCGCGGATGTGCAGGCTGGTCTGGATCCATGCTGGTCACAAACCCATTATGTTGGTTTTTCGTGACACGACTCAAATATAATTGCAGCAAATAAATAAAAAGAGCCCATGTGTTCTCTGTGTGAAAACATTCACTTAATGAATTATACATATAATAAATCACTATAGAAACAGTACATACCTTGAGGTCTATGTTGCTGTGGCGTTCCCATGACAACTGGTCTTAAACTGTAATAACAAGATCATCATGGTTTCAGTAAACTAACTTAACCTTAATTCATGCATTTAAACTTTAAAATTATCATGTTAAGTCCTGTAGAGGGCAAATCATAATGATTACTTTTAAGTTTTCTAAGTCCGCTATGCCACCAGTCAACCTGTACTTTCTTAATCTTTGCCACGCTGAAAACTCTTATGGACTCCATTTTTAAATATAGACAAAACCTTTTTTTTCATTTTTAAAAAATATTTAAAAATAACTTAATTGTATAACTTTTGAGCTACCCTCTATCTAAAAATGGATAGTTCCAAATACAAAACTGGGAAAGTACATTTTACAAATACAGTTGGATTGAGCTATTATATAGATATACATGTACATCATTAAGTGTCTTAATAAACTTACAATTAAGTTAAAAAACTGTAAAAACAGTACTTGGCTTACATTTAAAGCCTGTTAGGCTGGTCTTAACATATTAAGGATATACATTTAACCATAAATATACAATTATATTTACTAAACTATCGCCAAGTTATAATATTATTTACAAAATGCCTTATTTACCTGCTAGGTGATTGTGCCATTCGTCTGTCAGTTGGACTATAAGCAGGTTCTACGAAGCTGTACTGACTAAGGTCACTCACATTGGCTGCCTCCTCTGACCTTGACCTTGTGTGACCTTCACCAAATCTGTAATGAAAAATCAAACATGTATCTGACCTACATATCACATACTTTTACCATTAAGCTACATTAAATTCCAGCCAGCATAATCAATATTGCTTGGGATATTAGAAAAAAAATACCCTTCCAAAATTTGGCCTATATAGCAAATTTATCAAACACTTATACCAAGTAAGGAATATGAACGATTATGGTAACTGTTAAGGAAGTTAATGAGTATAAGAAAGCAGTATCAATACTATGCTAGTGTTACTAATTTACCTGTACTTAAGAAACTAAGATGCCTATATATAACTGTTGTCCCACAATTTGTTAAGTTCTAAAAGGTCAATGTATCTAGTAATCAAAGCAAAGATGATAGAAGCTCAAGAATTTGCAACATTTAAAGTTGTGTCATAAATTCTTTCATTCCATTTTAAAATATACCTGTCTGACCCTGAACCCCTTTTTACTTGGAAAACCCAAAGGGGTCACAAAATGTACGGTTTTTTGGTTCCATAAAAGCCCCTCTTTGGGGAAAAAGTCAAATTTCAAAGATTGTTCAAGGGATTTTAAAAATTTAATATTTAAAAAAAATTTTAACGAAAAACTGTGAAAAGGTTTTTGTTTAAAAAAATTTTTTTGGTTTATTTTTTAAGGGGTATGATGGGAAAAAAAGTTGAACAAACCATTGCGGACTTTGTTTTAAATTTTTTGCTCAAAAAGGGGAAACCAAACCCCTTGCACCTTTGGGGCGGGGGTTTGAACCCAAAACAAAAAGCCCCTTTTTTGTGGGGGAAATTTTAAAAAATTTGATTACCCCCCCAAGGGGGCTTTTAAAAACAAATTAAACCAATTTTATTTTTTTGGGTTTTAAGTCAAAAAATAACTGTTTTATGGATTTTTTGGGGGGAAATTTAAAAGGGAAAATTTTGAAAAAGTTTTTTTTTTGAAACCGGGAAAATTTTTCCCAAAACCCCCTACAGGGGGGTTTTGGGCAATGTGAAATTTGAAGTCAAGCAAAAAAATATTCAAAATTTCAAATTGGGGGGCAAATGGGGGTGAAAAAATTTTTTTTTTTTTGCTTTTTTGTTTTTTTTTTGGGGAAAAAAATTTTATTTTTGGTTTTAAAAGAAAAAAGAAAGTTTGGCAAAACCTTTTTTTTTTTCTTTAAAAAAAATTTACCCCCCCATCGGTAGGAAAATTTCTGGGTTAAAAATTCCCAGGGTTTTTAAAACTTTTTTGTTTTTAAAAAAAAAAGGGGCAAATTTGGGGGGGGGAAAAATTTAAAGCCCCCAAGCCGGTACCCTATGCTAAAAAAGGGTCAAAATTTTTCAGCATTATTGGCGAAAATTTGAAAAAAGGGGAAATTTTCCAAAACTTTTTTAAATTGGGGTTTTAAGGGAAAAAACCAAACCTTGGATTAGGAAAACTTAGTTACCCCTACCACCCCGGCTTTTGCAATATACCTTAATTTTTAAAAAAATTTTTAAATAAACATTTACCTTGCTAATGCCCTATCTCTGTCAGCTGAGCTACTCGATCCTGCCGACCTCTTTACTGGTATCCATGCTTCTGTTGAGACAGCATCTGGTTGCCTTGACCTTTCAACTGACCTCCTTCCAGGCATCCAAGCCTCCCTTGGCTCAGACTCAGGTTGCGGTACTCTATCAACCCCATACACTGGATAACAGTCAATAGCTTGTCGATATGGTGTTCTCAGTTCAATACTTTTATCAAAATTCCTCTCTGACATCTTCTTCAACTGAGTTGACAGAAGAGATTTTGCATTACTTAAGGCAGAGTAGGGTGCTGCGGTAGCCTCCCTCAGAGCAGCTAAGTCTGTTCTTTCCCCTTTTCCTGGAGAACTTAACATTGAATATTCCAACTGTTTTCTTATGTCCCTATCCTCCATATCAATACTTTCAGAGGTGCCATTTAGACCACTATCATCCAAACTAGAATCATCTTTTGGTTTCGCGACTAGTTTTTGTAGCATTTCATGCTCACTTGCCATTGTTTCTGTCAATATTCCATTCACTTGTTCATGTGGACGATCACTTGCAAGAATTTTATAAACCTTCTTTGCCATTCCCTTTTCTTCAGTGTTACCAAGATGGTCACCATCTCCTTGCTCTGATGTTAGAATTTTAAAAACTCTTTCTGCAAGGCCTGGCTCTTTTGTGCCATTTATTTGTCTGTTTGAAATGCCATTTTGATGCGAGACCGGTATTTCCAATGCAGGGTCTTTCAGTAAAGGTCTTTCTGTCCTAGCTACAGGTTTATTTACTTCAGGGATATCCTCAGTAACTTTAGGGACGACTGGTTCTTGCAGTCTATCAAATAAGTCCCTCCTTTCGTTCCTGTATCTTGCAATAATATCCTCCACAGATTCTTTGAGATCTCCTTCAGGTCTTCTACTCATTACCTGCTCAACAAGTTTCTCTGCTCTTGTTATATCAGAGCCAGTCAGTGTTTTAGTTCCTTCCAGATCTGGGGCATCAAAGTCTGTGTCATTTGTGGCAACAGAGTCAGGTCTTACAACCAATGTGTCTGAGTCCCCAGTACCTCTTAGTTTGGTAGATAATGTATCTGTAGTGGTCATGGTTCCAATAAACTGACCACCATACCCTTCATCATATTCTAAATCAGCTCCATGATCCCATACCAATTTTCTTCCATACTCACTGACTCCACTCTCACGGCCACAAGTTGTAGTACCAGTTGTTTCAAGAGATCTTAGCTCATCTCTTGCAATGTCATCTGTTTGACCAGGCAAGCTTTCTCTCAGATTTTTTCTTTGAACATAAATACTGTCATTGGCTACAGGTGCTGGTACATCATGTAAACTGTCCTGAATTTCTTGTAAGTCTTTCTGAAGTCTAGTATAGTCAATTGTTCTAGGAATGTACTCCTGGTTTCTCCCATTATAACCTTTTTCTCTTGATAAACCAAGATGATCTGTCTCTGAAAGTAAAGCTTTCACTCTCCTTGATATTTCATCATCTGAAACTTCCTCTGTTTTAGGGGCATTATGAGTATCATAGGACCGCCCACTTCTTCTTAGAATGTCCCCACTGAATTCCATTTTGTCATCTTCGACTCTATCAAAAGCAGACACTTTAACGTCATCATCAGCCTTGCTTCTTTTATCATCACTTCTGCCAATCCTACCTGTTTCATCATCATCATACTTCCCAAGAACTCTAGCTACCTCTTCACTTGTCAGGGATCTCACTACATCAGGATCTCTTGATAGAGCATTATTACTTTTTTGCACCATCTCATTCTTCGCTTGAGATCTGAATGAATCTTCATGTCCAGACCATGTCAGTCGTTCATGTAAGGGAAATCTCTCCTCACTACCAGATGGATCAGGTCTGGATATGGCTACAGCTTCTCTTACTTGTCTCTTGGTCTCTTCAAAAAGACTTGCAACTCTCTTCATTGAAATGTCACTTGGAGACCTATCAGGAAGACTGCTTCTTTGGGATGGCTTGTTCTTTTCAAGTTCTTGCTCTCCTTTATGATCGAACCTTGTCTCTACCTTCTCTTCATCTCTTACATGCCTCTGGCTGGTATCTGGACTATCTGACAGTAACCTTTCTCTCTCAGCCACGCTTATGTATCCACTGCTACCTGCTACATTTGAGCTAAGTTCAGGAGACTTTGATGACCTCACTGGTGATGTATAGGGCTCAAGTCTAGCTGTTAGTCTTGTCCTTACTATAGAATCACCAGAATTATCTCTTCGATCTCTTGACTGAGTGTTCTCAGCTGGTTGTGTATTCTCTTTTCTTTCAGTTCCTATACCAGCTCTCTGGGCAGATTCAAACTGCATCAATTCTTTTATGTTATCACCTGCAGCATCACTTAATCTGTCTAACCTTTCAGATCTATCACTCCCTGCAGATCTAGCTGTAGATCTTTGACTGGTTCTAGATCTACCAGATTGTGCACTGTATTGAGAATCTGCAGACTGTCTGCCTGAGAAAGCACTGTCCCCACTTTTGTCTAGATCTGATCGTGAACTTCTACCACTCTGTAAACTCCTTGCTGATTCACTGGATTCTCTTCTAAGAGTGTCTAAACTTTGACCAGACTCAGTTGATAGCCTACCAGATCTACTTCCCTCAGTGTAGCCACTTCTAGCAGTATCTGGTGATTCCCTCCTTACATCATTCTCGGGTGACCTAACATCTTTCCTTACATCATCACCTTGTTTTACTTCATTATCCATGACGTATCTTAAAATATCCAATCTCTCTGAATTTGCTTTTCCATTTCGTACTTGATCATCAGACACCCTTCCATCACTTTCAGATAGGACAACTCTTTCTGGTTTAACATCTCCAACAGTAACCTCCCCTGTTGTCATGGAAACAGTAGCTGTAGAATCTTTAGGTTGCGCAATACTAAAAGTAGCTTTAGACACAAATCCTATACGATTCTGGTCATCACTAGCAGTGGATCGAGGTGACCTGGGTGTTTGATTTGTATCAGATTCTGTGGCATATGGATTCCAGTCATTATCAGACAAACCAGTTGACGATTCTGGATATTTTGCAATGGCGCCACCTGATGGTGGTCGTCTTACATCATCATCTGATAGTTCAGAACTCTCACTTCCCCCTGATCCATGTCTGTGAGAGGAGAATTTTCCCAGCATTAGCTCCCCTGAAACTTCCATAATGGCAGAGCTTACGGCTTCATCATGAGGACTATCATGTACAGACGATGTTGAATTATTGTCGTCATAACCATACTGACCTGTTATACGAGAGAACAAATAAGTTGACTTATTATTGCTATTTTACATCTCACTGAATAATATAATTTGATACATCAATAAATACATTGTAATACAACAAAGTACCATTTAATTCTTTTATCATTAATTTAAATATCTAGATTTCAACTACAATGTATAATTACAGTGTAAATTGCATTATTTAAAGTCACGACAGAATGACAATGGTATGAGGATGAACTTGAATCAAAATTCCAATGCCCTAGCGAGTAAATTAGTTTGCAATCATTAAATAATTGTAACTCATTTACATAATATTATACTATCAGTAGAAAATTACAATGTACATTAAACATACCGTCTGACATGGTGGATTCTTGATGTGATGTTGATATATCCTGACTCTCATTGGTCGACACAGTCTGTAATTGTAATAATATAATATACATTACATCAAATGTGTTGTAAACATTACACTTATCATATCTAATGTACTTCATAACCAACATTCAAACATTTCTCTAGATCTTTTATCTGATTCTTGAACTTTCTCAGACTCTAAATGAAAAAAAAAAACAAGCTCACCTTAACTTAATATTATCGTAATTATGGTTAAACACTATTTCAAGAAAAAGAATTTTCATGCCTTTATGATACCATACATTATCAGGGTTGTCATTAACATTTTTTGCAGAAGGTTTGTTTTGAACTTGAGGCGGTCATTTCTGTCTTTATCATGCATAACAAAGAGTGTTTTCTTAATTTTGAGGCGGCCCATAATGCATTTGAGACAGGCATTTTGGCCTCCTGCCGCCTCTTAATGACAACCCTGCATTATGTCATGTTTTATGTGCAAGCATTTATTTTATTCAATATAAAATATCGAAAAACAAATAGTAAAAATCTCTCACCTCACTATTTGGATTTGCCTCCATACTTGGACGTAGAGAATATTGGGATAGTTCCTGGCCAGAGAGTAAAGATGTCGGAGGACTATTGTACTGCGACAGATCAAAATCTTCAGAAAACTCGGAACACTCTACCAGACTCTGGCTTGTAAACTCGTGCCAAGTAAATCGTTGACTAGTTTCACTGCCTGTTTCACTGTCAGCCGGGGAAAACTCAGCTGGCAGGGTAAACCAGACCTGCTACAAGATTGAATACATATATATACAAGTTCAATACATCAGTTTTTCCATTATGTACAGTAGTTCTAAAGAGAGATCCACTTTTCTAGTGACTCGAAAAAGTTGAAAAAACTAACTTTCAGCTTATGATGTACCTGTGTACCTGATCAAGTTGTTAAAAATATTCCTTTTAAAAAAGAAATTCACTATTATCATTTGACAACAAAAATTTGGTTAATGTTAACAATAGTTCTTATCTTTCAACCATTACTCAGTAATTGTTTTTAACCCTGAACCAGTGCTTGAACCAAAAGTGATTATACACTTTTCTTTCAAGTAAAAAGCAAGGCCAGGCTGCGACATCCAGGTTCTAAATTGTTTGTAGCTCAATTATTGTAATTTGACATTGAAATCCCTTGAATTTTTACATCAACTGTCCAAAAAAAATTTGGCAGGTTAAGTGACTTATTTAACATTTCTAACTAGAAAAAAATGTGGTTCAGATATATAAAATCTGCTGTTTTTTTATATATTTTTTTAACCTTTTGTAAATTAATATCCTATAAAAAAACAAAGAATGAATAAGAATATTTGTTCTTCTAGAATCATTACTGTCTTATTTTAATGTTATAGATGGTAACTCAGTCACTGGTCATATTAAAACTAAAGAATTTCAAAATTTTATTTTATTTATATTGTATATCAAACCATTGACCTAGTTTATGGACTAACATAAACTCAGTCATCATCTAGCTATCAGAGGTGGGAAAAACAAAAAATTGATTTCCAGTTCATCTTTAGGTGATAAAAACTTCTTTATGCTATCAGTTTTATAAAGTACAAAATGTAGATAAATCAACACCTTTTTTACAAACTGTTGTAAACATGGTAAATATGGCAAAATGTTATCTTTGTGAATGCAATTTTTTTTTTAAATATTGGGTTTAAGGTAACAGCTCTATAAACTACACATTATTATAGTACCAGACTACCAGTGGTTATAAGGCAAAATAAAGAAGCTAAGTATATACATGTAGGGTTTTCTAAATGGACAAATATTACTGTTTAAAAAGATAGTTAACTGTTTCATATTGAAATTCATTCAAAATTGTTATAGTTTCCTCCCACATCAACTTTAAGGCAGACATTGATTTTTATAAAAAAACACATTTCATAAATGTGTATTGTCATTTTATAAGGTGATTATTTTAAAATGTTAGTAGAATTTCCCCTATTTTCTTCTGATTGCAAATTAGTCTAAAATTTCTAAATTTAAAGGACATGGGTTGATGAATAGAAAAAGATAATAAAAAGATCACCAAGCACATGTACAACATACATAGTTAGTACTTCTCTATCTCAACATATTACCCTGATATATATTGCATATATATTTATCCTCAAAAAATCTTTCATTGGTCACAATAATACCAAATTTTAATAGACAATAGTGTGTAAAATTTCTAAAATTTAACATGATTAAAATCATTCATGACTATAACAAATCTTTATTTTTTTTGAAATACATTTGGTATGATATGGTGACCTTGAAAATATTTTTTGAGAGTGCAGTGTGCATTTTAACATACATGTACAGGCTTTAAAGCAATTGCATGAATCTACTTCTATTCTATGCATATGAGCCGCGTCACGACAAAACCAACATAGTGTGTTTGCGATCAGCATGGATCCGGACCAGCCTGTGCATCCGCGCAGTCTTATCAGGATCCATGCTGTTTGCTTACCAACTCTATTACAAGTAGAGAAACTGATAGCGAACAGCATGGATCCTGATCAGACTGCACAGATGTGCAGCTGGTCTGGATCCATGCTGGTCATAAACGCACTATGTTGCTATGTTGGATAAAAATAAGATGTATCCAACTTGAAATTGGAAGAATGATTCAATACAAAGAGAGAATACTGTAAAGGTTACTTTGTTTTGCTCTACTGCCAAAACTGGTGGAGGAAGACCCTATTAGTGCATTACCAATATTACAGATAGAAGTATTACAGTCAGTACCCAAGTAAGAACAATCAACCCTCAAATATATTTGATCTAATATATGAGAGAAATAATACCGAATGGCCCAAATAATGACTTGCCCCAGCTTAGTCAGTGACAGTTCGCCTCACTTTAAAATAATCACACAAAATTACTTTAATAAATGATTCAAATGAGATTCTAACCAAGATTGAAAAAATATATCCGAATCAAGCTTTAGCACGTCAATATATCTAGACTATCTATCTATCTATCTTCCATATAGTCAAACCCCTGCTGGGGACCTAGACTTGACGCGCGTCAACTGACAAGAATGTTAGTAAAAGAACTGAAATAAAAGAATATAAAAGTAAAGGAAATGAGTATATTGTTAAAAACAGGTTCAAAAAAGAAAAGGTATTATAGGGAGACGTATGTTCAATCCGGCTTACAGCCAGACTGAACTCGGGGCCAGACAAGTTTATGATTTCAGGTGGTAAAGCATTCCAGTGGACAATTGTTCTTGGGAAAAATGAATATTTATAGTAATCAGTTTTAGTTTGGACTTGTTGAAATGCATGGAGATGGGATGTTCTAGATGATCTTGTAAGAGGGACGATATACTTTGGGAAAGGAATAGCCACCTGGTCATGCAGGATGTTGTGAAACATGACCAGGCGTTGGTCAATACACCGAAGGTCAAGGCGCTTCCATTGAAGGGAAGTCAACATGTCAGTGACACTTGACATACGGCACACCTAGCAGCCCTTCTCTGGACTGACTCTATCTGGTCAATGAGAGTTCCTGTGTAGGGGGACCAGACCGTGGAGCTGTACTCAAGCTGGGGTCTGACAAGTGTCTTGTATGCGGTTGACTTTAACCTTTCTGAGTGAACCTTGATGTTTCGGCGTAAAAAACCAAGTGTTTGATTCGCCTTTGTTGTGATGTTGTTTATGTGTTTGTTCCATGTTAAATCATTTGATATTGTAATGCAAAGGTATTTTGCAGATGGAACTGTTTCTAATGTGGTGTTATGTAGAAGGTATTTTGTTGGAATGACTGTTTTTCGTTTTGTGATTTGGATAACCTGGCATTTTGATGGATTAAATTGCATGTCCCATTTTGTTTCCCATTGTTCAAGTTGGTGTAAGTCATGTTGTAGTAAGCTAGAATGAGAAGCGACAGTCAGAGATAGATAGATGGCTGTGTCATCAGCAAATAGGCGGACTTTAGAGGATTGGACATATTCAGGAGGGTCATTGATGTATATAAGAAATAAGAGAGGTCCGAGGACCGAGCCCTGGGGGAACACCGGAGGAGACTGGTATGGAGCTGGATGTGGAGCCATTTACCACCACAGACTATGACCTGTTATCAAGAAAACCTTTGATCCATTTAAGAGTTTGACCTCTTATACCGTAGAAATGCAGCTTATACAGAAGTTTTTCATGGTTGACCATATCAAAGGCCTTAGAGAAGTCAAGAAGGATTAAGTCTACTTGGCTTCTCTGATTTACTGACTGTAGGATATCATCTATAAGCATTAATAATTGGGATTGACATGACATTTTTTCTCGGAAACAATGCTGCAATTCATAGAACAAGTTTGATCTAGTAAAGTGCTTTGTTATACTGGAGGAGACAATGTGTTCCAGGGTTTTACACAAGATACAGGTAAGAGAGATAGGGCGATAGTTGGCTGGGTCTGACTTGCTACCTTTTTTAAAGACAGGGGCGACTTTTAACTGACCAGCCTTTAACCAGTGAACAAATCCAACTGAAAAGAAATTTGGGAAAATAAACTATGATATATTATATTTAAAACAAATGTGTACAGCTTTAAATAAGAAAAGAAATACAGTCAGTTTGAAATTTAATGAGCTCACACTGTCACAGTCTAACAAGCTCACCAGCAGACATCAATAGTGTAAATTCCCACATTTCCAAAAAAAAAAACTTTTCAGAATCCCTTACCAGGCTTTCTTAAACAATTTAAAGCAGCATGCAGTTAGAAGTGTAGGTTAGAAACTAAGTCCGACATCTTGTTATTCCGCGGCCAACTTTTACAAACAAGTCCAATCCTGTCAGAACTTGTAACTCTGCATTAAACGACCGTTTCTTTGAGTGTACCATGCACATGCAGAAAGATTTGCTCAAGTTATTAAATATATCCAATATATGGATACATATGCTTCTTTTATACCTTCTTTGACATTGCTACAAACGATAAATCTTTAACAAATTCTTAAAAATAAGATGGGATTTTTTCAAATTTGGCAGACATATTTGTTGACAAATCTTTAGACGCTTGGATACGAATATGAAATATATTGTAAATAAAATCCAAGCATCTGTGTGAATTTTGGATAGTCGAATCGACCTAAAGAAAAGATAGACACACAAAGAGCGTTAATGTACCTAAATTAAATTATTGGCGCTAACTTTTACTTTTACATGAAACCAAGTTGCTGTTTTGAACATACACGGGATTTGAGTAAATGCACTATCAGTTATGAAAATATTAAGAACAGTATATTGAATTGTATGACACAAGGAAACAACAATATATTCAGTCAAAATCAGATTTAATGGGCTAGACGAATACCATAGGTCAACCATTTTGAAAACACTATGTCATCATTTTAATAACATTAAATGATGTTACACTCTATTTTTCATGTTTTAGTTATAATTACCAAATGTTATATTGCACAGTTTTAAATATTAAAACTATCTTAGGTTTAAACATATTTATTTAATCTCGATTGCGGAACCAGTTCTTGCAACTTATATTAATCACTTTCGAGTCCGCTTCCTGGAACCAACCAACAATGGTGTCATATGAAGAAACATGGTCGTTACCCGATTAGGGCTCGAACCCAGGATTCACGGGTTGCGGGAAAGGCACCTTGACCACTAGGTCACCGCTCCCCTTAAAACTATCTTACTTTGTAACTCTTTTTTTTTTCAACAAACAGGAACATTTAGAAAATGATGATTGTTTCAGACGTATGCTTAAGTTTTGACAGACTATTGTGAATTTTTGTAGAAAACTATCCCTCAAATATAAAACTGCAAAAAGATTCAACAAAGATTATGTTTATTTATCATTGACAGTCACACAGACAGACACTTGGGGCATGGATATTTAAAAAAAAACACTTAATATAAGCCCATTTGAAAAAAAAATCATATTTCAACATCTATAATAAATGTATATATGATAAGTCCATGTGCGAGGATTGACAAATATACATTTTTTGGAATTTAAATGCTTTTTCAGATCCACGCCCAAGTGTCTGTAATCACAGATATTTCCTTGACATTTTTTTATATATATGTGTTATTTTACTTGCTTTTATAAATGTTTATTTTTTATGGCTTTGGCATTTTTAGGTGCGTTACCAGATGCCTTTGAGGTGGTCTGTGAATGTCGCTCTGCTTTTTTGATCTTTGTTTTTATATTTTTCCTGTTTCACAACCATAATGCTTGTTTGTACTTCTTATAATTGTATGTTTTTTTAGAAATGAAAAAGAAATCTTGGAAAATATATTCAATAATTTAATGTTAATTTATCAACTAGCTTAACTAGAAGTTGCACGAGATAAAAATGAAACGAAAATTGAAAATGTTATAGTTGAAAAAAATGTCATTATAATAAAACTGCTTTAAATAACTTTCATCATGAATATTGAAACGCAAGGACGTTGTCGAGTTATGGAAATGAGCTTATATGGTGCTACTGGGCAAATACAGTTAAATGTATCAAGAGCATAAAAAAATCAATTTGTTTGTTTCGTATATCACTAGATTATTATTTGTGTTATTGTGGGCTTTAAAAACACTTAAAAATAGTACATCTGATATTCACTCACTATGTAGTGTTTTTTTTGTTGTTGTTGTTTTTTTGGGAGGGGGGCTGTCTTGAATTGTGTTGAAGAGGGGAACTGGTAATTAAAATTAACAAATACGAAAGCTGCCATTATTTCTTTTTGAATCAATTGTTTCTCAGCCTTTGAGTTATTATCTTCGACATTAATATTACTTAATTTAAATATAGTCTGTTTCTATACAATGGATTGACTGATCATCTTTTATATTCCCGTGTGCTCTGACAGAACGCACACACGCTGTTATTTTGTCATAATAGCGGTTTAAGGGGTACCCATTTTCTTCAATTTGACGGACAATTTAAACACATCGCTTTACAAATATTACACCTGGTCCGTATTCGTGAAGCAGACGAGAACTACTTTATAGCGAGGTCACTGGCCTGTGAAGGTAGGAATATTTTAATATAATCTTTATGATCGTGATGTTAATTCACGTTACGATGTTGCATAGATATAAAACTTTTTTAAAATGTTATTAAATGTCAATGTCGTCTGTACTTTGTAAACATGGTTAAGTAGCTGTCACACATTTACTTTTATACACATTGAAAAAAGAATCGTAATTATATGTATATGGTGGAGAATGCATGAATTGCGCATCATTATGACGTTCTATAAATGTATTAAATTTTAGAATATACTATGCTCAAATTTGATGTTAGAAAATATTGATATTTGCTAGTTGCCACACAGTCTTTTTGTAAATGCAAAGTAAACATGTTCTGACTTCACACAAAGTAGATAATTATGTTATGTTTAAAATTCTACACACTTGAGGTGGTCACGGTATGAATATATATATAGTGTCATTAAAAAAAATGGCAGTTTTTAAAAGAAAAGACCAACTTTACTTGACCTGTAATAGGGAACACAGCTTACATATACATTGTATTTATTCTTTTATTCAAATTAGACATTTACAGTAAGAATGTCATAGATGTCAATACATTTCTGTGATCAGAATATTTTTACTCAAGGATGCGCATAGTATATCATCTTTATAGTATGCTTATGTGGCAAACTATGGCAAACGTCAACTTGCACGGCGACAAGATTTAAAAGTAGATGTATACTGTAGTAAAATATTGTGTAAGGATTTAAATATTCATATTCCGATTTCTTTAATTGTGAAATTTGATAGACAAGACAAGATAAAAAACAACACCACAGCATATATTTTTTAATAAACTTATCTTGACGTTTGAACAATCCCTTTGCCCTTTTAGTGACCCCTGATTTTGCCAGTTTAAAAATTAAAGCAAATCCGGTAATTGAAACATGGACTCCATAAAAATGTTCATGTACTCTCAATAAGAAAGGTTCTTAGTACTATTTTGGTAGGCGGGTGGGGGTCTTTGGATACTATGTTGATGTTTAGTATTTTAACTTAAATTAAGAAATTGTGTTTGCCAATTGATACAGTTGTTTGACAGTATAGTTAAGCCAATATTATTGTATGGGTCGGAGGTGTGGGGATTTGAAAATAATTCTATTATTCCTCAGTTTCAATTGAAATTTTATAAGTAAATTAGTTAAAAGTAAAAATGATAAAATATGTGTTTCTTTGTACCGCACTATGTATAATCTTCATAAAAAGGGTATTTTACATTGTCAGTGGATTGAGAAAGTAAAATCTACTTTGAATAATATTGGTTGTTCTGATTTTTGGATAACTCAGAATGTTGCAAATTTTAATACATGTAATTTTAAATATGTAATAAAATCACGATTACGTGATCAGTTTTTACAAGTATGGAATAGTGATGTTTTTGATTCTGCTAAGCGTTTAAATTATAGAATATATAAAACTCAATTTAAATTAGAACATTATTTATTATGTTTACCAAGAAATTTAGCAAATACTCTTTGTAAATTTAGATGTCTCAATTCTAATATTCCTATAGAGAAAGGTCGCTATTTTGGTATTGAAAGAGAAAATAGAACATGCTCACTTTGTAATCAGCAAGAAATAGGTGATGAATTTCACTATATTTTTAAATGTACTTATTTTAATCATGAAAGACACAGGTATATCAGTAATTATTATTCAAGGTTTCCTAGTATTTTAAATTTTCAGGCTCTAACGTGTAGCGACAACAGAAATACTTTATTTAATCTAGCCATTTTTGTCAAAGCAATAATTCTGACATTTCAATAAGTCATCTTCCTTATTTACTTATTTACTTCTATGCCATGTTTGTATTATTATTTTTTTTGTTTTGTTGATTGTTCACTCTTATGCCCTTAAGGGCCATGATATTTTTGTTTATGAATAAAAAAAATAAAAATAAAACGTTTTATGTAAGTGTTATATGCTGATGGTGCTAGAATAATTATGAAATATCAAATGTTTGAATGAAACTGTTACTTTCAGTCGTATTGCCACATGACAAAGGTGAAAAAGTAATGTACACGAATACTTGGAATGCCTTAATTTTGCATTTTGATTCCTTACAGATAACACAACCCCTCCCCCGAAATTTCAGATTTCTTAGGGTTTTTTTGTTGTTGTTGTTCTTTTCTTTAAACATTATTTTATACGAAAAGTTTCGTTAACCTTTAATTATTGTAAATCAAAGTATCCATAAAAAATAAAAGCACAACTTCACACGTCATTATTAATATGAAATCCAAGGGTACATCTAGTGAGTGAACTGGTGAAAGTCAAAGTTAGTTTATATTTTGCCATAATGCATTTCAACTTTATAATTATCTCCGCATGGACGATAAATTATTCACCTGCCCACCAACACCACCCCCACATTAAAAAAAAGAAAAGGAAAAAAGAAACCTTTACATATCCAAATATCCATCGTAATTTACCTGTTACATTTAATTTATAAAACGAGCGGGACTGTCATTTTTAGGCAAATTATGAGCCGCGTCATGGCAAAACCAACATAATGGGTTTGGGACCAGCATGGATCCAGACCAGCCTGGGCATTCGCGCAGTCTGATCAGGATCCATGCTGTTCGCTATCAGTTTCTCTACTTGTTATAGGGTTTGTAAGCGAACAGCATGGATCCTGATCAGACTGCGCAGGCTGGTCTGGATCCATGCTGGTCGCAAACGCATTATGTTAGTTTTGTCATGGCGCGGCTCATTTATATTTTATTTTTTCAACATATTTTTTTCAAGTATCAACTGTAGGTCAATACTTATAATTATCAGACAATCTTTTCAGATATATAGTCAATTCAGGTTAAGTTGACAATGAAAAAATGAGCATAATGTCACTTTACGATTGTCTACGACTACCATCTTTAGGGATATGTGCCCGATACTTTTTTCCATGTGTATATAAGAAATATAGAACATATATTTACTTCATTCCTTTCGCCAAACATTTATTCAACGGCATAGATATTTTCACCCCTGGTAACTTAGAGGTACAAACTTTACGATGTCTATATATTCTTTTTAAATATTTACAAAATGTTTAAGTGTCAGTGTCATATACAACAGTTTTTACTATTTGTAAATATGATATAATTTTACCAAATGCTATATTCGATTACAATATAGGGCGATGGCCAATATATTGTTTATGTCAGAAAAGCAGACAACTTAATTAAACACTAAAATAAAACCCGAATAATGACAGTGTTCTGAAGTAACCGGTACAAAACTTTGTTAATAGCAATTTTAGGCAAGCCAAAAGAAAAAATATCTTTCTTTCGACCGAACTGTTAAACATACAGTTTTATTATTTAGGTACATTTAACTATGTGTAATAAGCTTCTATACGGGTATGGACACTACGTGTCTGTCGAAAATTCGTATTGATTTAAAGAGGAACCTTGTTTGTTTGATTAGGTTTTACTAGACATCCACACAGTATAGGTCATATGGCAACGTTCCATCTTTACTGGTTTTAGTGGTTGAGGAAGACCTTAGATGCCCTTTCGTGCATTATTTCAGACACGAACAGGCGCCTTAGTAGAACCACCGACGTTCACTAAATTGATAGTTTCCTCACATGAAATAATCCAAAGTCCCTGTCGGGATTCGAACCTTAAGCGGGAGGGGTAAGTGATTTGGATTCCCTAAACTTACTTGAACCGAAATCGATAAGTCGTTGTCACAAATATATAGCCACCCAACCACCCAGCCATGCTATCTGACCTGGCTCTCTACTATTGGTAGTTCAATTTGTGTACATGCACTTTGTTAATGAAACCTTTAAAATTTGAATGGCATATTCTAATTTTAAATATGGGAAAATGTCATTACGTGATTCCGGCAACTAAAGGGTTAAGAATAACTTGTATTACAGTTCGCCAAAGTTTGTCTACCAATGAAATCGCTCTATTTTGTTTAAATTTTGCCGAAGTATTTTCCATACAGTGCTGTAACTCAACTGTATGCACCGAGTCCAATCGTTCACTATGTTTCCCAGGCGGAGAACGCATGAAGAGATCAATTTTACAGGTGGAAAACCGATACTGTGGTAAGAAAATTGTCTTCAATTTCTTTGAAAATGCATATTTCACAAAACTTTATAGCCTATTCTGATCTCGTATGATTACTTTATCCGACAGGCATCTCAAACTCGCCAAATCTTTGTTAACTTATTAGATCATTATCGACAACTGCACAAGAAAAGTCAACAAAATTGGTAAAATCGCTCTTTGATCGCCAATAACTTGACATCCAAGCAAACTTCTAAACATTTCTATCGCTCTAAAGGTTCTTTATTAACATATCCTCATCCACCAAAAGCCTGTTCTATTTCTATTCCGTATTTTTGGAGTATAATATCGTTTACGCGAATTTTCAAAATGAACGCATGAGCCGAACTTTTCAAGTGGTTTCGTAGGTTTGCAAAGTGAACGCATGAGCAGGTGGTATTTTTTAAAACTCCAGTTTTTCCTAATTATCTAACAATTTAACATATTCAAACTTTAAAAACCTCTCATATGTACCCTCAAAGCACAACATATGCTTTTATTTGCGTTAATCGTTAAGTATGTATGTAATATTTCTAAACTTTTATGTACATACTTAGCGATTAACGCAAATAAAAGCATATGTCGTGCTTTGAGGGTACATATGTGTTAAAAAATGAGAGGGTACCAGTGGATATAAAAAATCAAATGAAGAGAGGTAGCCCGTGCCGCTGCAAAAACCGAAAGTAGGGTGTTTTATGAATTTTTCATTTATTTTTGACAATAATTATATACTGCCATTTGTCGGAAGAATGATTTATGATGATATGAACATATTAAATATGTATGATGCATATATATAATCAAGCCACAGGTTCATTTGAGCCCGAAAATACATGTCGAGGTGATGGACGAGACAAGACATGTCGATTTTTTGTAGCTTTATTGTGAAGTTGCAGTACATGAAAAACGGGCACATGACAAATCAGCACATCAATAAAACATTATAGTGTTCCGTGGTATACATCTGTTCTACGTGTAATACCTCCTTTCCTTATTACAATGACATTTTACTGGCTGGTTTGTTTTTAGCAGAGAAATGACATGTGCATGTTCAAAGAGGGTACCGTTTGAGCAGATTTCGCAAAGAGGGTACCGATGTGGATATGCACCGTGAATTGGTAAAGGTAAAACTCATTGAATAACTTTAATGCGAAATTTATTTAGGGCATGTCGTCATGCTTTTGATTTGGTAAGAAATATATAATAATAATTGCACTGTGCAAATTCTCTTGTACATAATATATACGGAATTGCTGTTGTACTTGTTAAACAGGTAGAAGAGAGCTAAGATTTCACACAAAAATTATCACTTAGAATGAAGTGTATTTTTATCAATATTAATATCAAATGATTGTTTTACAAAATAGGTACTTTTGATAATTATATCATGAATCCTGAATAATTGTATACAATTACTATCATACATGCATAATATATTAAACAACAAAGGACAAATGACAAATAATAGCGTATGTATACTCTTTTAAAGTCCCTGTACCTCAAAACTTTAATAGTGTAATATGATAAACCTGATACTCAAATAAAGAATTACCAATATTACAAATCTTACATAGATATAATCGAATTTAACAAGTTCTGTAAATAAAGGGAGGTAATTAGAAACACATTTTGATAAATACTTTGCCTATTCTTCATTAAAATAAAAAGTGCATTATTTCTAAAAGAAAAACTTATAATGAACCTAAAAAATATGTGTTATTTCAACATTTTTCTTGTATGTTCATTTTGTTGTAAGGAAAGTGTTATATATATTCTTGCTTAAAGATCTTGTATGTTAATAATTAAGGATGTAACATCCTTGCGAAAGTTATATATAAAGTCAGTTCTTATGAAAAACATATACTTAAGAAGTTGACATTATTAAACACATTATATGATATTTCTTGAGGAAAAAAAGGATGTGAAATTTTTATTTGAATGCAAAACTAATTTTATTACCAAAAACAGATTTCTAATTATCTTCTTTTATTATCGGAAATTTTAAATTTTCTCAATATCCTTATCAAAAAGGTTTCTGTAACTTTTAACATTGTTAATTCTTTTTTTAAGATTTTTCATATAAGAACATAAAATTTTGAGTCACAGGATCTTTAAGTGTATGTTACATCTCTAATTATAACATACTGGAAATTTAAGTCCCATCAACCAATGATGTTGTATTTTGCAAATATTTTACTCAAAGTTTTAGCAATGAGGATTTATTATATTTTACACAGAACCGAAACAGACCTTCATCTATTTCTTATAAGCAATTCGTCATTAGGTATGAAAATAGGGACTTCTGTTTGCTCAAACATTTGGAACGAAAATTTTGGAATTTAAAGGTTCAGTGATCGATAACATGTGAGATATCCATGAAAACTGGAGTAACCAAAAAAATCCACCTCCTCATGCGTTCATTTTGGCAATCTGATGAAACCACATGAAAAGTTCGGCTCATGCGTTCATTTTAAAAATTCGCTTAAACGATATTATACTCCAAAAAATACGGAATAGAAATGAAACAGGCTTTTGGTGGATGAGGATATGTTAATAAAAGAACCTTTAGAGCGATACAAATGTTTAGAAGTTTGCTTGGATGTCAAGTTATTAGCTATCAAAGAGCGACTTTGTGACTTTTCTTGTGCAGTTGTCGATAATGATCTAATAAGTTAACAAAGATTTGGCGAGTTTTGAGATGCCTGTCGGATAAAGTAATCATACGAGATCAGAATAGGCTATAAAGTTTTGTGAAATATACATTTTCAAAGAAATTGAAGACAATTTTTCTTACCACAGTATCGGTTTTCCACCTGTAAAATTGATCTCTTCATGCGTTCTCCGCCTGGGAAACATAGTGAACGATTGGACTCGGTGGTATGTATTAAATACGTTAAATGAGCCGATTTAATGGACTCCGCCTATTTACATAGTGCACTCGCTTCGAATAGGAAGGGCTCGTTCGCTCGAAAATTAATTTCTTAAAACTCTGTATATACCTATAACCTATAATACTTAAGAACGAATTTTAAAACAATGACATCAAACAGACCTAAAGACGCCTCTATAAAAAGTTTGTGTTTTACTTTTGTTGATTCTTTTATGAATCAGTCCACTTTACACTTTTTCAAAATGAAAAAACTATACTCATTAAACTTGTTTAATTGGCTATAATTTTTTTTCCCCTTTGTTTAAAACCCATGTCTTCTTGCAAAAGAAATGTTAGAATGTTAACTGGAATTAGTGGAATTAACTGAATTGGAATATACTGTAAAATGGGTAAAATCTAGATTTTCTCTCTCCCTATTTCATCACTTTAATTCCCCTTATACACACTGGAGTTAGTATATGGCGCAATATTTAAATATATTCACCATGGTTAACAAATTATGTGGTTTTCCCTTTCCATGTCAATTAGTAATAAATATTAATTATTAACATCATGGTGTCTCGTAGATTCGTCATTCACACGTAATGTTTGTTCATACGAAAAGAAAGAAAAAAAGAATGAGATGAAACAACGCATTTTATTCCCTCGAACATCATTCATCGTGTTATTATAAAAGTGAAAGTTATGACACGCTATAAATTGCGAACTTCATCGTATATATCAAGTATACATATATTCACATCATATCTCAGGACGAGTAATGATAAATAATATTTAAAATCTTTATTTGATAAGTTTATAGGTAAACCCAACTGTTTTCAAAAGATGTTATTCATACAAAAGATAACTTGACAAACTTGTGTGACTGTATAAATTATATAGCGTAATTTGAATCCTGTACAAACATACAGTTTACAAAAGCTCAAACGAAGCTTAATTAAAGATTAAAAAACATTTCATTTTCTTTAAAAGTGATCTGGATTATTTTCAAGTTTGAAATATGGATGTAAAGATAGACAAAGACACCGTGGATGAAATTGATGAATCTGTGACTGCTCCTGGAGCCGTTCTGTACGGAGTCGAAGATGTGCCATCTCCCATATTATGTTTTCTGTTCGGATTGCAGGTAATGTTTATTTTATATATTTTATGTTTTATTATGACCGCGTTATATGTTCCTTCTTGTTAATTTTTGTCATAATCAGTTGAGTTATCACAAACACAAAATTCTGGTTATCTTTATTGTCTAAGTAAAGATTATGATCTAATCAAATTATTAACCAAAATCTTCAAATATGCTTTAGAAAACTACAAAAGCCTAATAGTATCAAATGAAATAAAACGAATCATAAGGCGTTATAACGCAAAAAGGCGTAATAAAGAGAAATAAAAGGCATAGTAACGCAAAAAGGCGTCATAACGCTAATCGAAAGGCGTAATTACGCGAATCAAAAGAAGTTATAACGCAAATAAAGGATTTATAACGCGAATCATAAAAACGCGAATAAATAGAGGATATTTGTTTAGTTCAGTGTAAGATCGGAATATATTTCACCGAGTGAGCACCAAAAGGTATATTTCACGAGTGGCGCAGCCACGAGTGAAATATAAAACTTTCGGTGTTCACAAGGTGAAATATATTTCGATCTTACACTAAATTAAACAAATTTTCTTTTTATTATATGCAAAGAAACGTTTTAAAAAGACATTAAACCTAATACTGAATGAAAAGCGCGCCAAATAATAATACAACGTGACGTCATTTACGACGTCACGTCATTAAGTTGGTACCAAGTTCTGTGCACGCTGGTATTTCACTGAAACAACGTTAGGGGCTTAAATTCAAAACAGTGAAATTATCAAAGTGGTAATTTCACTGTTTCAAACAGTGAAATTACCATTTTTATATCACTGATATATTTCTATAAATCACCGAAAAGCATGTAATAAAAGCGCGTTATAACGCGAATCCAAAGGCGTTATAACGCGGATCAAAAGGCGTTATAACGCGAAATAAAGAGCGTAATAACTCGAATCAAAAGTCGTTAAAGCGCGAATAAAGGTGCGTTATAACGCGGATCCAAAGGCGTTATTGCGCAAAACAAAAACCGTAATAACTCAAATCAAAAGTCGCTATAACGCGAATAAAGGCGTTATAATTCTAACATAAAGGCGTAATAATGCGAACCAAAAGGCGTAATAACGCAAAACAATTAATTTCATAACTCTTATTTGAAATCACATACATGTAATTAAACGATACTACAGGTTATTAGGTAATTATACAGGACATATCCGTAGATAATTGAACATATGACGCACATATAAAATAAACGGTGACATTAGATATAAGATAACATAAGAGAAGAAAAGAAATTTATTTACAATAGTGACATCTGGGACATAAAAGATACACTATTAGTCCCGGGTGACATGTGTAGAATCAATTATGTGATACAGGTGAATTCAGTGTAACTGTACCAACTGTTTATATGGCCCTATATACATAAAAGAGTCTTCATTAGTATATGATAAATATTATTGCGTTATTACACCTTTGGGTTCGCTTAACCACGGATTTATATATGTAATATAAATCCGTGGCTTAACTGCGCCGTTATTCGCGTTACTAGGCCTTTATTTACGTTACTTCGCCTTTGTTTCGCGTAGTTACGCCTTTTTCTTCGCGTAATAACACATTTATTCGCGTTGCTACTGCCTTTTTGCGTTATTGCGCCTTTTGTTTCGCGTATTTACGCTTTTTAATGCGCATTATAACGCCTTTATTTCCATAATAACGCCTTTATTCGCATTATTACTACGGCTTTTGTTTAGCGTAATTACGCCTTTTGATTTGCGTTATAACACCTTTGCATGTTTATTTTTTATTTGATACTATTAAACTTTTGTAGAAAAAAAAAATGTAGCAAACGTTATATAAGATGACACAAAGTTGGACAACAAGAACACTTGACACAAATATTGATCATAAATTTATTTTTTGAAGTCGTAGTCGACTCGCAGAGGAAAACCATAGTCTCTAGAAGCAACTGGTGTAGGGCTACGTTCTTGTACAATATTTTACGAACCCTTAATTCAGGACAGTTGCCAAATATACATAAAAGTTAATTCGATGCATTTTGACTACAAAAAAAAATAATATGCAAAAGATCGGATAACAAAAATAAGAGGAAACTTTTTACGTTTAAATTTTATTGTGTTGCATAATGACCGCAAAATAACATACAATAACATACAAAATGTCCTAGTAATTAAAATGAAATAATAATACAATTTCGGTGGGTGCAGGGATGGAAAGGTAAAAAAAAAAGAATATACGTTTTTATATATAAAAGCATTGCAGTGTTTAACAACAAATGTTATTCCAGGAGTTCCAAAGAAAATTATGTCGTGCGCATTTCAATAAATGAAAGGGTTTACCTTAGATTAATTACTGCTGTTATTGGGCAGCCATAAGAACAAAGAATATATCGTTATTTATTTATTTTGATGGTTTGAATAATTTTTCGACACGCATTTCTTGGTTCTGTTTTCATTTTTGCTTCTGGCTATTGCACGTGCACCTGTGCTCAGTATTACTTTAACATGTGCATTAAGCTGTTGTTGTTTAGGTTTTATTGTTAAGTTTTATTGTTGTTTTTTTTCTAGCAAGCTATAATGTGTATTGGAGGAACTTTGTCCATACCGTTTATAATGTCAGGATTGATCTGTGTCGGTGATAGGACCGAAGTTACAGCAACATTACTAAGTATTACCATGTTTATGTGCGGTGTTGCTACCATCATTCAAACACTGTTTGGAATCAGGTACTCACAGAGTCTTGTTTGTTCGTAGTAGTTTTGTTGTTGTTGCTTGGTTGTCTTTTTTGTTTGTTTGTTTTTGATGTTTTTGTTATTTTTGTTGTTTTGTTTTTTTTTGTTGATTTTCAAAAATGATGTCTGTTGAAGTTTCCAAAAATTTACTATGGTTACCGTTTTGAATGTAAGAATTAAAAAATATGGCAGATATGAAATTCTTGCCTTGACACCATGGACACTTACATGGACACTTATAATATTATTTGTATAGCTATGTTTTAGTCTCTGTAGTCCGTACAATACAGCTTGCTGTATATGTATGCATCTTGATGATAATCATACCTAAGTACTGGCGAATTGTAAATTTCCAATACAGCAGATAAAATGTTTTAAGTATATACTTTGACAATTCTAGATTTACACAATTGCAACATTTCTTTTCTTTCCACCAATTTGATAATGAGCGTCAGTTTGGTAGGTAATTGGTAGTTGGATATTCGAATAAGCAACTATCTACTAGCTAAGAGTTGGTAATTCAATCAACACTCACCAGCATATATACTATTCACTACCAATTACCTACCAGATTGACGCTCATATTTTGATTAGGTAAATTATCAAAAGATCGGCAATAAAGTGAGCGTCCCTTCTCATTTTCAGACTTGGTATTATACAGGGTGGTTCCCACACCTTTGTCGCCCCTATTGTGGCTATGATGGCTGTTGACAAATGGAGATGCCCGGGTATAATTCTATGAGCCGCGTCACGACAAAACCAACATAATGGGTTTGCGACCAGCATGGATCCAGACCAGCCTGCGCATCCGCGCAGTCTGATCAGGATCCATGCTGTTCGCTTGCAAACCGTGTAACAAGTAGAGAAACTGATAGCGAACAGCATGGATCCTGATCAGACTGTGCGGATGCAAAGGCTGGTCTTGATCCGTGCTGGTCGCAAACGCACTATGTGGCTTTTGTCGTGACGTGGCTCATATAAATTATAATATTTTACATTATCTATAATGTTATTTTAACTTGGTTCAAACATATTCAATTAAAGTTCGATTGCGAAACAGGTTCTTGCAACTTATATTAATCACTTTCGAGTTCGCTTCCTTGAACCAACCAGTACTGGTGTCATATGAAGAAACATGGTCGTGACCCGATTAGGACTCGAACCCATGATTCTTTGGTTGAGAGACAGACACCTTAACCACTAGGCATCATCTCCCCAACTTTAAGAAATATACAAAAACATTACGAGTTGAAAGTTAATTACCAGTACAATATTTGAATTGTAATTTAGCGTAGTTTATTTGCTGTGCATAGTTTGATATGAATTTTATCTCATTGATAAGTGATTAAGTATTAGGTTTTTCATTTCCTTCAGTTATTTTCAATATTCATGATAAACGCACATTATTCTTCTATATGCTATCAAGTGAACACGCTTTCCTAGTGAGCGATATGCAGTGAAATATAAAATATATCTTATTCATGGAGCTCGGAAAGTATTAAATAGCATGCAAATAGAAGTTAAACGAAACGAAAATCTGTTGTCAGTATAAACCACATAAGTTTTATTAACTTGTATAAAAATAAAAAAAAAAAAAAAAATAAAAATATTATGTTTTGCACTGATGAAGGCATATAGCCGAAACGTTTGCAATTAAATTTTATTACTAAATGTTCGTGTTTGTGAAGTTTGTCTGATTATTAACTTGTATAAGAATTTGACAAAGATTTTTATCTTCATTTCTTTTTTGTTTGCTCAATACAATCAAAGGTTTTCAGGACTTTTACTTAACTATAAAGTAGAGTAAAGTAAATAGTTGATTCGTTTATAAAGTGGCATACTTCACATGCATATACATTTAATTTCGAGGGTTTTATTTATTATATACATAAAAGAAGTCGTTAAGAGGGCGTTATTCATGCATATCCATGTAGTTGCATAATTATGATAAATTCCTGCACGAAGATCACGTTAATATCGCTGTTCTAAATATCATAGGTCATTAGATATCATTATATTTTTAAGAGGAGAGTATAGCATCAAATGGTACGGACGCTGACGAAATCTGGAAAAGTAGAATGCGAGAAGTATGTGATCTTATATGGTAAAAAATAAAATATCCCATTGCTTGTTCTTATTAAAATGACTTTATACCATTCCAAGGGTATTAAGTGAGTGAACAGGTGAAAGTCAAAATAAAGTGACATTTTATCATCTTTCCTTTCAATTTCATAATTTACTTTGCATAAAAGATAAAATTAATAACTTAGGAGACCCAATAATAATTCTGTTAATATCCAGCAGAATTTAAATGTTGCTGTAACGTTTAATTCATAAAAAGAGAATTATTGCAAAATGTCAGCTTCAACTTTAACCTTTTCAGTTACTATATACCCTTGGATGGGCATAATGTCACAGCAGTACACTATTTTATTGTAGTTCATACATACAAAAGTATTTATATTTGTCATATTTAACATTAGTATCCTTTTGAAGCAATACGACCTTATAAACTAATGATTTAAAATAAAGTATTTTCTGGTTCGTGTGCAATCTGCGTAGGGCATAAAGATCACACCCTACACAGAGATTTAGTAGTCTAGACGCTCAAAAATTTAACACAATAAGTCGACAGACGATACTTCCAACAAAAGGGTTTATATGTATGTGCTTAAGATTCATTTTGTTGGTTCACATAAAATCCCGCATAATTTCTTATATTTACATCACGTTTTGTATGGAGGGCGATCGTTGCCAAAATTCCAGTCATGTAATGTGTTCCTTTCGAAAACTACTTTTGAAAATGCGAACGTGTATGTCTAGCATTTTTTATTGTATTCCTGCACAACAAATGATATGCCTCTTAATCCAATCTTTTAATTAAAGGCACCCGCTTTTGAATAACAAGTTTACATGTTAATCTCAACAACTGACATAATATGGAGAACAACAACAAATTTACAAGTTCGTATCTTCCATTGCATATAATACATAAGCATGTTTACACACTTGTAGAATTATCTGTACCTGAAAAATACAAATAAAATGTAAAACTCGAATACAGAAAACAGAATTTAATAAAAACGTGTTTCCAGTCGTAGAACTACAACAGTACGTTTACACAGTAACACGTTTAAAATAACAAAAGTAGATTCACAAGGTTAAACGATTTTAAGTCATGCATGACGCCCCGCCCCTCTCTGAGTACTTACGGTCTTCTATTACGAAATGTACGGACAGGCATAATACACGTCGCCTCTCTCCTATTTCTCAATAATGTGAAGGAAAACACGGCGTCCATTCTAACTTTTTTTATTTCTATAAAAAGTCAAATTTTTTTTTTGTATCAAATGAAAAATTACATCATAAGCTTTGTATGAGTGCCTCAAAAATAAAAATAAATTAAATAGATGTATTGAAATTTTTGTTTAAAAATTTATCATTTTTTCCTCTGAAAATAACACTCTCGAATTGGTGAGAAAAACACGGCGTCCCCCCTCAAACTTTTTTATTTCGTAATCAGTTTTGATAATTTTGGATTGAAATAAAAGTGTGCTTCATACGATTTATAACATATAATTATAAAAATGCCTAAAAAAAAAATGAAAAAAATCAAATGAAATTATTTTTTCGTTTTAAAAAGTTTATCCAATGTTACTTTCGGTAAATAGAGAAAAAAATTTAAGAAAATCCCCCTTAAAAGAAAAACCCCGGGCCTTTTCAAAAAAGACAAATTGAGAAAAATGTTTGCAGGCTCGGTTTGATTGAAGCCTGTTCATGGACGGTAAAATGGGAAAGTGCAGTTACCGCCCATCGCCCCGCTAGCACCGTCTCAAGCAAAATTCAACATTTAATATGAACTGGTAAAAATTTTGAAAATTCCGCATATTGTTAATATGGGGCCCGATTATCAATGAAAACACGGCATATGGTCCCCAAGTTTAAGAAACAAACACTCTCAGAAATTCAGTAAAGGTAAACATGGCGCCCCCTAACTTTACTTTTTTTATTTCTTGGTCAATTTTGAATAAATTTAGAATCGAGTAACAAGAATCCTTCATGAACTTTCTAGTGATGCCTTAAAAATGCAAATTAATTACGTATTTAAAATTTTGTTTCGAACTTATCGTGTTTATTTTTTCTCTCTTAAAACCACACTCATATATTTGGCAAGAAAATCACGTCGCTTCCTTTAGATACTTTATTCAAAAAAGAAAATGAATATTGAATGAAAGTTAAGACAATAAGCTTTGGACAAGTATATTAAAAATCTAGAAACAAAGTGATCCCTCGGAAGCATTAATCGCAACAGAATTACATAAAATATGATAAACAAGATTAACAAGGAAAGGCGGCGTTCAATGAACGCAGCCCCCATATGACCCAGCAACAAGAACCAGTGGCAAGGAGCCCAGGCGGACCCAAAACAAAAACAGGACAGGGCAAAGCCAGAGCACGGGACAGGTTATTAACTAAATGATAAATAATTTGTAACTGATTAGGAATTCAAAATAATTGCAGACTCGGTTTTATTGAGTCTGTACATGAGGGAAAATGAACAAGTGCAACTTCCCTCACGCCCCCTAGCACCGACTTGAGCGGTACACGGCACTTGACACCTGCTGTTGTGAAGTATAAAAATCTTGAAATAAAGTGAGCCCTCGGAAGCATAAATCACAACAAAATAACATAAGAAATGCAGACTCGGTTTGATTGAGTCTGTACATGAGGGATAATGAACAAGTGCAAAATGTTTTTATTTATTCTGAAAATACCATATTAAAGATTGTACATATGTTTCTACGGATAAGTTTTTTTCTTGATTTCGGAAAGGAAATCTCGGTGGCCGCTTTAAAATCCTATTTTTGCAAATACTTGCATTGTTTTTGTTGAAAATGAAATTTGTGCCAATTACATTTTTTCAATGATACCAATAAAAATATTGGATGGTCTTTAGATTATCAATAAAAATTCTCCCCTTTAAAATTGGTTATTGTTTTTCCCTAAAAAAATTTCCCAAAAAGCCGTGTTTTTTCAGGGAAAACCATTTTAAAAATAAATTTTTTTCCAAAAAGTTTCTTCATAAAAAAATGGAAAACCAAACAAATTTTTAAAATGATGTTGTAGTGACAAACTTTGAACCCCAAAAAAAAAAATATTGTTATTGGAAAAAACCGGTTTGTTGTCCTTCCGGGTTTTTTTAAAAAATTTTGGGGAAAAGGCGCCGTTTTACCTGCCCGGGAATAAAAAAGTTCGTTTATCCGGGGGGGGCGGGGCCCTTATGCTTGTTTTAAAAATCGTTTTTTAAAATTTGTGAAACTCTTTTGGGCATTTTAAAAAGTTTTCCCGTTTTTAAGTACTCTTGGTTCTAAATGGTAAAAAGTTTTTCTTAAAATCTATTTTCTGTATTTAAAATTTACACTTCATTTTTTTATTTCTTTTATAAGTGGCAAAAAAAGCTATATTTTGGCATCAATGGAAAAATACGAACTTGTTTTTTGTTTTTGGGTTTTAGATGGAGGTCAGTTGCAAACATTATAGAAAATTTGTTTTATAAAAGGCGGGAAAACCTTTAAAATTACAAGATTAAATTAAGAGACTATCTTTGTGCATGCACGGGTACAATAAAAAAAGGGGTACTAACAATTTTGGGCTTTTTCAAAAGTCTTTTTAAAAAAGGGAACACTTTACTTTGCGGGAAATTTTTGGGCCCAACAAAACGCCCTCCAATTTTTGGACAAGACGTCCCCTTTAGTCATGGAAAAACCATAAAACATTTAAATTTTTAAATAGAGTTTAAGAAAAAAAGAATAGGGCCCAATAAAACTTCTTTAACAATAAATTAAGCTCAAGTTTAAAAAAAAAATTTTTAATAGAAAAATATACAAGATTACGCATTTCGAGCAGACTTAAATACAAGGGATGTTTCTGTATATATATCAAGGCATTTATGTCAAAATCGAATGCATCAGGGTTCTTTAAATTTGAAAGACACCGAATGCATAAATGCAAAAAAAGTTCAAATTAATTATTTACATTCACCGTTGCATCCGTATTTAGAACCTAAATTGTCGGTCTCGCGAATCAAGCTTCTAATTTGATTGTTAATAATGTTCAGTTTTTCCATTCACAATCGCCTTTTTGCCGTACGCAGAATGCGCATGCGCGAAATACTACTTCCGTTTCTAAGAAATTATCATAATGTAAAATGTTAAACCATGTAAGACACAAAAAAGCTTTGTTTATAAGTCATTTATGCTAAGCACAAAGTAAAACAACAGTATACTTATTATGACAGATCCAAGGCAATTTGGTGATAGCCTCAATAACTCAGCTCTTCCTCGGTTGTACAGGGCTGATAGGCGTATTGTTACAGTTTATTGGACCTTTGACCATTGCACCGACAATCTCCCTTATTGGTTTGTCTTTGACTGGTGTTGTGATTGAATTCAACAAGTATCACTGGGGTATTGCGTTTCTGTGAGTATATGTATTTACTTTACTTCATAATTTTTTTAATTTATAGGCAATTTGTGGTAGATTAACATTGAAGGGCGACACTATCAATTTGTACTCACTGCACCTTTTGCTCTACATATCTCATTTTTCATAATGTACGGAAAGACTTTTAAAGAAAGCAACAATGTGGTGCACATAGGCACTGCGTAAGTTTTTCGATCGTTACGTTGCAAGGGGATACCATACATTTATATAACAGTGCGAGAATGCATAGTGACACTGCGTCATTTTCTGTATTTTTTGCATTGCGTGTCGTCACTGTAATATTTTATCGTTCATTTTGTAATAGATTGATATTATAAGATTATATGGTGTACCAAAGTCTCGTACATTTACATTACAGGGCGATGAGTTTAACACTATTGTTTACACTGTACCTTGGAAAGTTAAAACTTCCACTTCCAGCATGGTCTACAAAGCGTGCTTGTCATTTTGAAGGCTTTCCGATATTTCAACTCTTTCCGGTAAATGAATATCATTTAACTAACTTAATAATGTACAGCGCCTATACTGTACCGTACTATACGATAGGCACGGCATGGTACTGTACTTAGGGCACGGCATTGTACTGCACTGTTAGTACTTTTCTACAATGGTTAACTATACGATGATATAAAGCATACATGTGAAATGGCATTGTGTTTGATAAACGTTCACTATTTGATGTTGTCTTTCAATTTGTCATGTGTCTTGTTCAAACACGAACATCGGGAGCTTGTTAGCAGTAAACGTTTGTTGTTTATTACGTTATCAAAACAAGAATATGTCACAAATGTAATAAAACAACCCCATTATGTCAAAATGAGTGTATAAATAATGTCAAGAAGTGCACAATAATGAAACTTTCTTTATGTCTTTTTACATGCATTTTTTATTAATAAGGGAAGCCCTTTTTAAGACTTAATTATCACGCAAGTACATTAGATAAATGCTTTCTTTGAAGACAATAAATAAGTCGTCACGAAACTTACATAACCGATATGTGCCCAACTTCTTACATGATTCATTTCAAATTTACAATTACATTGCGTTTTATATTTGTAGGTGATATTAAGTATATGTTTTAGTTGGTTGTTTTGTCTGATGTTGACTGTAACGGATGTCCTTCCTAACAACTCAACATTGCCGAGCTTCATGGCGCGTACAGACGCACGTATAGGCGTATTAGAGCGATCACCCTGGTTTTACTGGCCGTATCCATGTACGTAAGTTATCACGTGTACAATAGCTGAGTTAATAGGTGTATCATATCTCAATTATTACGTGTACTATAACAAAGTTATAACGTGTTCTAGAAGATGTATTAAAATACCATTATCCGTGGAAGTTAAACAAATTGTTGATTTTTTTTTTTTAGAAAAAAAATTGAAGTAATTTTTAACAAATTAACTTGAAATAACAGGGGAATGATTGTTTTGTCAGTTTACCTGTCGGCAATATGGACAACGCAATATTTGTTCTCGAAATCGTGAAAATTACCCTTTCTGTATTGGTTTTTCCAGGGTTAAAATAAGAAACCACATCGCTTCCAAAATCATGAAAGCTCGCCGATGATTGGCTGTAATGATTTCATAATTGGTCACGGTTAGATCTAAATGCAGAGCATTATTTAAAGCTGATTTTAATTAATATGGTTATTATGTGTACTTTGTTGTTATGGTACTTTATAGTTCTTCTTATTATATTTATAACTAAATTATTACGCGTACTGTAGCTAAGTTATAATTACGTGCACTATAACTAAGATATTAACATAACTTCAATATTTTAACTGCTCCTTTATCAAAATGATATGATACACTACATAGGTGAAAGTATAAAAATTTGCTATGTACACTTTTCATAAATACTTGTTTATTTTAACGTATGTACATTACATCTACACTCTGTGATAACATGTATATTTAAGTTCAGTTTGGCACACCTACTGTGAGTGCGGCAGGATACGTAGCGTTCCTGGCAGCCACCATTGCATCAATTATAGAATCAGTCGGGGATTACTATGCCGCGGCCCGTATCTCGGGTGCTCCTCCCCCGCCCCCTCATGCCATTAACCGTGGTATAGCAATGGAGGGTCTGTCCAGTATAGTGTCGGGTTTGGTAGGTGCTGGTCATGGGACGACGTCATACAGCGGTAATATAGGGGCAATAGGAATCACAAAGGTATATTCAAAACAGTTGCTACCATGGCAAATATCTGTTATTCAGTTCTCAATAAAATGGTCAAGTTCTCAACAAAGTCGTCAATTTTGAATCTAGATTTCACACATAATGAGTTGGAAAAGAATGACCACATTATTTTAGAAGTATGTTAAAATATCTAATTTACACATAGTCATGTTCCGTTTAAATAATAACATTACATACGGAAATGATTTTGATAACCACTTATTTGAATTACCTGAGTAGTGTGCATTTTTTGTTTATATCTGCTTCAAACTTTTAAATTCCTTTTTTTATTCCATTGATATTGTCAACAAATATTTCTTATTTTAAGGTGGCAAGTCGGGCGGTTTTCCTCACAGCCGGTATAATACTGTTGCTATGCGGTGTGGTTGGGAAGTTTGGGGCTGTGCTGACGTTAATACCGGATCCGGTTATCGGAGGGACACTAACTGTAATGTTTGGTATGGTCTCAGCTGTTGGCATATCAACTTTAAAGTTTATAGACCTCGACTCTACAAGAAATCTGACAATTTTAGGAGTATCGCTCATCCTCGGTCTGATGGTTCCACAGTATATTAACAATCCTGCAAATGCCAATTTAATCAATACAGGTACTTGTTTTCTTATCATTTAAAACAAATCGATTTGAAAGAAAATTTTCATTAAATCTATTATGCACTTTTACATGAATGGAGTCATAGAGGATGCGTTGATTTCAATGTTGTTTTTAATGAAATAAAAAAAAATAACCAAAAAAATGGCATCATAATGATTTTCAGATAGTTTTGTGTATTAGAATTTAGCAATTTAGCAAATAATTGTGCATTGTATTAATAATGATTCGGACGGATATATATCTTACTCTAAAGCTTTAATGCATTGTAACTTATTTCGCGTATAATGAATGCATTTTAGAAAATTTTTGCAATATAGTTACTCGCAACATTAACTGCTATGATAACAATCCTTTGCCACGAGTGAAGAGCTAGATCCCCAACCAGCCGACGCAGTCATGCACTCCGACCAGGTCCTAAGAAAATATTTGAGCCGCGTCATGACAAAACCAACATCCGCGCAGTCTGATAAGGATCCATGCTGTTCGCTTACAAACTCTATTACAAGTATAGAGAAACTGATAGCGAACAGCATGGATCCTGATCAGACTGCGCGGATGCGCAGGCTGGTGTGGAGCCATGCTGGTCGCAAACGCGTTATATTGGTTTTGTCATGACACGGCTCATCTAATTTTAACTACTTACGGACTGTTCCTTATTCCAAACTTGGTACGTACATTGCATCATAAGGAAAAGGCTAGGCCTATTCTTCGCAATGGCCAATTTTGCCTTTTTGGACGTAGCTTTGCCCTTCAAATCAATGTGAGAAGTTTGTGGCCAAACATGTGATTCGTTCTGTTTTATAGACGCTTGTTTTTTTTCTATTTACATGTATAGGAAATGAAGAGCTAGACCAAGTAATAAAGGTTTTACTCGGCACAGCGATGTTTGTGGGAGGTTTTGTTGGTTTTCTTCTGGACAACACAGTCCCCGGTATTCCTATACCTTACTTTGTAGCAATTGAATTCGTTAAAAGTTTCATGATTTCGTAAAAACGTTTTTCCTTTCTCATTGGTTATACATTTTCTGACTTAATATGATAATCTCAAATATTCTTTTATAATACATATCGAGCACGACTTCCGTTCTTTCTGAAGAAAATACTTCGACGCATCTTTCGCATTCAGCTTTTTTAAATACATTGTGATTAAACTTTGTAGTGTACCAAATGCATTTTATTTCATTTCATTTCAACAACAACGTTAGGTCATGCCAATCACTTACGCTTACTAAAACTATCACTGTAAGTTTGATATGATCCAAAACATTAACCCTCAAGCATTCAGAAACATACATGCTTTGGTTTTATTTGTAGGTTCGTATGAAGAAAGAGGCATATTGTCATGGCGTAAAAATCTTCTGATTCGATCAGATGGCATGGATCCAAATCAGTCTTTACAAATTTATGAGTACCCGTATGTAACAAAGTATTTGAGACAAGTGAAATGTTGTACATATATACCTGTGTCACCAGTGTTTAATAAAGAGATAACGGCCATTTGCTCATGCTGCAGTTCGGTTAAGAATCGGAATAGTGTAACAAAAACAGGATATGACAATCAAGCAGCGACCAATGACGTAGAAATTGAAGTCACTTTTAGCAAAGAGAACGGCGTTAAATTATGATTGAAATCAATAAACATTTGTTTAAAATTGCTATTCTTATGCATTTTGCGTACATGTATTGTATGTTATCAATACTTATTTAAACATGCGTCAGAATAATAATGTTGTATCTGTCGATAACTAGACCAAATAAAGGAGAGTAAACCTAGTTCACGTGTGTTAAGACCGACGATGTTTCTTCATATTACACTTGTTCAAAGTACATGTTTTTCATACAGTTAATAAGTTAAACAAATTAGACTTTACAATAAGGCAATTTTCAAACATATTTATACGCATAACAAGATACATGTACACGGTTGTAAATATTTGAAAAAAAAGATAGGCTATACATGTATTATATACTTAAAAAATATCAATCAAATAAAAGTGAAATACTAGATCTATCTGTTGGAAAGGTAAAGAAAGAAATGATACAAAATATTTTCTATAATATATATTGTGTCAGTAGCGGTAAAGAATCAGCAACATTTTGCATTTGTTGCAAACTTCCGCGATTCTAGTAATATTGCAAATTTGCATAATATAAAGCACACATTCTGTATGGAATTATGTTTTTCTTTTTTTTCTTTTTTTTTCTTTTTTTATATTTTATGTTTTCATTTATTTGACATGTATTTTTGATGTTTTGCCCAAAAGCTATTTTGTTTTCATGTTCCGCTAATATCTAAATTGTACTTATAGTTGTAAAAACAGTTTTATTCACCGTTTTATTGCTTGGGGCGATATTAACATCCTTGCCACCAGTGTCGAGCCAAGCAGTGCAGCTAAATCACACTGAAAATCCCTCGATCTATACTAACGTAATGTTCCATTTCCGATGGTGGACAAATTACTTATTGCGTATTGTAATTGTTAATGCGTTTTATTGGGACACATTCATATCTAAAGCATAACCATATATTTATTTTGAAGATGTATCACGTGTATTTTAGAAGATTTTTTTAAAGAAAACATACACTGTCTTATACATATATGTGCCTTTTGCTTATACACATGCAATATGTTTTATACTATCAATAAAAACAATCCCGGTTTAATTTTCATCTAAGTCTCGCACTTTGTTTATATTGTCCCGAGTTTTAATTACAGTAGCGAAATCAACTGCGTTTCAACAGAGATGTGTTGTGTTTGTTTGTTGACTTCTGTTTGGGCCGGTGTAAACCTGCTGGAAGACAGAGCAGAGGAGGGGGAGGGGAGCAAGCAGGGCAGAGTGGAAAGTAGCTTGCTAGCTTACAGATACAACTCCCCTGTATGAACGAATTACTCAAAATTTGTGCGTTATTTAAGGTTTCCATTTTATTTTTCAGTTGTAATTATATATTTGTCTTCAGTTGTGTTTAGTTAGGTAAAGAATATAAATAAAATGTACGCGTATTGGTAAAGAGTTTTTTAATGTTTCTGAAAAATAAACATATTTGCAAGGGTTAAGAAAAAAAACACCAAAGAAAATCATTTATTTTCACTTAATTACTTTCATGTCTACACTATATATGCATTATATATACAGTGAAATGAAATTCATAAATATAAATATAGGAATTGTGCACGATATGTCTGTATGCGTTTAATTAATTCATTTAGATTCCTGACATGATAAAAATGTATCCTGTACACTACATGATTACATATCTTGTTTTTATCGAAAACATTTTTTGTAACTATATTTTATAAGTTGACATAGAGACATCGCATGCCGATCATGGTTGTGTTATTGTGGCATTACCGTATTTATTATTTTACTGTATAGCTGTTGTTAGTACATTTACCGAGATTACTAATAAATAAAAGCGTAAAATGAATTCTGCAAACATGACTGGTCAATTCATTTATTCATTAATTCAATTAATCAATTTTCCCATCATAAATTGTGTATAAAACTTCAGTTATAAAAATATATGACATGGACCGCGTTGACATTAAAATCGATTAAATACCCTAATAGTGGTCATTCATTAAACAAGGAATGTCAAAATGCTCAAAATTCTTGCTTCATTTGTCAATCAAAGTTGTAAAATTTTAACAACCATGTGAAAATCTATGTAATGTAAACACCGGGCTTGATATGTTTACATTTTTGTTTCATGACTTAAAAATCAATAATTTGTTTTTATGTACAGGGGTGAGTCAGGGAGATGTATTTAGCCCTATACTGTTATTGTATAAAAAAAAATATTGGGTAGCAGTGGAGAGCAACTAAAACGAAAGCAAAAGTATATACTTTGATTCAAAGCGCAGACTCGTTTAGTTTGTGAGAGACAAAAAAAATGCAATTTCTCGCCACTAAAACCCGCTTTAGCAGTTTTTGAAACGGATAGGTCTACAATGAGCACATTTTCCATCAGTATTCCATATGTATAATGTATTGATGAAAACACATGAATGCATCATATGGTTATTCTTATAAAATATTGCTTGAAGAAAAAACGTAGATAAGTTTCTATGCGATGTAGTATAAATGTGATGAGTAATAATATTCTGTTCTAGAACAATATATTATCTGCAATATGAATATATGAGCCGCTTCATGACAAAACCAACATAATGAGTTTGCGACCAGCATGGATCCTGAGCAGTCTGCGCGTTTGTTGTGACGCGGCTAAAATATTTTCAACATAATTGTTTATTGTATAACAGACCTTCCATTATAGACCAGTTCATTTTAATACTAAAAGGATTGGAGTCATCAAAGGCCTTAAAATGCAACAACACTAAAGTGATGAACAACGTATCAATTCCAGCAGCCTCACAGAACATGCTGGCATTCGTATAAAGATATCGACAAGGTGCAAATTTTCAATGCCTATAAAAAACGAAAATAAATAGTTATTAAGGATACATTTTTTGAGTAATCATTCTTTCATTTAATAAAATATCAGAAAATGATATATTTACTGAAACGTTGGTTGTCAATAAACCATTCGATTCTATTTTACGAGTCTTTTCGAAAGAAAGCACAAACTCTCCAACATCAATGTCCTAAACTCAGTACGATATTATGTATTCTTTGGAAAACAGTTTCAAATATGATACATTAATCATTTGTTTCTTACAAACCTTCATTTGAAAAAAGATACAATTTCATTTGAGATTATAAGTAAATTATGTTGATTTACAATTAAAGAAATTGATAATTAAGCTGAAACATCTACTTATAAAGTACTAGTAATTAGTTTTTAATGGGAATTGCTTCAAAAATGACTGTACATGAATATATAACTATATTTGGCTTTCAAATAGGAAAGCACTGCACATATGTTCTGCTATTATATGTTCAAATAAGAAACGTCACAACGTAAATTTCTCTCGGAAATGATTAACTTTGCTTATTATGCAATTTGATCATTACCAATATAGGTATGGTGTTATTTTGATTTTCCTTTAATCTTGTACGTCATTTTTAGTTGTTTCCATTGGTTCGTCATCATGGTAACGGAAATAGAAAAAATAATATCGACTTCCGTGTTGTATTGATCACTTATTGGTGTAAATGAATAAAAACTTGACAACCGTTCGATGAAATTCATTGATTATATTACATGTGAACCGTGTGCGTGCCTAGAGGATAATTTTATATAAATTACACGGATTTGACAAGCTTGTTCTCAGACTTTAAACTATCATCCACCAGGTATGTTCACGACATTCTAAAATTATTATTTGTACATTTCTTTAATTAAAGAACTAATTAAATAAATGTACTTAATTAAGATATTAATTCGTTTAAATATTTCATAAATGATTCGGTTTAAAAAAAAGGCTATTGGGGTAATGTTGCCTTCATAAAAGCATTTATAGTATATACACGTTAAAGGTTTCTAATTTGATATGTTATGCTGAGAAATTACCTTTGTAATAAAAAGCATATCCGCAATAAATAATTAATATTTATATAATTTTATATTTTTATTTTGTTTCTACTTTCTGGAAAAAATGATATGTTTTTCAGAGCTTTTTTACAAATAATTATTTTCTATGATACACTTTATATGATAGACGCACGTAAACTTTAAGTAAAGAGTATCTCCTCAAGAATGAAGAAAATATCATTCTTTAAAACAACATTAACTGATTTTTGAATAACAAACAGTAACCCTAATCTATGAAAAAATGCCCAACTGTTAAACTTTTAACGACAGTGCCATGTTATTATAAAAAGGTACAGAAAAAAATTAAAGGTACACATTTTCTGATGATTTGCGATATCTTTGTTTTAGTTTTTTCATTGGCATATTCATTCATTTCAGAAACATGCGACTGGTATTTTGTTTAGTGTGCATCAGTGTTGCACTGCACGTAACCTCCGGGCAGAATGACTTTAACTTCGGACTCTTTGGAAATGGGGGCGGTTCAAATGGCGGAGCAACAACAACCGGTACAACGGGCCAGAACACCGGACTTCTCGGCGCCAACCCAACATCGCTGACACCAAACGGGGGCGGAGCCCAGACAAATGGCCTACAAAACAATGGGTTAACTCAGAATAGTGGAATGAATCCTGGAATGAACATGGGCGGTGGTTTGAACAGTGGTATGAACAATGGCATGAACGGTGGAATGACACCTGGTATGAACAATGGTATGAACAATGGAATGAACAATGGTATGAACAATGGTATGAACAATGGAATGAACAATGGAATGAACAATGGTATGAACGGTGGTATGACACCTGGTATGAATACCGGTATGAATCAGGGTATGAACACCGGAATGAATGGTGGAATGAACCCTGGTATGAATCCCGGAATGAATAATGGTATGAACCCCGGAATGAACAATGGCATGAACAATGGTATGAACCCTGGAATGAACAATGGTATGAACAATGGTATGAATCAGATGATGGGTAATCAAAACGGCATGATGAATCCAAATGGCATGGCCATGCCCGGGCAAAATGGCATGATGCAAAACAATATGCAGGGAAATGGTATGATGGGAACTGGTATGCAGAATGGTATGCAAGGAAGTAACATGATGGGCATGGGTGGACAAAATGGCATGATGCAGCAGAATGGTATGATGCAACAGAATGGTTTTGTAAATGCTGGTGGTGCAACATTCCAAGATCCTACAAGAATGGGTCGTTTTAACGGAAACAATCTTAACCAACTCGGATTTGATCCTAATAGCCAAGCCGGTCTTTTCCAAAATCAGCTAAATGCTCAAAATATGCCACAGTTTGGAAACCAACAATCACAGTTTGGTCAAGGTCAGTTTGGTCAGCAAATGCGTCCACCTTTCGGACAGCAAATGCCATTCCAAACACCTTTCGGTGCCCAGTTTGGAAGTACTTTCACAAGTCAACCAGGTTTCGGCATGTTCCCTGACCCGATGATGAATGCCTTCGCACCAAATCCCTTCCAGATGACAGCAGGTCCAATGATGGGACCCGGCCCCATGGGCGCAATCTTTATGCCAGGAATGGGTAAGTCTCCTTTTATATAACATTTATTTGGCTTTGTAAAATTACATGTAATTCTACTTTCTCTCGATTTACATGTTCATTACGTACTGATTCATGAACTAAATATGTGACAATACAACACACGTTATAGTTTAAAGTTACCACTTAAAATATGCGTAATCATAAATCCATATACACTGTTAGAGAGAAAAATGTTTACATTCTATAAAACAGTTTGCAATAAATTATTAATAGGTTTCACCGTTTCCGGCGCCTTTTGACGTAATGGTCTGTCTTGAAAGTAACTAATGTCCAAAATAATTCAAGTTCAGCTCAGTAATTGTATTGTATAGAGAGATCGGTGGTTACAGATTTGACAATATGCTTAAAATTCATTATACCGTAATAAGATAAATAAGTTCTTGATTAATGCAACACATTTAAACAAGGGCATCATTTGTGATTAAGTGATATAGCAAAAATTTACATTATGTTACCTGGAAATATTTGTACGGTAACGAGATAATCCCTTGTATAAAAAGGACGGAGGTATTCACATTAAGTTATTTTACGTCCACCAGAAATGAGCAACCTGATATTTGACGCAAACGGAAACGTGGTTGGGACTACCGGAAGTGCAGGTGGCATGGCCCAAACAGGTGGAATGGCTCAAGGGGGTACTGGAATGATGCAAGGCAATAACTTTGTGTTCCCTCAACCCACTCAAACCATGATGCCCATGGGCAGCGGGATTGCCTTACCGGGCGGTTTCGGCTCTACCACAATGTCTGCTAACCCAGCTATCATTGGTATGGGTCAGCTTGGGCAGACGCAAGGATTAACACAGGGTGGGTTGATGCCCCAGACCGCGGGTTCAATGCAAGGGATTAACAATGTCGGAGTTAACACCTTGAGACAGCCCAATCGGAATGCTGGATTTGCTTCTAACACGCTTCAAGGACAAATGATGTCTGCTAACATGCAATCTATTAATAGTAACACAAACGCTTTGAGCACACAAAATATTGCACAGCAACAACGCAGCAATAGCTTTGCTTTAAATAATAATGGAATGCCTATTAATACTGACATTAAACCATTTAGTGGCATTGTGCCTAACCAAGGTGGCACTGTGCTCATTGACCCAAGTGTTATGAAACACAAAATGATTAATCAGGCACCAATGGCCAATGTTGGAGTAACAAATAGTGTCAAGCCAAACCCTCTTAATTCAAACACTGGTACCATAAACAATGGATTTTCAAATATGCGTAACATGAACACTGAAAACGCTAACAATGGCTTTTCTAACGCTAAAAACGCAAACACTGGTTTTCTAAACGCTGGTAGTGCTAGTACTAGCTTTTCTAATGATAAAAACGCAAATAATAGCTTTATAAACGCTGGTGTTGCAAATAATGGCCTTCCAAATGTTAATAACGCAAATAATGGCTTTTCAAATTCTATGAATGCTAATAATGGCTTTAGTGCTAGTACTGGTAATTCGAACTCGCTTAATGCAAACACTGCTAACACAAATAATCTGTTTTCAGGTTAAACATTTCATCATTGATGCACTTCTTTATTATTTATTTTGCTCAATGTATTTTATATACACAATGCCTTAATGTTATTTTTTATATACTGTATGCACTATTATCAAAATATTGAGTCGAAACTTTGAAAAGTGATTTTGATTAAAAAATACATTGAATATATCAAAACAAATCATTATTTTTCACCCTGCTTTTCTTTATTTTGTAAATAATGGCATACTATAAATTACATATTATATTATTTAAACAAATAATCATTTTATTACCAAGTTTCGACTCATGTTCGAGTTACAATATGGCTGAAATATGAGTATATTACAAAAAATTTGATAATATCTAATCTACCATCATGTATTCATACGCCATTGAAGCAGAATTATTTTACAAGGGCTAGAATACATACATATATGTAGTTACATATATATGTAGTTTAAAGTTTGTTAGAGACTGTCCGATTTGTCTTCAAGAACTGTTATTGTCACTGTTTATTCGCTAGACCATTGAAAAAAGTAAATTGTTGTATATTTATTTTTTGTATTAAATATCTGTTACGAATTCAATATTTACTGTTTATTTTTTTGAACGTATATTGCTTTGGCATTAAAAAAGAAAGATACACAGCTAAATGAATTAGATAAATGAATTAAGTTTATGACACTTATTTGGGATATTGCATATTCCTCGGTTCACGTTGTTGTTGAACATCCAAGGTTGTAAATAGTCATAATATATTTTGGGTCATAAAGTTATTTTCTCTCCTATTTCAAGCGGGAGGTAGACAACAACGACCCATGAGCCCGATGCCATTTAACATGCCGGGGATGGTTCCCCAGCCTATGGGTATGCCCGGGATGATTCCCGGCCGCGTTGCAATGCCCGTCATGCCTCCTCCTCGCCAAGGCAAGAAAAAATAAACCGTCGTAATATTAAGGTAATTTAAAGCATGGAAATCCGCAATATGTATGGATATTTTCGTTTTCTTCTTGTCTGAGTTAGTCCTTTATAAAGGTATTGTCAGTAACAAAAATGTCTAATTAATATTCGGACGGTGCATGTATGGTTGCATATGGCCTTTCATTTTAAAAATTAACCAAACAAAAGATAAACTGAATTAAATACTTTATTATTTTATGAAAATATTAAATGCAGATGGTATTTTTCATATTTCAAACTTTATCTCATTATTGGTATGTGGGTATTGCACGTTCAATATTTTTCTTTTGCCTTTTATTTTATTTGTCTTTTGTTTATTTGCATTGCCTTATTTAATTTATTAACACTTCGTTTTTAATAAAAATGTTTAAATATGTGAAGAACACCAAAGAATAAATATAATAATCTGTTTGCAACGATATTTTAACAAACTTATTACTAGATAAAAAAAATATTAATTTAAAAAATTATTTAGAACAGAATAACTTTAAAAATTATTAAGAATAGATTAAAATAGATAAACATTAAAGAATTGATGACTTATGAAATATTTTTTTTTATCTTTATTTTTGCAGTCGGTAAAAGAAGGAAGTAACTCTGTCATGTCCGGTCGGTATCCGTACAGCGCCGGATGAATGATATCACGGGAGATAACTATGATTGAAGTCATACAGAATTACAGACCTTGTCTGTTTTATACGAAGGATTAAAGTCATAATATGTTACAGAGAACACTTTAATATTTAAAATTGTCTGTTTCAACTGTGCTGTTGTTGTTATTGCTGATGCCTTATCATTTTATAATAAATTATTTATTAAAATAACGTGTTCCTGCTACAAATAACGCAAAAATATCGGGGATTAACAGTCTAAGATAGATCTATATTGAACAAAGTATGGAATCAGTGTGGTCATACCATTTAGTATATTTACATGCAGTTATTTTTAAAGTATTGCGAGCAGCGTTTTCGGCTAGTTCGGAAGTGGAACCTGTTGTTAGGGAACAATCCCACTGCGAATGTGCTAAACTATTTCCGATTTTGATAAATCCTATTCGAAACATATTTGCCTCTGACGCTTTTACGATTGCCTTATAAACCTGACTGGACCGGGAGCTAATATTTTACCAGAAGTGTAAGTAACGTTAGTACGTGATGTTGTATGGACTACATAGTTTCATTTTTTATTAAAACTGTTCAAAAGTCAACTTGTTTGACCAAAAAAAATATAAGAGAGACGTTTGAACAGATATGTTTTGACCAATAATAACGTGATTGTAATCAAGCCCAAATGGAAAGAGTGACCAATTATAACGCCAAATATGATGAATAATGATTACGTCAAAGCAGATGTACTTAGTAAATGCAAAAGTTAACAAACAAAATCCGTGAATAAATATGCTGCATGATATAAAAAATATATGTACATCATTCTTACTCTCATGTAAAACACATGAATTTTCCGGCAACATTTTTTTTTTAATTTCTTACATAAATGTGAAACTAACGTACTCAAACGTTCAGGCAACTTCCGTCGACGTTACTATCCTCCAGGCGCAAAAATGTCTGCGTCGGTCCAAAAGTCAAATCATTAGTAATCACACATCAATATTATATCAATAAATCATTAAAATATTTTTCATGTACTTCCGTAAACGTAACGTGTGCGGTGACGTTATGGGAACGGGACTGTTAAACCAACAGCATTTTTTACTTAAACCAATAAAAAAACATATATATATATGAAAAAAAAATGAATTTCAATTTTCACGTTTTGAAGAGACAAAAAAAAATAATAATTTAAAAAAAAATGAATAAATAAAATAAAATGAATTGACATTTGGGTGTTAAACAATATGTCAATGGCTGCCCCTGTAAAGATCACATTAATGGTGTCTTTCCAGATGTACTGTTGGAAACTCGGGTGTCCCTTCGTTCATTATTTTAAACATGCTTTATAGAAGCATCACCGTTTGAGAACGATAGCTAGTTGTTAAATGTATGCCAGACCGCTCCGATTTCATGCGTTCGAATCTTCTTGTGGCTAAATAATGCTTGCACATACATGTATCATAAAAACATATCTATTTTATCAACCCTTACCATGCTTAATATCTATAAATTGACTTGCGCATCTTACAATCTGGATAAAACCATTCATCATTTTAGGGGAAACTAGAAATGTCTCCCTAGGACAAGGGTGACCCCCACATTCCACTGTTTTGTCAGTCTACTGGCGTATATTGACACACGAACAGACAAAGAAAATTGAACATGACTCCCCCTAGTCCAAAGAGGTTAAGTAAATGCATATGAAAAGAATCAACACCATCATGCAACAAAAATAATGAATGAAATTTCTTTGGAAATGAAGTGTTAGATAAACAGAGAGTTTTTTTTATTACATTACAAAGAATTTAAAGTAAAATCATTAACATGTATAAACAAGATAATGACAGAGTATTTTTTCTTTGATATATACGTAAATAAGGACGTTGAATGACTTTACATGAAATCGCTAACAGACAGACGGGCGACCAGGGCAAACTTTAAATGTTCAAATTCCCTAAGTTCACAAAGTGCCGCAAAAGTTTGGCTGAAATCCTTCGAGAGGGAAAAAAGAAAACAACACAAAGAGCCTCAATTCTATCAAAAATGATTAAATCCCAAAACTCCTATAATATGCTCTAAGGCGCTTGGTGACAATACTTCAGTCAAAGTTTAGTTCAAATCCTGCTGCGCACACAAATATTATTTCTCTACATACATTGTATTACAAATGTGGGAAAAAAACACAAAAGGTCATAATAAAGTCAAAACTGGTCAAATAACAAAGCCCCAAATAACATGGGACTTGGTTGCAACACTTCTGTGAAAGTTTGGGAGAAATCTATAAATGTAGGATTTAGCTCACAAAATTGTTAAACCTGCCCATCCCCCCACCAACGTCCACCGACATAACAGTTTTCTCACTATCACTTATACATGCTGTTCTTATTTTTATTTTACTTTTTCTAAACTGTTTTGACAAACTGGGAGCCAGATAGTGGTTTCTAAAGTATAAGAAATATACAAAACTGGCAAGATAAACTACAGGATGAAAGCCTGGTGCTCATTACAAGAATTCTTTTTTCCATACTGATAAAGGATATCTAGTTAATATTACTGTTGTTGTTGGTTTTTTTTTTTTTTTTTTTGCTTTACCAAATTTAACTACCTTAACGATATCCTTGTTATTATTTCAACATTATGAAATGAAGTAATTACCAGATTACAAATATTCGAGAATGCAAACTTAAACAGCTAACCAAAAGATTGACATCATAAAAGAAGTTTCATCCAACATGATTCTATTCTAAATTTAATAACCATGTAATTTAGAAATTTTAGTGTAAATATTCCCATAAATCTGTGAACTTATGTTGATTATATCTACGTGTATCTATAATTGGACCAAAATGGTATAAGAGTAATTTCTTGAAACAGAAAGAGTTGTTACCATTCAGGACAGGCTGTAATGATGTACATGTACATCTAAATTGGGCAATGAGAAAATAATTGAAAACAATACATCTATAGTTATTTACATTTTATTCGGTTTTAATATTCAAAATATGTTATTTTCTGATAAATATATCTATATATACACACACAGAATTGTGTATGCCATACTGTTTGAATATAATGTACTCACTACCAGTATTAAACCAATACTAGTATTATTGATCTGAACGTCAGTAAAATACATATGTTAAAGAATACCAGTAAATAAATGCAAAAACTCTATTTTATGCATGTGAATATCAGTAAATATATGTAGAAAACAAGAGAATAACATGCGGTGTTAACCCCCCATCCTGTCTTGTCATTGCAAAGACTATCAATAAAGTTTGAGAAAAAAAATTAAAAAGGGTCATAACTCAAAAAATGTAGGTTTCAGAATTATACCCCTTGTCTAACAACTAGTCCTTGTCAATTTAAACATGTATTACAAGTTTTATGTAAATTATCTTTTAAAAAGTTTGAATAATGGGCTGCATTAAAGATTTTGCCTAACATAAAAGCTCATCTTGATTATAAAAGCTCAACTTTTTCTTCGTAAACAAATAAGCTAAAAATCTATTTAATGCATTTGGACACCAGTAAACATATGTACGAACATACATCTAATTTTCAATTTAATTACAAGTGAACAGAACAAAACATACAAAAACTTAATGCACTAGTTTCATAACATAGAAATGATAAAAAAAACTTAAACAGGTTATATCAAGATTATACATGATGTAACATCTATTTCAACAGTATGGCATACAAAATCAGAAATGATTCTTAATTAAGAAAAAAAAAGAACCCATATTAACCAAAAACAGCTTTAAATATTGACAAGCATTAAAATGAAATTCTACTTAACACAAATACAGACTTAATGGTTGGTTAAAAACACATGTATTTATTTAAGCCCAATTGGAAAATAGTTCTTTTAACTTAAAATTTATCATAGACTCACAATATAGTGCTGGTTCTAGTCAAACTTTGATATCAAAATGTTCAATAATACATTTATATTGAGAATTATATAATATTACATTCACTTAGCACTAACAACAAAACTATTGCTTTCCCCCTACATTTATCCGTCTACTCATTTTACAGAAAATTGTCATTCAAAACTGAACAATCTTTCATATTGCTTAATCTACTCATAACAAAAAGAATACATTTACATTCTTTAAGTGTCAACCACAAAATAACTATGAAAAATACAATTCTTTCCTTTATTCAATTCATACAAGGAAATAAACGTAAAACAGACACTGATATCCCTTATTCTATTCACAAACAGACTATGAAGTAAACGCTTATTCCAAACACAGAATTGATAAACATAAATTACAATGATTTCCCTTATTCAATCCACAAAAAGAACTGATAAACAAATCACACCAATTTCACTTATTTAATCCACAAACATAATTGATAAACATAAATTACATCAATTTCTCTTATTCAATCCACAAATAGAATTGATAAACATATATCATACCAATTTCATCTATTCAATTGACCAACATAATTCACACCAATTTTCCCTTATTCAATCCACAAATAGAATTCATAAATGTAAATCACACCAATTTTCTCTTATTCAATCCACAAACACAATATAATTAATATATATTACAGAACTACACACTTATAATTCTTACTCCACCCTCACATTTTTTGATGAAAACAAAACACAATGATTTCCCTCATATACAGTATATATGTATATATCATGAACATATCTACATGTATTTTCCCTTCGTAAATCCACAAAGTATCTGATTAATAGTGAAAAATACTGACCTATTTTATTCAATCCACTCAGAATATGTGAAGAAATATAAAATATACACTGATTTCCTTTAATAACAAATATTTTTCCCGCAGAATACTGTATCTATTGTTTTTATAGATACGAAATGACCAATGACACTAACAGAAATTACAGAATATCCTTACAACACAGAACAGTAATGTAAAAAAATGTTCCCTAACAGCTTCACAGTCATGATTATTTATATGCCATGAAATCTTATATGTCTGTCAGAAGACTTTTATTTTATACAAAAAATATGAACCAATGAACACATGTTCCCTAATGGCATATTGATAAATCTAAAAGAAGACAAAAATAGGAAAATCTAGACACATGCCCACACATTGACCATGGAACAACGCACACATCAAATATCAAAAGTAAGACAATTTTTAGTTGCATCGACACGGGCCCAATAAATAATAAAATTAGGTGAGTACATGGATTATAGAAACACAATGAAAACAACAACAATAGAAATACAGCAAATAGAATAAAGAAGACCAATAACCCAGTAAAATACAATATAACTAAACAATATCAACAAAATGAACAACAACAACATGAGTCTCACTATTCTTATCAATGATACTAAGCAAATTTAATTGTTAAAAAAATATCAAACAATTACGCCACCTTTATCTGTATTGCAAATTCACCTTAATAAACAAGTCTCCCTTAAATCAATACAGTAGACAACAAAATGCAATAAATACAGGACATGAAAGGTTTTTCTGTTTATTGCCTTTTTTGACACCTAATCATTAAAAAAAATGTTCACCAACAACTGAAAGTGTTACCCCTGTCACTATATCTAAATGTTTATTTCTTACAGTTTTTTCTCTACACATTTGACTGCATATGACAATTTATTGAAAATACAATAATACTCAACTCGAATCTCAGGATTTTCATTAGTCAGTGTACCTTCTGTTAAAGATTTCTGACCAATCAAATGCCAGAGATCTGAGTTTGAACTATGAAAATTTTATTATTACCTTGATCCCTATTCTCTTAACTTGATGAGGTAAATGCATATCTGACCTAAGTTAAGATATATTTTATTTTGGGATTATTTGCTATAAATAAGGAAATCTTATGAAAATTAATGGTTAAAGTACATATATTTATGCATAATATTGAGCAAAGAATTAATGATTTCAATTTATATACTAGTATATAATCATTTATCCATAGACCATATAAAAAATGAATGTAGAAAACTGTAATGACCCTATGAAGTATGAAAGCACATTATACTGTATATTGGTTTAAAATGAGCAGTGTCACACAATAAGGGTCCCCTTTTTTAATAACCAACATTATCGTATTTATATATAAGCCTGATTTTGATGACTGCATAGAGACCACACAAAACATTTTTGAGGGTCATAGGAAAGGTTGTTTCCAAAGAGCTTAAAGCAAGTAAGTAAACTTATTGATACTACTGTCGTATGAGAAAGCATGGCTGTAACCTGAGGAGGGCTCAAACCCACAATACCTGGGTTGAAAGGCAGACATCTTGACTACCCAGCCCGTCCCCTATTATTATACAATGTAAATATGCGCATATCAAATATATTTTCTAACAGTCCAATTCTAACCCTCAACAGTAACAAAACAACAAATTGTATTTTTTGGTAACTTACACCTGTATTTTTATAGACTTAACTAATGACTTTAGCCAATACTATGAAGTTCTTCTAAATCTAAAACATTGAATTTAAACACTCATTGTGCAACACTGCTCAAAATATGGAATTCTGTGAAATAAAAAAGAATAAAAACAAGTGATGTATTACTTTAAGTAAAGAAATATTCCTACATAAGTGGTAAAATAAATGTATAACACAACATCTAGATGTCCTTGAAATTCAATTTCTGTCAGTTAGTTGTTTAAAAAGAACATAATGGTTTTAAATTCCAGAAAATTTAATTTCCCTAGTTACCTTCAGGAAATTTAATTTCCCTTAATTCCTTCAGGAAATTTAATTCCCTGTTTCTTTTAAGAAATTTAATTTCCCTTGTTTCATTCAGGAAATTTGATTTCCCTTGTTTCCTTAAGGAAATTTAATTCCCTTGTTTCCTTCACGAAATTTAATTTCCCTTATTTCCTTAAGCAAATTTAATTTCCCATGTTTCCCTCATGTCAAAGGTTAAATCTTGATATTGTAGTTCAACAACAGCTAGCTTTATAGTTAAATAACGGTCAAATTACAAAGAAAACAAAGCACACAGAAATCAACTTGTCAAATGCGCTGTACCCGCATAAACCATTCTTATCTTCATGATAACATAACAAAGTAGCCAATCCCCAAACAGATAATTATGTAAAAAATACATAATATAATAATAATAATACATGTAAATGTAATGTATCATTAATTAAAATAATCTCTGAAAGTATTCTAAATCAAATCATATCTGTATGTGGATTTAAGGGACAAACCTCTTAATCAGTAATATTTTTTTCCTCTTTTCTTTTTTTTAACTAAGAAAATGACTGTTCAATGACTTCTTGTTTAAGAGGTTCCAAATTTTACCATTTTGGTCAAATGAACCTTAAAATTTTTTCCAAATACAGAAGGCAGCTTGATTTCATAATTTTATCTGGAAAAATATTCTATGAACTATAAAAATAATCTAAGATATAGTTAACTAAATGCCATAAAATTAACACCAAGTAAGAAATTTCCTGCAACCACAGTAGTTCAGCATTCCATTATGCTGTAATTCATGTGTAACTAGTGCTTTTTTGCCTAATTTCCTATTCTATTTAATATTTCAAAGGGTGTTACACCAACTCGGTTTTTTAAGAGATAAGACAACTTCCCAGCTATTACTGGTGGAGGGGGTATGTGATACACTCCTCTTTACAATAAATTTGGCAAGAGCTGGCACCCAAAAAAGAACCACAAACCAAATGTAAGAAAGCTAGAAAGCTATCTCAAAGAAAAATGTCCGATATTACAACCAAAATACAATTTTATTAATCATAATAATAGAAGAATATAATAGATATTTTTTTTATAAAAATCTTGAAAGCAACCTCTTGCGAAACATATCTTTAACAAAGCATACCTTTAACTATGTGTAAAAAGGACACAGAAACGGAAGCACTAAAACACAAATGTGGTCCTTAAGTCTATCTGTACCACCAATAAATGGATTTTAAAATAAAATTACAATTGCACCAGTAATACTACAAGGCTATAAGTTTAAACATTCATCAAAAATAAAAAAAGTCTATTCATGGTATTTCATAGCTACATTTTTTTTTTAGATTTTATAAGAAAAGTCCGCCGAAGTTGTAAACAGTGTATTAAACTTAATTAAAAATCTAGTTCTTAAGCATATCTATTCTACCATTTTCCAAAAAAATGTCAGCAAAAACAAATTTCCTCCAAGTTCTTGAACTATATTTTGGAACCTCTTGCTTTCCAAAATTGTTTTTAACATATATATTTTCTTTAAACATTCATAGAATAATGCCTCAGAATAACTAAACAATAACATATTTCCTGGTAGAGAAATCCTTTTTTGTGTCAACAAATGCTGGATGATTCATGTATGACATTCTTCACATTTATATATCTTAACAATCATTCAACAAAATTCCACAATATCAGTAAAATCGTTTTCTTTTTGTTGGATCATCCTTGTTAAATATAACAAATGCAACTGCCCCACATACAATCACACCAATAATTATAAGAACAATGACAAAGAATATCTTCCATCCTGACCAGCTGCCCCCAGATGTGAAGCCCCCTTTAGGATCATCAATGTGATCTGAAGAGGAAGAAGAAAAAAAATATTATGAGTTATTATCTTTTATCATCAAAAGGTTAGGTGACAATGGAAAGGTCAAAGGTGACAATGTAAAGGTCAAATGGCGATGTCCAGATTTACTGGTGGAGGTAAACCTCAGGTGTCCATCCAATATTAGTATTATTTAGGCATCAGCAAGTACCTAGGCAGAACCATTAACCTTCCCAAATCCCGTAACATATTTGGAGAGCTTCCCTAAATAGAAGATTTCACAATTTATTGTTTCTGGTTGGATTTGTACCTAAAGCATTGAGAAATTTGATTCCAAGCCAGTGACCAGACCACCCTGCCATAACCTATGAAGATATTCATAAATTCATGATTTTTAATGATAATACCTTTTTATTTCATGTTAAGTCCACATGATTCACAGAAACGTAAAAACTCTCTGCCAATTACCTCCCTTGTCCATGACACATGACACCAAAAATAGGTGTAACATTATTTCCAGAAACTGAGATATTTTGAGTACAAACAGAACATATATCAATTAATCCCAGTCGTTCAATATATTTATATATCTAACATAGGTAAATTAGATGTTAAAACAATTTAGTTATTACATAGAATTTATATAAAGTTTACCTCTTGGTGCTGCAAAAACTTCAGCTTGTGGCAATCCCCGGTATTCTTCCTCCTTACCCTGCTGTAAAATAAATTATAAGGCTAATTATAATAATATCAAATATATAATATTGTCATTATAATTATTATAATTTTCTATAAAGCTATATATCTGCTTTACACAGTTTTGAAAATGAATAATGTCAACATACTTGTATAGAAGAAATATGTTGGAATTTTTCTAATGCAACATATGGTCCAATGCACAAAAACATTGCTATACAGTTAAAAGCCTATTTAAAATAGCAGCAAAATATTTTATTCCGTAACATTTTCCTCTGTGTATGTACAATATTCATGTGTGTTAAATTACAGAGAGACTTCATGTAAGAAATCTTTTGAGAATCTACCTATATAACTATGGAAACTACACTATTTTACTCTCTATAAATTTCATAAAAATGTTTCAAAAGCAATAGTTTTTCCTTTTAACATTTTGTTCACTGTTTCTGTTGATTCACTGATTTATAAAAATAGTTTCATCTCATACTTGCTATTGCATATGGAACATATTTTTGTGCAATATCAAGTGTGAAGCAGTACACTGTTGAACAATAGTAATCCATAGTTCAGTTCAAAGTACATGCATGTTGAATAACGTATAAAAAAAATTGTCAAAAAACTAAGCGTCAAAATTCTCTGTCAGTGACAAACACATGCAATAGTATAGAAAACTTTCAGGTCCGTTCTAAATTTGTAAGGTGATAAAGAAATTGCCATGTTTATTTAAGATGTGCATCATGACGCATTGACAACCCTGTATTCCTGTTAACTTGCACTGGTAACAACCCTCAATCAATATCATACTTTCTTTTTTTTTTGGTTGGGTTTACGTCACACCAACTCAATAAAAGACATATGGTGACTTTCCAACTTAACTGGTAGAGGAAAACCTCAGGTGCCCCTCCATACATTATTTCAAGCACAACCTTAACCACTCAGCTTTGGTTGCCCATTATACTTTCTAATTTTAAACCACTTGTTCTCACTGAGGAAGATGAGCAGCATTTGTGTTTTTTTTACATGTTTTCATCTTATAAATGAGTCGCGCCAAGACAAAACCAACATAGTGCGTTTGCTTTCCAGCATGGATCCAGACCAGCCTGAGCATCTGATCACAATCCATGCTGTTTGCTTTTAAAATCTATTATAAGTAGAGAAATTGATAGCGAACAGCATGCGCAGGCTGGTCGAAGTCCATGCTGGCTGCAATACCATCCCATTGGTTTTGTCATGGCCCGGCTCAAATTATCATTAAAACTAAGGAATAGCTAACGAAGACTTACACTTTCAGGCAGATCTAACTCATAAAGTTTCATTGAAATTATATCATGGTTATCTGAAAGAAAAAAAAAAGAAAATCTACAACATGAATATTAAATTTTGACTATTAGAACATGTTCATCATAACTAAAGACAAATTCAGGGGCAACAACTCTTGCTATAGAAATTTAAAGTTATGCACTGTTTAAAAATGTTTAAACTGTAATTTAACCTGATTTTTTTTATAACACACAAACAGACTACATGGCATGTAAATCAGTTACAGAATGAATGTTCTTTCATGTTACTTTCAAAGACCTCAAACTTGCAGCATTACTGATGAAGTAAGACCACTGCAAGCATAAGTTCTGACTGTGACACAAACATGCACCTGAGTAGATCCATTAGCCATTAAACTTCAATGAGTTAGCAAGATAGCATCCTTACATGAAAACATTAGTCTGTAACAGGATATAACCCCACATAGATGATAAGCAACATTTGTTAATGATTGGACTTGTAAGCGTTCTTCAAGGCAAGAAAAATTTACGAAAAGTCACCTGCTAACTCTCCAGTGGCAGCCGATGCACCGAAATAATAACCAACTGGTAATCGTACACCATCCACTTTAAAACATTCTGTCCAACCATCCTTTCCATCTACATCCATAGACACCTATACATAATATAACGTACAAAACAGACATTAAAAACTTTTTTAACATGAAATATTCTGAAACGAAAGAGGGACTGCTCCAACTTTGTGAGTTAAATCCATTTCTTAAATGGACTTGTAATTCTCAATCCATTATCAATTCTTGGGACATCAAGATGTAAAATTTGAAGTTAGTCACCCAACAGTATAGAGCCTAGTCAGACTTCATGATAAGGCAGGCTGGTCTGCTCTATACTACTGGAAAAGCATATTCACTTTTCAGTTGAGCAGTTCAAGGCTTTCAAAATTCAAATTTTCACATATACATATATAAGAAATGGTAGAATCAAACCTTTAAAGTAGTTCCTTCATATCTTATTGCCAGATATGTATCGTGATCAGAATTTCTAAACAATGACGTACAGCCAGCTAATTCTGTATGGGTACCGTCCAAATCATGGTCATAGTGCATGCTACCATTGTTCACCATTGAAGAGATATATGGATGCTGATGCTGAAAAAATTATTTTTATTTTTTTATATTTTTTTTAGTTTGCTTCCACATTTCAAGTCATACTTAATATATGGCACTTTTATACATATCTTTAATTATGAAAGATGACCTAGCAAGTTTGTCAGGAGTTATTTAAGGCACAAAGAGGTGCTTGAGTAGAATCACCAACCTTCAGTAAACACCATGGATAGCATCCTCACATCTAAACACCTTTCAGCCAAGAAGTTGGTAAAAACATGACAAAATGTATGATAAACAAACATTTCACTTTTAGTCATGTTTGACTAACAAAGTCCATTATTATAGGGGACCCATACATGTAATAAACATTCAGAAAGTGGTGTGACTTGTTAAGGTCAAGAAATGTGAAAATAGTTATAAAATGTCATCAAATTTTGAAATGGTCATTAAATTACATTACATTTCATTAAAAAAATACTTCAGTCAAACAATTAAGTTTTTGTTAACTTAAAATTATTTACATCATCAAAAACTGGCTAATGCTGTGAATCATTGTTTATATATAAGAACAATAACTAACTGCTAGGCATAAATATCTAAGCTATACTTACATTATGAGGCCCATTATGATTACTGTATGTATCAGCTATCACAGCCAGTCCCACAAAATAGTCTTTACTGCCAAACACAGGACCTGAAAAATGGATTCAAATATGTTTTCCTTTCATAGCCAACTTTCTTGCATATCAGACAGGATTATCTACTGGTTTACACCGGTGTTAGAAAAACCTGTTTAACAGTCTTACACCCCCCATGTATGACATGCCTCGTGTAAATGACGCATATCCAACATGCCATAATATTATATTAAATGAACTGTGTTCTTAGGATGACGTCATTGTGCCATTATGAATGAAGTTGTAAATTCATACACTACTATGAGAAAAATGTGCTAAATAAAAATATTAGTTTCGTACTTTCTTTTTGTAATATCACAAATTTGTAATATGCAAGAAAAAGAATCAAACACACTGGCTATCCTCAATGTCAGGAATATCTAGCTTTCAGTTAAATGTTTAGTGGAAACTCGGCAGAGTCTTGTTACTGCTGTAAACTGTTAACCTCGAGTTAGATATTCCAGTCTGTACTGGCAGCCAGTGTAAGATTCTTGTAAATAACATGTAGTATCATGTTCTGGTATCAGGAACTTATTCTAGAAAATCAAATGAGCAGTATTTTTTATAAATTACTTGTACAAATAAATCCAATATACTGAGAATTCAAGAGCATGTACAAGTATAGATTGAAGCATGCTACCCATTCAACTGTAAGTAAAAGTATAACAATTTTATAATATATCTTTGAACCATATCATTTGTTGAAATTCTGATGAAATTGGTTCTATTTTCAGCCTGTAGTTTTCAATATCCCCCTTGACCCTTGGCCAAATAGGTTGTGTTTGTTGGCAAACCTTTTGCCACAGAGTCTGATAAAAATGGGATTTGACTGTGTCACAATATAATTTTGTTTGTAACTCAGTACAAGTTTGACTGTGACAATGTACAAAGTGTGACTGTGTCAGTGTACAAGTGTGACTGTGTCAGTGTACAAGTGTGACTGTGTCAGTGTACAAGTGTGACTGTGTCAGTGTACAAGTGTGACTGTGTCAGTGTACAAGTGTGACTGTGTCAGTGTACAAGTGTGACTGTGACAATGTACAAGTGTGACTGTGTCAGAGAACTAGTTTGACAGTATCAGTGTACAAGTTTGACTGTGCCACAATACAAAATTAGACTGTTCCCCCAAATAAGATTGAAAATATCTTTTTTTAATGTTTTTGAGTTTGACTGTGTTAAAGTATGAGTTTGACTGTGTTACAGTATTAGTTTGACTGTGTTACCACTGACCAGAATAGGTTTTGTCAAATTTTAAATGACTTACCAAGCTGATTTCTGTCCCTAGCATACCAAATAGCAAAACCATCTCCAAATAAGTTTTTTCCCTGACCATGTACTTTAAAATGTACATGTAACTCCCAATTTCTTACTCGGCAAGGCTGTATAATATAAAATATTGAGATACATAAATATACGCAATATTAAAACTCATAATATATTCTTCTAAATGTAATTAAACAAATGAGGGAATTAAATGGAGATAATACAGTAACATAATACTTTAAACTAACTACATAAAAATACACAAGTTAACAAGTTATGCTATGGTTCTTGTTGCGTAGAAGTTATAGACATTTAATCTTTACCATAGTGTTCCATATAGCACCTTGCGAACTTTGCCTGTCAGGTGTAAGACGAATATAATTACTGGTCACCATGGTTGTACCGACAAAATCCCACAATGGTATATTCATTCCAGCACCTAGAATACATAAGTGATTATAATGTTAATTAACAAATTTGAACAAATCTTTAAACAATAATGACTACTGTACCTTAAAATTCAAAATGAAAATATTTTAGCCACGTTACGACAAAACCAACATAATGAAATCCGCGCAGTCTGATCAGGATCAATGCTGTTTGCTAACAAATCCAATAACAAGTAGAGAAACTGATAGCGAACAGCATGGATCATGATCAGACTGCGCGGTCTGGATCCATGCTGGTCTCAAACCCATTATGTTGGTTTTGTTGTGACGCGGCTCATTTCAACATTTATTCAGCATCAAGATAACAGAATAGTTTCAAAGATTTGCAAATTTATGTGTACAATCATGTACATTCCAATTCTTAAAATAGTTCATTAAAATTTAGACTGGAGATTCCAAGTAATACTTTTTTAAGTTGGAGCTTATCATGAATTTCTTGAGCCAATTGCTCAAAGGCTACCACACTTCCAGCACAAGCCCTGAACAAATTTTAACCAGCATTCAAGGAGAAATTTTATTAACAAAACAATGACATGCTGCCTCTGATAAAGTGTGTGTCAGACATCAAAGAAATCAACCAATGAATTAAAACAGACACTCATGTTTATATGAATGAAATATTGGCTTCAGTCTAAAAACTTAAATAATTCAGGGCCCTCAATCCAATTTTGGGGTAGGTCGATACCCTCAGCAGGAGAATTTCAGTGGATGGGGGAATTTTTCTAAATTCCTATTTGGTCAAATATCAATAAACTACCAATTAAATATCAGTATTTTTTCAATTCAACTTGCTATTGTGAAACATTTAGAGGATGAAAGTTTTCTCTGTGCATCCATACAAATATCAAAGCCTGTGAAACAAAAAATGGTGGAGACAGACAATATTCTGCTGACATAAATGGTGTGAAACAAATCCATTTTACTTTTCAAAAACAGTGCAACTTTTAGATTTTTTCTGTTCGTTTTTATTTGTTTTTAGGGGAATTTTTTACCTTTGTTACTGGGAAAAACATATTAATTTGGTGAAAGATTACAGCCAATATCGGGCTGCAGATTTGGTAGATTGAGGGTCCTGTAATTGGCTGCTTTTTTTGAAAGAATAAATTATTCAAGTTCATACTTCATATACTTCAGTCTTCATTGTTCGAGATAAAATTGCAACAACTTGGACACATAATTATGTCACTGTTCAAAACTGTTCAGTATTTAGGAAAAATAGTGTGTAGGCAGCCGGATAGCTCAGTTGGTAGTATTGTTTTCAGAGGGTCCCAGGTTCAAGTCCCAGTCAGACTGCACGTTTTTCTCACCCTGCGACATTTGGCGCCCAATGGGGGAACATAATGGTATATAAGCTCCAAGTTCAATTTCACATTGTTCTCTGTAAGTCTGTACCCATTAGAAATTCGAAAACAAATTTCAATATAGCTGGGGAGTATGTCACTGTTCACAACTGTTCACTATTTAGGAAAAATAGTGTGTAAGCAGCCACATAGCTCAGTAGTTAGAGCCGCGGTACGGTATTCCATGGGTTCCGGGTTCAAGTCCTGGTCAGGCTGCATATTTTTCTCACCCTGTGACACATATCCTATATCCTGGTTGTACTATCTACCGGGAATGTAAGTCTTGACTTATTAGGGCTGACACATTTTTATATAAAAATCAGGTATTTGAAATTTATTGTTATGGTAACGGGTAATGTATTGCGGGCATTACAATTCGCTCAACACATGAAGAAAATTTATTCATTTTTTTCATACAAAATATTGCCGAGATTTTAATATTGCCATATTCATAGAATATTTAAATTTCATTCATCTAATCATCATTTTATTTTTTGTAAATCTGTTTTCAAAAGTTGGTGCAGTGAAGTAGACAATCATTGTTACAGTTTTAAAAGTACTCTCCTGTGGCTGTCTCGATTCCGGCCTTTTTAATGTCACTCGTATATTTTAATTATTCTTTTTATTTGAATGATTGTAGAAAGATATTTCTGATATTTTGTAATGTAAAACTAGATAAACAATAAAATTCTTTACAGTTTGAGTCAGTATTATGCAAAATAAAAGTAACTTTTGATTATTTTTTACACATCGCTTAAATTTCTTTGAAGTTTAATTACTTTTGAATGGGGGTTAATTACCAGGCAACAAGTGATAATTAAAAAACTTTATTTTCAAACTTTCATTACCAGGTTACATGTTATAATTGCAACACTCAATATTCAAAAACAAATATAATTTGAATGTATATTTTTTATGTGCGCGGTCTTTAACTACAATCCATGGTATGTGTGATAAGAAAATGATTCTGAAGAGAATATATATAAATACAATGCAAACTTCTATTTTCTTTATTAACATTTATAATTGAAATAGAAAATATACCACTAAATTTGTATAGCCATTTCCTTGAAAAATAATGAAAATAAACATATGACAAATAAATCATTTGACGTGAATTGTAAATGATATCTATGAAAGAAATATGTTTCAAAATAAAAAAAAAAGTTATAAAACAGCTGTTCTGTATGCCAATAAAAGTTTCTTCCTTGCCAATCTAATGAATTTATCTTTATATGAACGCTTGTCTAGAATGATCTGAAAAATATATTTAATTCACTATTGACTAATTAGTAGAATATTTACTATATTTATACTTACATTCAGGTAATCAAATAAAAAATGTACAAATCATAAAATTGAAAATAATTCAAAGAAATAAAGACAAATTTCAAACATGAATTTCTTTAAAAGTTTTTAAGCAATCAAGAATTTTTTTTTGCAATGCACCCATTAAACCATGTAAAAAAGAATTATCTTAATCTGAATCGTGGTAATAATTTGTGCTTGAAGTAAAAGGGCATCAAAGTGTAGAGAGTATGCCTAAATAATAGACGATTATTTTTAATTAAGTACATTTTTAACTAAGCATTGCATCTTTCTATCACAGGTAAACGTTGCGTGGCCATGACTTACACTATATCCCCGTCCCCCCTCTACAACCCAAAACCCTAAAAAAACATTATGAAAAAAAATAAAATTTTATGACTAAGATATTACAAATAATACTTACATTATAACAAATTTCTTTTGTATGCAAGTGTTTTTCACATTAATTTCATCACGGATAAATTTAGTATTTACAAGACAAGGATCGGACACTTTCGTTTAGCTTATAGTCTCTTTGCGCGCATACGCAGAATCGCACATGGGATAAAGGTGGACAGAACGAGAGATGGCGGAATGCGCGGAGTGCGAAATATGACAGATTTTTACAAGAGTATGTGGTGTTATTGCAGCTTTGTGAAAAATTATACACCTTTGAATGTATTGATACAGTATTATTTTGTGCCGCTAAAGTATAAATATATGAAATATGCCTATAGAAAGCACAGGTAAACGTTGCGTGGCCATGACTTACACTATACCCCTGTTCCCCCTCTACAACCCAAAACCCTAAAAAAAAATTATGAAAAAAAAAAATTTTTATGACTAAAATATTATAAAGGTATTTTACTCTACTTTCATTTTGCATAGAAATATCACTAGCATCTCAATTATCAGCGCATATATTCATCAATTTTTCACCAATCTTAACAATCTTGGTCTCAAATCTTAGATAAATAAATACTCTTTAAGAAAACAACACTGGCACCTTCGCTGATTATACGTAGCAAGAAATATCCAAGCCCAAACTGTCAACAAATGAAACTCGGAAGAGATCTGATTGCACCGTTTCGGTAAAACTCTCACGAGTAAAACACACTAAATTCACCGTGAAAGAATATTTCTTTGTATTGCGTCTTTAAATATGATAAAATTAAGTTATTATTTATAATAATAGTTCAATCAAAGCATCATATGAAACTATAACGCACCTTTTTTCCTATATGTCAAATTCTCATTCCAAAATGAAAGTAAAATGGGCCTGCAGATTGTTTTCAAATGTAGTATTTTCATTGGTCACAGGAAAACCTCGGACCAATGAAAATACTTAAAGGGAAACAACTCTGCTGTGCCAATTTACTTTCATTTTGGATTGAGAATTTGACATATAGGAAAAAAGGTGCGTTATAGTTTCATATGATGCTTTGATTGAACAATTATTACAAATAATAACTTAATTTTATCATATTTAAAGACGCAATACAAAGAAATATTCTTTCACGGTGAATTTAGTGTGTTTTACTCGTGAGAGTTTTACCGAAACGGTGCAATCAGATCTCTTCCGAGTTTCATTTGTTGACAGTTTGGGCTTGGATATTTCTTGCTACGTATAATCAGCGAAGGTGCCAGTGTTGTTTTCTTAAAGAGTATTTATTTATCTAAGATTTGAGACCAAGATTGTTAAGATTGGTGAAAAATTGATGAATATATGCGCTGATAATTGAGATGCTAGTGATATTTCTATGCAAAATGAAAGTAGAGTAAAATACCTTTATAATATTTTAGTCATAAAAATTTTTTTTTTTCATAATTTTTTTTTAGGGTTTTGGGTTGTAGAGGGGGAACAGGGGTATAGTGTAAGTCATGGCCACGCAACGTTTACCTGTGCTTTCTATAGGCATATTTCATATATTTATACTTTAGCGGCACAAAATAATACTGTATCAATACATTCATATGTGTATAATTTTTCACAAAGCTGCAATAACACCACATACTCTTGTAAAAATCTGTCATATTTCGCACTCCGCGCATTCCGCCATCTCTCGTTCTGTCCACCTTTATCCCATGTGGGATTCTGCATATGCGCGCAAAGAGACTATAAGCTAAACGAAAGTGTCCGATCCTTGTCTTGTAAATACTAAATTTATCCGTGATGAAATTAATGTGAAAAACACTTGCATACAAAAGAAATTTGTTATAATGTAAGTATTATTTGTAATATCTGGACATTTATAGTGCAAGATGGCGCGATAGCTAGGTTGGTTAGACCAATGGCTGTCACTCCTGAGGTCCCGGGTTTGATCCTGGGTAAAACTTTCACTTTCACTGGTTTAATTGATACCCCACCCACTAATTTAACAATGATGGGTGGAACTTCCATTAACTCTTTCGCTGCACCTGAACAAACGTTAAATCATATCTTAACATTTTACCTGTATATGGTTTTGTAATAGTATGTTCTCTTTTTAAATAGTCTTTTGTATTCCATGTTGCTTTCACTAAACATGATATTAATAAAATAAACAAAGTTCGCAGAATGAAACCGGTATCAGACGCCATTTTGACATGTGTACAGCTCACTTCCGGGTAATCACGTGGGGAATCTTAAGTATTTATTTTCGCATACGCGTCGGTAAACAAGCGATTTGTCAAATAACGATTCGTATGCCTTTAATTGTGTTACGGAAATTATCCGTACGAAAAAGTTAGCAGGATTTTCCCTAAAATAAGCATTAAAACGATTAAGATTTCCGTGTATCGTGGACTAACCAGTTCTCAAACCTCTACTGTTTAGTTTAGCCAACGAAGTGATTGTTATATGACTATCACATGACAATAAAGTACCCTACACAATGCAGTTACCTGCTTTAAGATAGTTTTGTCTATTATATTCATTTTCACAAATAGTCAATGGTGTATTTATGGGACTTACAAAGGAAATAGCAATTTGTATGAAATTACGCTATGTAATAAAATATGTTATGTCTGGATTATGTCCCAGGTTATGTAAATATTTGTTCCTATGCACTGTTTTCATTTGACATCAGCAGACATGTCTGTCAGAAACTAAGCTTTTATGCACACAAGTTCAGGACATCATAGTCACTTCTAGTAAAAAAATAACAGCACATGAATGAAAGGTTTGAGAATAGGTTGGGTGTGAGATTAGGTACTTATACGATACATAAGAATTCCATGCTTATTTAAGACGGACATGGAATTTTGTAAAATTCCTGCTAAGCAAAATCATATTGAACCGCCTATAAGGCTTAGGCGGTCCGAAAAATATGGGATGAACAATAATTTATAGATGGGATTTAGAACTTAGAATTTTGTCAATTATTTGTAAACAGAAATTTTGTACTTAGACTTTTTCAATAACCAGAAATTGACTTAGAAAATTTTGCTAGACAGCAATTTCTGCAGAAGACACGGGTAAATTATAAAAATTAGTAAAAATGATGAACAATTACTTTGCTGCTTTTATTCAATGTTGTTTTTCAAACCTAAAACATCATTGTGGATGTCACAATTTCTACAAACATATAAATATATACATAATCATTAATTGTTAAAAAAAACAAACAAAAAAACAAATACACAAACACACACACACGCACGCACACACGCACACACATACACACACACACACACAAAACTCTACTACAAAACTAAAACTAAGAAGATAATAGATAATGATGATGTGGTCACTCAGGTTGCAGAGAATATACGTATAATACGGGGAAGTCAACGCGGGCCCGGGCTTTGGCTTGCCCGGCTATAGACTACACGTGTATATTTAAAAGAAAATTCAAATTTAAAAAAAAAATAAAAAAATATATAGAATTCAATACCTATCAATGAAATTTTCAGTGTCAGTTCTAGTTAGGCGCCGCCATTTACAATGTAACTCAATGATAAAAGGCGGTGTATTCCGATTACGGAACAAATCTCAACTTTTCGGATTAATAATAATCGTCGAGTGTTCCGAGTGAAAACGGAAGTGGGTACATATAATACCGAATGACACCTTTAAAACGGAAAAATGAAAGGATTTTTTTACCGACTTCCCCGTTCATAGGCTTTGCCTAATTTCATATTAGTTAAAGTATATGAAACGAGGTAGTTACGAGGATTTATCACATAAACCGCGGCGCAGGAGTGTAATAAAGCCATTTAATAAAAACGATATTACACTTAAGATATAATACATCCCAAACTGTGATTTTATTGCTCAATAACATCACTGTTTGGAGTTCGGATGCGGGGAATTATATCACGAGGGCGTAGCCCGAGTGATATAATGATGCGCATCCGAACGACAAACAGTGATGTTATCAAGCAATAAAATCATCGATTTGGATATATTATTTCGATTCTAACTCGACATCAACAAATATATGCTGCCGTACATGATAATTAGCTACATTGCGTCTGATTTGTTTCCGTACTTATTGTCAGCGCGTCACATTTTTAGTGGTTACTTCACGTATATAATGATTACGTCACATGGCTAAATATAGAACGTCAAACAGTGATTTTATAGCATAGTAACACACACTTTCGGTTCTTCTATTTTCAATAGGGAAAAATACGGGTCGTGTTAGAATATAAGAATCTTACACCGGCTGCCGGTACAGACGGGAATATCTAGCTCTCGGGTAACTGTTTAGCGGAAACTCGGCAGAGCCTCGTTACTGCCGTAAACAGTTACCCTCGAGCTAGATATTCCGGTCTGTACCAATTGCCGGTGTTTGATTCTTTTTCTTGCATATTACATGTCAATTATTTTCGGAAAAGAAATTATGAAAACTGATATTCTCATTTCGCACTTTTTTCTTATAGTAGCGTATGAACAAAAAACTTCATTCATAACGGAAACATGACGTCATCCTTAGAACGCGATTCATTCATAAAAGGCGCGCGTCAATGACGTCATTTAAAGCACGCGACTTGTCTTACATGGGTGGTGTAAGACAGAGTTTTCTAGCACCGGTGTAAACGGTAGATAATCCTGTCTGACATGCAAGAATAGACGATATTACATAGAGGATATTTGTTTGTTTTGCATGTAAGATTGAAATATAATTTCACTGAGTGAACACCAGATGCAATATTTCACGAGTTGCGTAGCCACGAGTGAAAATATAATAGCTGGTGTTCACGAATGAAATATATTTCAATCTTATATGTAAAACAAATAAATTTTCTTTTTACTTCATGCGTTTTAAGTGATTTTAAGTAATTTTTACTGATTTTGCCGCGTAACGTCGCACATTCTCCTTCGTGACGTCATCACATCATGACGTCACATCAACAAGTTTTAAATATAGTTCTGTTAAATTTCTTTAATTTTGTTACATTTTTAACATAATGTATGGTGACCTCAACTTTCTTTTCCGAAAGAAGCAAAATTTACGCATGACGGCATTTATTTTTGCCTGTTATTCCATTCAGTTTTGATTTTCTTTTCATCCGCATTCAGATATAGTCCGGCTACAGTGAAAATTATATTTTATAAATTTCACCAGTGGTTTATCAGAATATAATCATCTGATATATTACAATAAAACACTGGAAAGCATGAAATAAACTAGTGTAATAACACTTTGACGTCACGTCATTTGCGCTATAAAAAGTATAAACATAGCGTTAAAGCGCGCTAATGTTAGCGTTACATTATAGGCGAGTCAAATAAAAGTGACTCTTGGAAAAAGTTTACCGTTCTTATTTTATATATGTGATAAATAGAATATTATATTCGTGTAGATTCAATACTAAATTTATTGAACGAGTTGAATAAAACAATATTATGCTCGCCAGAGACTTGCATAATATGATTTTATTCAACTCGTTCAATAAATTTAGTATTAAACCTACACTCATTCAATATCCTCTATATAACACTGGCTGGGGCGACATAAAGAGATGTTTCTGCTAAAAATGGCGAGGCCGTAAGGCCGAGACAATTTTTTTCAGAAGTAATCTTGATAAGGGATAAAGAGTTTGTCTTTGCAGCCGTATGCGGCTTTTGATTTTTTTTTCAGTTTGGTTAAATTAAAAAAAATATATTGGCCAGATTTCTTATATAGAGGATATTAAATGAGTGTAAGTTCAATACTGAATTTATTGCACGAGTTGAATAAAATTATATTATGCGAGCCTCTGGCGAGCATAATATTATTTTATTCAACGAGTGCAATAAATTTAGTAATGAACTTACACGAATTTAATATTCTGTTTATCACATACCCAAAATAAAGACCGTTTAAAGTGAAATAAGAGTCATTTTTATTGACGCGCCTACAGTATAACGCTAACATTTAGCGCGTCTTTACACTATGTCTGATAACGCTAATGACGTCACGTCAAAATATATGCACGGCCGTGCAATACCATATTTACGGAGTCGTAAAATCGGCACGGGTGTGTGATAAACCTTGTTAGAAATCCTGTCAGGTATTTATTGCACAATTCTGCGTTATTTATTGCACGAATCATGCGTTATTTTCACATTCCGGAGTTACTGGATATACACAGTGAAGTTTTGAGACATTTTTTTTTTGCGCGAGATTGGTATAATCAGCACTGGTGATTAACCTTCTCATTTACAATATCATTTAAGTAGACAGGGTTGGCAGTATTATCAATATACCTCGTGCTTCGGGATAGTAAGAATATTAATCGCATCGCGATAATTTTAAAACTATCCCTTTTCAATTAATATGAACATGTAATAATAACCTTACCATGATTAATTCATCGTTGTTTGAAGCTAGAAATTTGTCAGTTAGACCTTGAAACCCACATTCTACTGCCTTGTCGGTCTACGGACATTTGACGGGAGATATCGGAACGGATTGACAAGGGCAACTTTATATTGACCCATAAAAACGAAACTTATAATCATTTAGTTTACATTCAGTTCGAGGGGAAGGGTTTGCCAATTAAGAAAGAAAGAATCTTCTTGCAATTCTTGTCAAAAATGATTTCTTGTTCTTATGAGTCTGATGATATTGGCTGTTGATTTTTTAGAGCCTTATTTATAACAACAAAGAAATTTAGAAGTAAAACATTATAATAAGTTTTTAAATGGTATTCCAGTGTGACCTCAATCCCATAATTTAAGGAGTTTCCTTCAGCGCCGAAGACCACTGCCAATGATTCGTCTGAATGTATTTCCTTAAACCCTTTTCTTAATGAAAGCCATGATGAAAAGTATATCGTTTAACATTTGTATTTTTATAGTGTGATTGGTGTGCTTTTGCAAAATTTGCCACTACATTTTTATGTGATTTTATTTATTAAAACCTTAAGGTATTAGTTCTTCTCTAAGCACCAGTGTAAATGCATTTGAACATTGTACAGTTTAATTATGAAACATATCACTGAAGTACTATTTGGTAGAAATGCCTTTGGATTGACTGGTAAAGGAAAAATCTGAAACATTTTAAATAACTTTAAGATTGTAAAAATTCACACTATATGTACTTGTGGAAGATTTAAACTTTAAAGGGACTCCATTGAAGTCCATAGGACTAAGAATATGTTCATAGATAATTTGGTGTATTTATAGGGAAATATACTCAAAATTTCATTTTTGTGTCTTCTTGCACAAGAAAAATGATTATTCTAGAAAAAAGTGAATGAGCGAATGATCTAAAAACTTGCACAGAAGTTATTGGTCCAGATCGATCTGTGCACAAATATCTAAAAACATAACACCAGTCTTGTCATTTCAAAACAAGACAAACCTCACAGGAAACCCTCCAACATATCATTTTACACCGAACATTCTCATTGTGTTGTGCACGACATTTGCTTTGAATGTATGCGTCTGATAAATATGGAGTCCTCCCGGTACGGAATTCAACACAAGTCGTTTTAGTCTAGAAAATAGATGTTGAACATTTTGAGGTGTCCAAATTTAATTCACCATATTTATCGGGTATTTATTGAATCTGTGTAGTTTTAGTGAGTTACATGATAACTTTTACAGTTATGCTGTGTTTTCTTCAGGACCTCATTTCTTTGCGGATGGATTGAAGATGTACTACAGGCGGTATAAACTGTGTCACAAAAGAATGAAAATTTCTGAATAAGTAGATGGCTAACATGTTTTATACTGGGCCTCATTTGACTTGAATTGTGTTGGTGTTTGAAGTGGAAAACAATTTGGGAATCCAGAATATTTTTTTCTGATTTATCGCACAGACTTCGATAAAATTATTAAGAGTCATGAGCTTATTCGAGTCATAGAAATTACTTTTATCGGGTTTTCAAATGTTTAAAATATTTATGTATACCTCCGTACTTACAGCGCTTTGATTTTACCTTTCTTTAAAAGACATTTCAAATTGTACATATCGTGTGACGTAAATGGTTTAATGAGTATCAGAAGGAATATTATTGGCTTTTATAACAAGTAGATCATATCTTAAAACTGTTTGTTTTCCAGTAAAATTTACAGGGAAGAACTTAATATATAAGAAGGGTTTTCATTTACCAACAGAATCAGGGGATCTCATTGGTCTTTCTAGAATTAGTAAAATAATATAAAACGTATGCATGTCTAAATTACATTTTGTACTAATTGATATAAAGGGGTTTCGGAAACAAACTTTCTAGTTAAATTTGTCGGATATTTGAAATGTGTGAACCGAGATGGCTTCCTCCCATTATACCATTTTACAACATTTAACACTACTTTGAAGATTTCTTTCATTCTCTAATAAATACCTTATTCAACAGAAACTGCTTTTAAAATTTCATTTATTCTCCAGTAAAAAACCTTATAAAACATCAAAAAATTTACTGAATTATAAATGACATTCAATAAGTTTTGTCCGAAATAACAAGACTACCAGACTGAGTATTGTCTACAGTCCCTGAAACCCATGTACAAGAAATTATCGGAAGGCCCAGTATTGTCCACAGTCCCGGAAACGCATGTACAAGAAATTACCGGAAGGCACCAGTATTGCACACAGTCCCGGAAACCCATGTACAAGAAATTACCGGAAGGCACCAACATATAAAACTGGAAAAACTCTAACTAGATTATGTTCACCGTTTTTAATATTACACAAATGTATATGATTATACTTATGAGTTTAATTCATATACATAAAATGATTCCCATATATTTTTGCACATCAATTAAACAGAACATGATATTAATGCATACCTGAATACTTCAATGTGAGATACACTTATCAAACATGGAAGTTTTATTTAGGAACACATAGCAGTGTTTCCCAGATTTAATCGCTAAATGCTATGACAAAACTCCGAAATAACCTATGCAAGCAAAACCTGTTTTATCTTGTCCGAGGATCTATTTAAAAGATATTTCTTGTTTTATTTAATTAAAAATGGTGTCCTTTTATAATTAAGAATAAATAACTTTTGGGAAGGGCTTAACTGGGATGGGCGTAATCTAATGTTGCTAGAACTTGTTATCCAACACATTTGCATTTTGTTATGTACTCATCATTTGTATAATATTTGACATGTATTTGATGCAATAAAATATGTTTAAACTAATAAATAGCAAACAGTTCTTTTTATTTTCTTCTTTACTTTTTCTTTGGGAAATAGAAATGATTAATTGTAACTGTCATTTTATCAAGAAATCAATAAAACATTGTTTTGCATAAACCCATGACTGTTTTAATCTAAAACAAAATAATCAAATGTAGTTCTGTTCACTGCAGACATTCTAACCTCGATGTATGCATTAAAATTAGGTGTCTTTACCCACGCCACTGGAAAATTACCATTTTCTAACAAAGCAATTATGGATGAAAATGTAACATGGTGGTAATTAAACATGATGGTGGTAAGATAACATGATGGACATGTTACATGACTGTCGCACAACATGATGATAATGAATAGTTTCATTGAACATTCGAAGTTTAAACACAAATATAAGATTTAATCCTTTCACAAATATTAACACAGGCATAATGTAACAGGAAAATCTACCATTTCATCCCAATAGTTAGTGCAAGAATCTAAATCAATTATTAACGTAACAATACAAAAATATTCTTTATAATGTATTTTCTGAATTAATTCGGGTTTCTCTGGCCTCAATTCGTTGATTTACATAAATTTTGACCTAACTGACGAACTCATAACAGAAATTATTGATTGTCTTGCAACAAAAAAGAAGATACGAGACAAATTAATCAAAGATTTATTTGTATTTGATATAGCTTACAAACACAAGTTCAAACAAACACAGATGCATTCAAACAATCTAAATTTGATAAATAAATGTATAACAATTTAACTTTTAACTATTATTTCATGATAATGCTATTTGCCAACTGATATACAATTTAATCAACATAAATTTAATCAGATTTATTTTACATTGAACGAAACGAGTACAGTTTGTTTATTGTTTAATGTAAGTCTGCTTAAATACAGTTAATGTCCAACCACTTCAACATTAATCATAGATGTATGAATTTTGTCAAAAAGTCAAGTTGTTGAAATATATGAATGGTGTTTTTTCCCATATACTTGAACAAATTAAATGATATTGTTCCAGTTTTTATAGTATATACACTGTGTCACACATTAGCTTGTATTGTAGTATTTTGATTTCAAACAAAACACAAAAGATTTCAATGTACAACTGAATGCTTTATATCGCCTTTAGTACCATTTTATTTGTTTATGTTTTACACATGTATTAGCGATCTAAATAAAACAATAAAGAATGGAACGGCGGGAACGAGCCCATGTTTGTCCTATACAGAAAGTGTTCGTCTGCATATATGGAGATCCCGTATGAAGAACCTGAGCTGTGCATCCAGTGATTTGTGAAGCTGCCTCAACATTTTTTGGAATCTGTATTTAAAGTAGACGATGAACATCGGCACATTTATAATTTAATTCTGCATCGCTTCAAAACCGCGGTTCTGATGTTTGAACAAAATACGTTTTTTAGATTGAAACTATGGTACCGGGAAAAGAGGATTAAACGCTTTGCACTGCTTCAATTTGATTTAAATTGGGTTTTTAAATAAGAAAACGATCATTAAGGATTTGTTGGCGAAGTATATGGATTTGGTGGCATACAAGGCATCTGCATTGTTTGACATTAGAACGGATTTCCTGAAGATGGAACCGGTGCTGTTTATTCACCGATGTGTGTATCACGCATTAGTGAAGTAACTGAGGATATTTCCGTTTGACATTTAGCATTCCATTCATGAAACAGAAACAATTCTTTTTCCCCGGTTCCGTCATTCAAATAAAAGGGATTATCACACGAATTCTCTCCATGTATTACTTTAATACAACAATGTGGAGGAATAAATCTTTCAACAAGAACTTCTTCATATTTCGCAGCATAATTTCTTTGAATTTGATATTTTTTGTCACTCTGGTCTTTTTTAGGAAGATATTCGTCCATTACATTCGAATAAGTGAAATCTAGAATTCTTCCCGTTTTTTCTCTGAATGGTACGGTACGAACAATCTGATCTTGAAACACTTCAAACAATGGGTCGTTATAGGCCTCCTCGCATTTTTCAGCATACGTTTCGAGCTCGCTCCGATCGATGACAACATATTTGAGACATGTATCATTGTCCCCTTCATCATCTTTTAATTTTCTTCTCTTTAATTCTTTCATTTTCTTTAATCCCTCCATTGTGGCACAAGTAGAAATCCAGTGACAAGCTTTATATTCGCTGGAACATTGCCTTATATGATAAGAAGGCTCTTTATCACGGGATGGACGTTTCGCCATGATACCATCAGTCAAAGGAAATTCGTCGTCTCTCAGCAGACGATAGAGAAAATCATCTCCATATCCTGCCATTGTAACTGAAATATATATATAACTTTTTTACATATCCCAACTGTGTTCAAGTAAATCAATGTTATTGATTCAAAGTCAACATTTAAAGGCGCCTGACCATGTGCAAGCTTTACTTGACGTGAATTTTGATTGAAAATAACCACACTTTTCGATGAGATGCGGCATTTATTTAGTCACAAAAACTTACGTTTTCTCATGATAGTAAATAATTTTAACATACGGTTCTTAAACAGCAACATTTTGCCATTAAATTTTTCAAACCATACCTTAATAAATGTTTTTTCTTTTAAAGATATAGGGTATCTAAGTTTGAATATCTTTAAAATTTGAGTAACGTCATCAACCGTTCGCCTTTGTTTAAATTAAACATCGACATCCACTCATCAGCAAGAATAAATAACGCTGAGAACATTTCAACGAAACAATTTTTAAGGCTTTTGTGCTATAGTAACTTGGAAAGAGTAAAACATTTTTGTTCATTTTAAATTTACATTAATTAATGATAATTTCTAATACCTCATGTGTACGAAATCCATCTACACTTCAAAACTGTTTTAATTTATCGAATATAAAATGATCTATTTTGCAACATATCAATTAATTTTAAGTATGATTATTATTGTACTATCCAATAAAACCTATCGATTTACAGACATAAAAACACCTTAACAGTAACCGAAGAAAAATCAAGTTTTTATGCACACGCCACTTTGGGTTTTACACTTTTGAATTAACAGAAGATTTTAAGCGTTAACAATATAATTTTCTAGAAATATCTATCAAAGGAAAAAACACTTATTTACAACTATACAACTTTGCAACACGATCTGTTTTAATACTTATTTAATTGTTAATCAGTGTTGATGTAGTTCTCCAAAAGTCTGTTTTTCTTATCTTACATGATGGTAAAGTGATAGAATATTATTATTTGTTCGGATCGGAATATCCGTCACGAAGGGTACAGCCAATTGGGCGATAACGAGGATAACTTAAACATACTTGAAGTGTAGATGGATTTGTTAAGCATGAGGTCCATTTTACTAACCTGATATTATAGTTATTCCAACAGAAAATTTACTAACCAACTAAACAGTCGAAAACTTCGATTTGATTTAAAACAATTTGTCCTTCTCGCTGTTATATCCTTTGTAGTTAGTTTACGCTTAACTACTGTGATGATTGGTTTTTATTTGTTAGGGACTTCAGACCCAAGCAAATATACTTCTATGACTACTGTAATAACTTTTTGAACCCTATACTTCTCTTATTGTCAAAATCTGATAATAGTCCATGAACATGAATAAATGATTTATATGTATTTGATATAGCTTACAAAAACAAGTTCAAACAGACACAGATGCATTCAAACAATCTCAATTTGATAAATGTATATCAATATAACTTTTAACTCTTATCTCATGATTTTACAAACTGAAATACAATGTAAACAAATCACATTTTTATCAAAAGCTCATTTTAAAATACATATCTATAGACTATCGATCTTTAACACGATCGAGTGGGTATATATTGGTATTCAATTGAACTGAGTGAAATATTCATACATTGAATACAGTCTTTTATGAAACAAGTGTTTATACAGTCTGTTTGAATATAGTTAAAGTGCAACTACTTCGATATTTATCATTTATGCACGAACTTTGTTAAATAGTCCAGTTATTGAAATATACTGTATGATTGATGGTTATTTTACCCCTAATTACTTTAGAAAAAAAAAGATATTGTACATATCTTTATAGTATATACACACATTAGCTTGTATTGCAGTATTTTGATTTCAAACAAACACCAAATCTTTCAATGTACAACTGAACGTTATTACTTGACTTTAGTACCATTCTATTTGTTTATGTTTTACACGTGTATTAGCAATCTACATAAAACAATAGAGATGGGAATAGCGGGAACGAGCTCATCTTAATTTTCAAAATTGATTTGATGGCATATAAAATCTGTATCTATACAGAAAGTGTTCGTCTGCATCCATGGAGTCCCAAAAGAGGAGTCTGAGCTGAACATTCAGAGAGTTGTGAAGCATATATTAGTACAGTATTGGAATCCGTTTTTAAAGTAGACGATGGACATTTGTCACACTTATAATTTAATTCTTAATCGCTTCAAAACCGCGACTCTAATGTTTGAACAAAATGTAACGTGTACCGAGCGAATGTACAACGAATATATAATAAATTTTTCTTTGGGCTACCTGCCGTTTGATTAGATACAAATTATTCTGAAAGTATCATATATCGTAATTAATCAGCTTGAATTAATACTCCGAAATACACTACCGGTATTAAATTCTCAAAAGTCTCAATATACCGGTAGTAAAAATGTTTACTATATAACACTATGAAATAATTATGTTTTCGCCCCGCGACCCCGCCAAGCGAAAAGTCGAAATTAACAAGTTAAAAATGGCGGGGTCGCGGGGCGAAAACACAAATGGCACAAATTAGCCACCATAGTAAACTAAAATATATTGTTGCAATATAAACAAATAACATAAGAGTTAAGTAACCCTTACATCATTTCAGTAAACGATCATCTTTATTCAAAACTAGCTTATTATGAACAATGCCAAAACGTTACAAAAAATACATTTTTTAACATTGAACTATGTTACCGGGAAAAAGGATAAAGAAGACATGTTGGCGAATAATGCGGATATGATGGCATACACGGCATCTGCATTGTATGTCCTAAGAACTGTTGGTATGGATTTCCTGCTGTGAATCCACAGATGTTTGTATTACCTACTTGAGTTATTTGCGCATATAAGGTGGTAAATATTTGCCACATTCTCGCTCTGGAACAAATTTTTTTCCCTTATTTTCCAAAAACGGTCAACATTGTATAATTTCTCTCCATCATAAACTTTTGTACAACAATTTGGAGGTATAAATCGTTCAACAAGAACTTCTTCATAAAACTTAGCAAAGTTTCTCTGAATTTTATACTTTTGGTCACGCGAGTTTTTTTCAGGAAGATATTTTTTCATTACATCCGAATCAGTGAAATCAAGAATTTTTCCCGTTTTCTCTCTGAACGGTACGATACGAACATTGAATCTTGAAACACTTCAAACAAAGCGACGTCAGGGGGCTTGCTTTTTTGAGCATACGTTTTAAGCTTTTTCCGATCGATTTCAACATATCTGAAACAGACATCGGTGATCTTTCCTTCATCTATTTTTTCTCTCTTTAATTCAATCAGTTTCTCCATTGCCTTCTTCGAGGCACATGTAGAAATCCAGTGACAAGCTTTAGATTCGTTGGAACATTGTCTTATATGATACGAAGGCTTTTTATCACGGGATGGATATTTCGCCCTGATACCATCAGTCAAAGGATATTCGTCGTCTCTCAGCAGACGATAGAGATAATCACCACCATTTCCTGCCATTGTTACTGAAATATATATTTTTGCTTTTCATTTGATACATTTATACAGTTGGTAATTTCAAAAATATGTTTTCGATAATTTTGTTTTTACAAGTGCAGATTGTAGTCTTTAAAGTTCCGTTATTCAATGTTAATTAACTTACCTTTGAATTATATTATAGTTATTCCAACAGAAAACTGTATCAAACCAAGCTAAACAGTATAAAATTACGATTTAATTTTAAAAAATTGTCCTTATTCTTAGCGATTAACGAACAATTTATTTCCTTTTCAGTTAGTTTACGCTTAACCACTATGAAGATTGGTTTTTATTAGTTTGGGTCTTCAGACCCAAGCAAATATATCTTTGACTACTGTTATAGTTTTTGAACCCTATACTTCTGGCAATAGTCCATCTACATAAATTAGCGGGCGCAATTATTTCTCACCCTTCAGAGAATAGATAAATAGTTTTATTTTTTGCAGACAAAAATAATTTGTAACAAATAAAATTGTTCAATTTTCTTTATGGAATGATTGAAATAAACGCCCATTGATTTAGTTTAAACATATATAATTATGCTGATATCAACAAACTTATTTACAAGTAGGTCACGATAGGTCGCAAAAAAGCAAGAATTCGGTATCAATTAATTTAAACGTTATCGTGTTCGACGTTTTATACGCTTCTACACACTATTCTTCCTGTTGTAACATTCAAAAGAAATAATATATTATATTCAAATAACTCAAGAAAAATAAGATCTTAGCAGATGATTAGTATGTTTTAACTCAGAACTTTTAGACCATTTTAAGTGATATTTTATCCCTTTTAATTACTATTTTACGGTGTTTTAACTTGTAAGTTTATGTAAATAAGGGAGACAACTCCGTAATATTATGAAGTTGTCCCCCTTATAAGCTCATATAATTCTATAATAAGAATGGCTATTCTTGAAATGTATGTATTATATCTGTTTTATGTCTGTTTTTATATATGTAAATCATGTATAGATGAGACTTAAATAAATAAATAAATAAATATTATACACTACCACAAACTACATGTACTGTTTGATTTTATAAACCTTTCAATAGCATTCTGATTATACGGTCAATGCAACACAATAAATGCTACTATAAAAGTTTGCTGAGCACCAAAAGTATTTTATACTACTCTTATGTTGTATGTCAAATATTAGATTTATTTCTGTTCTTATATATACTGAAACAAAAAAAGAAACTTTCTCCAAGTTTGAATGTAGATATGTTAGTACAGTTTTTCAATCCTTTTGAACCTCGATTTTTACGTTGAATAAACATATCGGGCTTTTATACGGGGATTAGCTGACCGATTTTGCAAAGAAAACGAGTTTTACAAGCTACTACATGTATATAAGTGTGTACATCTAAGTGGTACCCTTGAACAACTGTCACATACTTTGCGAAATTTTCTTTTTTGGTTCAGTAAATATGACATAGTATCATCATTAAGGAATTTGTTACCAATTGTAATGTGTTTTTATGTTCATTTGTTTTGATTGTACGTAATGAAATTGTGTTTTAGACGGATATAGTGGAATTTGTGAAAAACTCATTTTTGCCCCCAAAAATCGTTGCAAATTTAATAGCGAGTATGTGTTGTCCGTCCAGTCATTTTTACGGGAGGGCTTTTGTCCGTTTCCCCTTTTGTCGCCCTGTCATTTTCACGGGCCTTGTCATTTTGGGATAGGAGGGCTTTTGTCCGGGAGGGCTTTTGTCCTACACTCGTATAAAATGTAATGAATTACAAAATTATTTAAATAATCTTAAGAACCCGCTAGACGTAATTTGTATACCAGAAACAAAACTAATTAAACAACAAGTTCCATTTAGACTGAAAGGTTACCAAAATCCAGTTTATAAAAAATAGACTGAATGCAGATCACCCAGATATATGTCAAAAATGATATAACTTTTAAAGAAAAGATTATAAATTATGATAGTGATATAGAATTTGTAGCTATTGAAGTAATAGGCAAAAATGAAAATGTCACCGTCATAAACTATTATGCACATAAATCAAATATTAACTCGTATGATAAACTAAAAAATATTTGTGGAAATAACTTAAACAATGCCATAATAGTAGGAGATTTCTGAAACAGATATTTTAATCTAAAACATCCATGCTGGAATCCCGATCATGACGATAGGAAGGATGCCGAGTCTAAGGAATTGCTAGAATTTTTAAATGACTAAAACAAAATTTACCGTGTGGTTTATGAGTTATGGACATTTTTCTGAACTAAAACTTTTCTATTCAAAAGGCTCTTTTTCAGAAATGAGGAAACTCTAAATAATCAATAATATCAACATTATGAAACATGTTTATCTGTTGACCATTTTTAAGAAACAAATAATAATATTCATGTAACAAATCACACGAGCAAAATGATTGATTCCATACATCCTGTCCCAAAATACAGTCCAGTCCACCCTGTCTCTCAGTCTTAGTACATCCTGTCTGACGGTCTGCCCCATCATATGACCAGTTGAACGTGTTAATCCCCCCGAGGAGAAATCCATATAATTTCTGATCTCACTTCTTGTTTTTAAAATCTAATAGCCCCGCGACCACGTCAAGCGAAAAGTCGAGATTTAACAAGTTAAAATTTCGTCCCGCGCCCTCGCTAATTTGTGTGTTTTCGCTCCGCGCACCCGCCATTTTAACTTGTTAATAATCAACTTTTCGCTTGGCGGGGTCGCGGGATGAAAACACACTAATGAGCGGGGCGCACGGCGAAGTTTTATTTATTAACCTTCGCCCCGCGCCCGCGCTAATAAGCGTGTTTTCGTCCCGCAACCCCGCCGTTTTGTTTCTTAAATCTCGCTCCGGCCCCCGCGGGACGAAGTTTTATTTATTAAACTTCGCCCCGCGCCCTCGCTAATTAGCGTGTTTTCGCTCCGCGCCCCCGCCATTTTAACTTCTTAATTTTCGACTTTTCGCTTGGCGGGGTCGCGGAACGAAAACACGAATGGCACAAATCAGCCACCATAGATATCAACATGAAACGATAGATCTCATTGTGTAAATATGTAGTGCAATAGAACAATAACTCAGTCTTGCCTAATTTGGGAGTTATTGCCCTTTTTGTACACTTTGAACTTTGTCCGGGACATAACTCTAGAACTATAAGACATATCAACATATAACTTTATAGGTAGATAGATTTCATTGAACAGAAGTGCAGTGCAAAAGAGCCATAACTCTGCCTTGCCTTATTTTGGAAAATTTTTCCTTTTGGTAAATTTTTTTTTCCCCTTTGAAATTTGTCCCAAAAATACTCTACCCATAGGAGATTTGTAGGTGATTTTTCCATTAAAAAAAAAAGTCCACGCAAAAAAGAATTTTTACTCAGCTGCCCCGTTTAAAAATTTGGGGATTGCTTCTTTTTCATTT